CCTTATATCGTGACACTTTAAGAAACCGCGCTGTGTATCAGATTATTATCCTATTCTTAGTGCACTTTATTTGCTCCGATATTAACAACAGTAGACGCTGTAACTGTTTGCCTCCGTTTGCCCATCTCGACGTTTTGGCCACCGTCGCGCACTAATATTGCGGATTCGAATTGTAATGCAATTGCATTCTCTCACGGCACATCACTCACATCACGTGCACTGTTTTATAAAATACAAGATATACGAAGTGTGTGTGTGTGCGTGTGTGCGCGCGTTTAATACACATTTACAGAAACACATTTACGTACTCGAAATTAGTCTGCTACTAGCGAATGCGTTTTAACTAATGTTAATGCTTGATGGCAATGTGCTACTTATTATTGGGTCACAGTGCCATCAAATATGCATTGTATCACAAATAGCTGGCAGAATTATGCCAAAGTGAAGCAACACTTTCTATATAGCCAGCAAAAATATCAGGTCAGTTGGATGACGACAATGTCTCTCATATGTAACGCGTCTGCACATTCAAGGATTTAAATAGTGTATTTTTTGACATCTCGCTCCCTCCCTTCTTCCTTCGCTTTTTCTTACTCTTTCACTTTCTTTCTCTCTGCAAATTGTACTTCAGAAATTAACGTCATTCAAGTTCGTATTGTTTCGTTTAGCGTGATGATTCAATCGTCAAAGAATCCTTTCGATCTTCTGTCATCTCCTTGTTTGCTTGGCACGAGCGGCGCCTTGCTTTCGAAAGAGTATCTTTGACAAAGAGCAAGGATTTTGTGATCTGTAAAAGTCACAAGGCCCGAAAACCTTTCCTCTTTATCAATTTCAACTCGGTGTTTTGATCATTGCGCGCTGATACGATGGACATTAAGCTAGACACTTCAATTATTTCTATTGTCCAGATGGGAGAAAAGCCCAACGAAACAAGCCAATTGAATTTCCACAAGCCCCTACAGCGTCACTACAAACTAGAAATAAATTTGCCCCGATAACGGAAAAATATTAACAATCTTCCAGATTGATCTTATCGCAAATATGAAATAATAAACACATAGGTCGTTATTTATTTAATCAATGAGAGAGAGGAAGAGGAAGAGAGAGAGATATATGTGATTTATGTGTTTCGTCTTGCGTGACGACGCGAATATTTCGTCACGTTTGATCGGGGATTTTGCATTTGCCTCGTCTTCCTTTCCTAATGATCGATTGTCGGATGACAACTGCGGCGCGAAAATCAGACGGGCGAGAGTGGCGGAATGCGAACGGCTATTACGAAGTGCAGTAATCTTGGGAATGCACGCGGCGCCGCTTGCCAAGTCTTACCATGACGTTGTAACACTTGGTTCGTCCGTTTTGTACACTGTTTCGTCGGTCCGTCGGGTTCCACGTACACATCTGTTCCGTCTCGTCTGAAAAGGGCCAACCACTGCCTGAAATCGTGTCGACATCGTACCCTCGTACCCTCGGGCTGATGATGACATCTAAAAATGTGTCTCTGCAATTAATCGATTACTTCCTCCTTACATTACTCCAAAAATCCAATCAGACCACTGAAGTTCCTCTTCTGAAGTTCCTTTTCTGAAGCGATTAAAGGCGAATGGAGGCCACAATATCGAATATCTAAGTGTCAAATGTGAGTTTTCTCGAATCGTTGGTGTGTTAGTTCCAGAAATGATGATATTGAGACCGCCATCAAGTATTGAGGATGCAATCTTTTTGAGAATATGTGATTCATACTGAATATTCATATTGAAGAAAACTTACAAATTTTGACAGAGCCAAACCTGAGCTGGACTTTTAAATTCGGACCGTCATTAACTCATTCGTAAATTTCTCTTGAATCCGTATTTCTTGCACTGCAGTCTGGCACTCTTCGGGATGTAACCAGCCAGGCGTATCGTATTTCTATCGCCTGGCTGGAGCTGACATAATCGGACCATTTGTTTCACAATTGCGGCTTGAACGGTGGCAAGCGACCAATTACGCGACTCTCGCATCGCCACGGTGATATCGTGTCATACTGACGTTTATCCTTGCACTTGGCAAGTAGTTTCCCAGCGCGCGCTACGCGAGACCGATTCACACCTTCTTAAACAATTGCTTGGACAGTTTGTCGATCAGATCTAACGTGTGTCATCTTATTTGATTTGCGAGATAATTAATCATTGATAATGATCGTTAGTGTCGCATAAAATTAAAATATCATTCTTCCATTCGCGAAGTTATTCATAGAGGAGGTGTTGCGAGATTATTTCTATCTCTCTCGAGCAAAATATCAGAAAATAAGCCGCGAGGTATAATTGTTATAACGGGCTTGCGTTTCTACGTGCATTTAAATGATTGTAGATTAGATAGATGTCGTCATAGATACCGTCGAATTGAAACGGATTGGGAGATAATACTCTTATTAGCGCGACTTTAAAGATTAATATGAAGATTGCCAAGACTAATATTGTTCATTGGTTTTGTGATTTCGAACGTGACAGACCTAAGTTCGTGGTCATGGAAACGGCGACGCGTTCATTATCGAGAGATATTATACGACGGGAAAGAACAACGACCCTTGTCACCGTCGCTTGTTGCGTCGTCCACGTGACGTCGGAACACTCGGTGACGCGAAAGTCACCCCGTCGTCACGTAGCTGGCGATCGTCTGAGCGAATCGACACTTCTGGCACTCACCGGCGTCGCTGACGCCTCCGGTCTGAGAGGAACGATTGTCCGGACGCACGAATATATTACATCCGACGGCTTGTATCGCGGCCCAAATGTACACGCTTCCACGGTTAGATGCCAAACATAATAACCGATTACCAAGATAACTGGCCCACCTATTTCCGAGCCAAGAGCCGCATTAATAATAGTGGCCTTACGTCACCCCCGTCGTCGGCGCGGCCTTGGGCTCCCGCGGAAAATATGCTCGCGGGTTTCCGTGAAAATTCGCCGCTCGCCGCGCTCGATTTGCAGCTAATATGGCCGCTAATGGTTCGTCATTCGGGTGCGAGGGTGCCTGCTCTGCGGGCAGCCTCACACCCGCCGAAAATAGGCCCCTCTCCTCCCCCGCGCCCTCCCCCTCCCTCCATCCTCGCACAGACACTCGTAAATTACGAGGTCCTTTCGGCGCAGTGCTCGAGGAAAAGCAGGCGTCGCTCATTCGCGCGGCGAGTATTTCACCGCGGAATTATTATTAGACCCGGGCGCGAAAATAAGTTTCGCGATTCACATTTCGGATCGGGCGTACCTGCTGCACGGGACCGTCGATTTTCGCGCCGGGTTCTCCCCGCTGACGCATGTCGCACGCGTGGTGGTCTTTATTATTAACCCGTCATTGGAAAGGTAGAATTGGATGAATGTTATTTTCCCTTTTTCTTGTATTTTTTATAATTTCTCAAGTCTTACATATCTCTCATGATTCTGTGGAATACTGAGATTTAATAACAGCCAGCAGAGAAAAATTTTGAAGATATTACAAAGATTTAAAGAGAACGAAATGGACTTTCAGATCCGACCTTTTTTATAACGGGTTAATAACGCGTATTGCAAATTTATGCGTGGCACGGCGAACGTTGTGACGAATAATCGTGGCCGTTGGTTCATATTTGTATCTCGAACACGTGACGTATTTACTTAAATCTAATTTCTTCTATTTGAATAGAGCGAACAATTGCTTTCACGAAAATCTAAGATTTTAAGAAGATATATATCTTTTTCTTACTTGTGAAAAATATTTTATACATTAGTACAAATAAACATTTTATTAGAATGCCCAAATAAATATTTTTCACTGCTTAGGTCTGTTCTCCTCTTAACGGTAAATAGATTTAATATCCTAATTTTTCATGAAGCTTCTCTCTCTCTCACATATCACGAGAGAGTGATTTTAGGAAGCGCAATATCGTCACTCCGTCAAACAGCATCGTTCTTGGAAAGTGTACTTCTACCGCCTCTGGAACGCTCTGGAAATACAGACGCTCGACAAAATATCGCCGGGCGCGTGTATATGCGATAAACCGACGGAACGCGGTGTGCGGCACATACGGACATTATTTACCGGTCGCCATTATTTTGCAGGAATCCACATTTTCATTGGGCCGCGCGAAATCGCGGCTCGATGGACGTTAAAAACACGGAAAATGGCTGCTCGTTCAGGTTACCGCGGGGAATACACGATGCGTGACGCGATCGTATTTCTTCGGATTACGCAAACACTTATTTTCATATTTATTACACACGATAAATCATTTCCGGATATTTTTTTCACTGTCACGGCTCGAGTGTCGCTTCGTCCCGTTTCCTGGCGAACCTCTCCGAGACTAGATCGATTATTTCAGCGCGGTCGGATTTGATTTCAAGTCCGATGTCTCGCTGCGACGTTGAGAGAAACACGCGATCAATTTGAAAACAAGTTGTAAAGGCTATGGGTTGTTTTCTCTCTCAGCGTCCTTGCAACTTCACGCGTGGCTGAGAAACTTGAAATGCATCTCTCCGCATTCCGCAACAGCTGAAAGATCAAGAACGGTTCCACTCAGAGTTGCCTCGTCGCGCACGTTTCTGTCATCCAAGATGAACGCTAGCGCGTGTAGAAGTCGCCACGGTCGTGCAAGGCAACGCTAAAGAAGGCTAAGTATAGGTAGCCGTGCAAAAATAGCCGCGGCTGAGGCAACTACAGGTGACAGCGTCTCAGCCTGCCAAGGTTTACTGAACCACAGTGACACGACCCGCGATACAATCAATACATGCAGGTCGTTCCAAAAAAAATTGAAATTCCGAAATTATCGAAGTTTGAAACTTGCACACCTTAAAAACTAATGTGTCAGATTTCGGTACGTTATTCTTCTGGACAATGTGCGCGATTTATATGTCGTCTCTCGGCGAGAACTCTATGAGCGTTCTCTTTCTCTTTCTCTCTCCATTAATATGATTAAACGAGTGACACAGTTTCGTATCATTATTTCAATTTCGCGCGTAATTTACCGTATCCCTTTTCTTGTTCAGTATTCCCAGGAGAATTCTACGAATAAGCGGCGGCAGTGGAGGTCGGGCTGAGGAAGAAGCCGCGGCGAAAGCAGGTTGGATGGTGCCGCGGGTCGGCGCCGTTTGAACCGACGAGCAGGCGAAGGGCAGGAGAACAGATCCCTCTTCCCTGCGGCCGCGCGAACGACAGTTTCGTCGTCGGTGTAGAGACAGGTGCGAAGGCGAGCCTCCAGAATGGGGGTCGCCGACGACTTCGCGCCCAGCTTCACCCAGAAGCCGCAGCTGCGGCAGGAGGACGACGGCAACCGGCTGATATTCGAGTGTCAGCTGGTGAGCTCGCCGAAGCCCGAGATTGCCTGGTTCCGCGGCGAGACCGAGCTCAGCCAGGATGACAGGACCAACTTCAAGATGCAGAGCGTCGGGACCAACAAGTTCCTGGTGGTGCTCGAGCTCGACGACGTCATCGAGACCGACGCCGGCCTCTACAAGGTCAAGGCGAAGAACAAGATGGGCGAGGTCGCCGCCTCCATTAACCTCAACTTCAGTCGTGAGTAGTCATACATTGATTATTTCCTTTATCCAGTTGGATATCTCTTGACGTTTATAGATTCACATTTACGCATTGAAACAGAATCGGCTGAAAGGAAGAAAGTCTCGGGGTGTTTTAAAACGCGAGTTTTATCGCACGAACTGCAAATCGAGTCGAATGAAAATCGAGTTGGATCGACAAACTCACGTGTAGGATTTTGCGTGAAATTTAGTCTAAAGCTTGACGAAACTGAAACGTCGTTGTATGTATGATATAAATGTTCTTTCAACTATGATAAAGTTGATTTAACTGCATAATTCGAGTAATCTCACTTGGAGGGTTAAATAAATCAGACCGTCTATAAAATATATAAAAATATATAAAATATATTGTATCAGTTTTATGATCGCTTCATTGAATCCAAATTTAGATTTGTTTTGCGCTAATAAAAGATTAGGAGTTGCAATAAAATGTTGCCAAAAGAATCAGAACCGTTAATCCGTCTTATACAATTCTGCAGTTGAGTTCATTTAATTTCAGATTATAACGATTAATCTTCTTTGATACGAGTGTCAAGTTATACTATTAAATTCGCCAGTCCGGTATTTGCACAGATTTGTTTATTCTATTTGCGGCCGACTCATGCTTGTCTGCACATATTTTTAATTTTAGAAGCGCGGGAAGAAGACTAGTCGAATCATCGGGCTGTTCGAAAAAATCTTCGCCGCGGTCGATCCAATATTAACAATAATAACTACAGTATCAGAAATAATAAATTCAATATTAAAATAACGAATAAGATCGAGATTGTATTGTTTTCGTACAAAAATCGCGGATTATAATCTCGCGTTAAATTTGCGAAAATGAACATTTTCGCGGATGACTTAAGCGTCGGAAATTCACTGAAAATTCCCTCAAATTGGTGTTTGCTCCCTCGATTAATATCTCGCCGTTATATTTTTCTAGCAATGGATGAGCCTAGAGAGAAGTAAGTTCGTGAAGCTTGTGTACAAGGGAAAAGTTTCGTTTTTTATCGCTTCTCTAGGCTCGACTCGATTAACTCGTTTGACGCTTCCGCACTAACGCGTTTCTCTTATCTTGCCCGTTAGATATTTCCTTTTTCATGCTTTATCGCTTACTCTCGTTGTTTTTTTTTTTCATTTATTATTTTAGTCGCCAGGCAACCCGCGAGAAGAGGGTGAGTGACTCGCTTACGCTTGTTTGAATGAAGTGGTGATTAACTTAAATGAATAAAACTAGCGCGATCTGTTCTCCAATGATAATCATGCGGACTTCTATTATTAATAAATGTATTCAACGTTATTCATAGCAATAGTAACCAACAACTAACGAATGTACATATCTTTAATAATCGAGTTGTGTGAACGTAACAATAATACTATTATCCATTTAATTGATTCAAGGAAGTGTTGAAGAAAATATTTATCAGAATATGTTCCCTGCATATCCCCATTCTTTGATTTAACTCGCCGTTCTTCACAAACTCTGAAATGATTAGGACGGACTTCTTCCGTTAAAAAAATAATTTCTCCGTGTCTCTTTATGTTTGAATCTTCGCAGGCGGAGGAATCGCCTCCGAGTTAGACGCTGAATAAACGTTCAGAGGCCCGACGCGAAGTTCGGGAAGTGTAGTGTAGCGGGAGTGCGAGAGTTACGTAAGACACGAAATCCTTTCAGTGCGCTATTTACTGTTATTGCGTTATCTCTTTCGATAACATTGGAGTGCACGTTAAAAGCGCTCGACCGAGAATAAACGTCGCGGTATGCCCCCTATTTTCGGTCGCGTTCGCACCACAGCGCGTGTCTGATCGAAATCGCGCCCGAACTATTTCTTAGCGCGCGCTCTTTCTCTCTCTCTCTCTCTCTCTCACATACACACACACACCCTCTCACTTTCTTACTCTCTCACTTTCTCACCTTCTCACCCGTTCACCCTCTCACCCCTACACTCTCTCACTCTCTAACTTTCTCACTCTCTCACTCTTATATTCTCTCATTTTCTTACTCTTTCACTCTCTCATTCTCTAACTTTCTCACCCTTTCACCTACTCATCCTCTCACCTTCTCATTCTCTCACCATCTACCCTCTCACTCTCTCACTCTCTTACTTTCTCAAACTCTCTTTCTCTGTCTCTCTGTACGATCGACTGATCCATCCGCCCACGCATAGAACCGCGAACGCGAAACGTGGATGGAAATAGAATTAAGGTCTTCTAGTTTTGGACCGCGCTCGTGCCTCGCGCGATCTGACCACAAAGTGGCGGATTATTTCGGACGCTGTCTCTCGCGAAAGAGCTGCCACTAAATCTCGCTCGAATTATGATTTGTCTGTATCATGGTTCTAGCTAGAAAGAAAGGAAGACAAAAATGGAAAGCCTGTCGAAGTCTAGGTCGGAAATAACAGTCGAATGACAGTTAATTAACTCGATTGATGGTGAAGTGAATTTTCAAATGAACATTAGTGAAGAAGGTTATGCATAAAAGTAAGATATTGTTGGAAAATAATAATTATAGAAATGTTTTTTCGACGTATCGCATTAAGGATACACGCACATAGAAGGGAAATCTTAAAAGAAAGATTTATTAAATTTGTTGGAAGGAAATTTACTATTTAGTAAGAGAGATATGAATAGTTATGAAAAGTTTTACGATTCGTATGCTTGAAAGATTTCATGTGGCTTCCTATGATTCTACATTATCAGGTACTAGCATAATCCACTTTTATTTCTGAAAAATAAGCAATGTTGTATCACGTATAAATTTTCTTTATATTGTTAATTTATATACAGAAATGATGAGTAAAGAAGAAAGTTTTGGTAATCGCGAAATTTTCTAGAGTGGCGCGATTTAATTACAGTAACAACAATTTCCTGTCGCGCTGCAGACGTCAAATCAATCGCGAGATCGGCGTGCAATACCCGCCGCTACTTGCACGAGCGGAAAGCATTCATCAGCCCTCAAATCGCCCGCGTCTCGGTGCGACTTTAATGATTTTCGAAGATAATTCGAAACTGGGTCGAAAGCGAGCTCTCTCGTCGCCGGCAGCGACGGCGACGACAACGACCACACGACGAGATGCTGTATTTTCGGATCGCATCGACAGACGTGATTCCCGTGAATTTCTAAAAGTAACGCGAGCCTTTCCGCTTCCACGCGTCTCCCGAAACGTCGTGGTTTGCGCTCCGTTTGCGTAGAAAAAGCAAAACGAAAAATCGCCGCTTTTCCGACAGGTGCAGCGAACAATTCTCTTGAGAGCGCACCGTATCGTGTTACTTTGCATGCGATTCGCGAAAGTCTGCATATATGCGCGAATTTGAAGAATCCAGCTCCAATTTCAGACCGCGAAGGGGAATTCCGCGGAATTCGACGACTGTCGATCGCGAAGGCTCGCGCGAAAACGAATCGGCCGGCGGTGGTTGACGGGAGCGAAAGTCGAGGGAAAACAGCTGCAGCCTACTTCCTCGCTAAACTTAGCCACATCATACATCGGTGCACAGGCTAATGCACTTATGGTCCCCGCGCGGGATGCATGAGCGTTAAGCGCATGCCTCTCGTCCTGCCTCTCAAATTGCGAGGATAAACACTGACGATCGTGTTTATCCTCCGACTGGAATCTCGCGACGCTGCTGGGCAGACGGATTTGGAAAGAGCGCATCCCCGAATAATCAAAAAGTCTTCATCCCACAAGCCGTATTCTTGCGAATAACACACTGTTGTATCTGAAAAAAAATTCGCACGGACTGAAGGTGGAGTTCAGATCGGTCGGCTGACAATTACTAACACTAGTGCTTGATTAATTGTCATCAAGCCAAGCCACATTTGCTCTTTTTAAAGGAGACTAGCTTAAACTACCCCGCGTTACCCGCGCCTCTTGTATCAAGAACACCCAAAGTTAAATTGTCAAGGAGATGAAACCGGAGGGAGAAGGTAGGGTGTCCAGGTTTCATGTAGACTATATTTTCTGCAGAGTTCTAGAGAGTAGTTACACGAAATTTGGTTCAGATAGATCAAAGGATTTAGGAGTTAATAAGAAACATACAGACAGACATTCTATTTTATATATATAGGTAAGGAGACAATAACGAGTACACGTGTAAGTCACAGAAGACTTACATCGAAGTAACTTCAGACTTAAAATAATTGAACAGGTTATTCAAGACTCAACGGAAGTATCGTTAGGCGCCAGGAGAGAACAGGTTATCGGTTATGGTGGCCAAGTATTTGCTCGTGTTTTAAAGTGGCTGTTAACTGTCGGGTCGCCATCAGAACGGGCTGCTGAACATGCCTCGTCAGGAAGCGTCGACTAAACAAAACAAGAGTTATTTCGAGCGAGCAATCCGCGAAAGTCACGATAAATTCCGTAACACCGCTCTCAGGCGCTGGGCGAAGCGGCACTTATATATTCGTCTTGCCAAACGTTACTACCGTCTCTCCCTCTTCCTCTTTCGCCTTTCGCCTTATATCTGATACTCCTGGAAAATCGACGGAAATTACCTGCGATGTCCGAATCACTCGGATAAGCGAAGGTGGAGTGCACTAATTACTTAACTACCTTGTACGAGTGTGCGAGTCGAAGCATGCGATTTGCCAGCAAAATGTGTGATTATTGTGGTAATATTTTTGTGTGAGAAATCAATAGAAGAAAGGCACGACATTATTCTAATCAATTTCGCAACGCATCTATCCAACAGGATAGATATCCAACAGGAGAGAATTTGTGTTTTGGTAATTTTCACATGGAAAAAAAAAATTTAGTTGGATTAACACCAATTTCTGGAAAACGAACGAACCAGAAAATTCCAGTTGGTATCCGCATTCCGTTCAAGTTAACCAGACATCTTATTTACACGAAATTCCTGAACAGAACTGAACAAAATTCTGGTAACTTTATCTGGAATTTCTGATTCGTTCGTGTTTTATCAGAAATTTGCTTAATTCTAAACGTTTCTTTTCTGTGTAGAAGATAAATTTTCTTATTGGACATCAGACGCGTTCTGAAGCCCATTAAGGTAAAAGGGTTACAATCTCTCCTCTACTGACTATAAGTTAATTATCAGAATGGCATTAACACGCAATGTGACTATCTAATTAAGATTTTCTAACCTTACGGGGGAATTTGTTGATTAATTTTTTGATTATTACAAAAAGAGCGAGAACGATGTTTTAAGTCTGTCACTGTGAGAATTTCATGTTAATGGCAGGAAAAAAATATTTACGCTTATAAAATGCTAATAACTTAATGATACTGCGTGTTAAGGCTACTCGATGGTTAATGAGCAACATCGTTGTGTGATCGCAATCCGGAAAATCTATCGGTGCACTCGTCGAAGCATCCAGCGCTTTTGTGCGACGAGATTAATTTTAGAATGTTCGAAATTCTTTCGAAATTCACCTAAACTTGTTTTCTGGTTCGTTAACGGCGTCGATCCGCCAGAAGTGGATGCACGAAGAACGCGTGACTGCGCGAGCTCGCATTATTCAGTTAATTCTCTCGGCGATGCGCGACCACGTCGCCACACAATCCCTAAATTTTCACGTCGATTGCGATCCGCGCGACAATTAACGCGTTAGCGGCCGATAAATTCGCGCGCGCTCACAGTCCCGACGTTTATCTCGCACTTGCAGACAAATTGACGGCATCGCGCCGACTTTCGCGAAGAAGCCCGCGATTAGACAAGAGGACGACGGCAAACGGCTGCTCTTCGAGTGTCGCATCACGGCCGATCCCACGCCAAAAGTCACATGGTTTCACGATGGGAACATGGTCAAAGATTCGCCAAGGCACAAGGTTCGTCACCGTCAATCCCAATCACAATCCCGACCTATTTATTTCTCTAAATTCGGCAACCGATGAGAAATCAACTGCCAATAGTTTTCTTATAGTATAATTCTGTACTTATATATTAGAGAATATTCCTCCATATACTTGTATAGATTCAGAAACTCCTCTCGAGCTTTTCTGAATGTATTCAGGTGTTTCTAATTTTGAAATCTGATTGAGATGAAAGTCAAGAGAGACTTTAAGTTCGTAGTCCCATTTTTCGGGAATATATAATCGTCGAACCGTTTCAGCTGACCGTCGACAAAGATGGCCACTCGTACTTCGCCACTCTGGAAATAAAAAACGTGACCGTCGAGGATGCTGGCAAATATAAGGTCACGGCGAAGAACGAGCTTGGCGAGTCTAATGCCACGATTTCCCTGAATTTCGACAGTAAGTGTCTGCAATTGGTGACAATTGTAAACCCACTTATATACTTCGACCGATGATCCGCTTTACATGAACTCAGCGCCCGTCTGCTTAATTTTTTTTTACAAGTATACGCTCTCTCACAATGCGACTGTTGATTCTTTTTCCGTTGACGTAACATACATCTTGAACGTTGCAAATCTCTCATAGTGCAAACCACCATTTATTCTTTACACCAGTCGTAATCCAACAAACTTCTTATGTTCGTATCTTCAAACATTCTCTCGGCAATTTTTGTTAGTAATTTTTGCAGGAGACGTTCGTTCTCCCATGCCACCTTTCGCTCTATGTCTCAGCGAAAAACAAAGCGGATCATCGGTGCCATTCCTCAGACCTTCTCTCACATTCTCACTCGGGATGTATATCGATGATCTCTTTCATATTTCCAACTGTCTTCATCTATGTCTCAGTTCTATCTATCTATGGCCTCTGCCCCGTTTATTCGCTTCCTTCATGTCGACTCTACTGCACCAGTGTGTATATCCGCAGTTTATTATTTAATTTTTTCCGTTCCATCTCTCAGCTCTGTCCATTCTCTTCAGTCTTCTACTTTCTTCTACTGTCTACTTTAGTATACGGTCTCTTTATTTTTTAATGGTTTGTCTCGGTCGAGCGATGAGCACGTATCGATGTCGGCTCGACGCGAGCCACGATATACAGCCCGGTTGATCTTAATCGACTAAACGGCATTGCGAGACACACTGCCGTTTGTCTCTCAAGAACTCTGCACCGTAAAATGCGTAGAAAGCGGACCAGAATAATATCAACTTATAACAAATCGTGCACTGCTGCTTCAATCACGTATTAATTCGAATCGCATTTCGTGCGTACTAGTCGAACACGCTCGAGTCGGCGTCTGGCGAACTTCCTTTCTAAAAACATAGTCTTTTACGATAATAAACATAATGACAGTTTAATCATTGTTTTTCCTCTTTATAAAATATAGTTCAATTACTTGAAATTTCACGCGCTCTAAGAGATAGTATATTAAACAGATTACGTCGATAATTTAAAACAAAGGAATTTTAATGATTTATGATTGATTTACTGAATTTAGATTGAAGCCTGATTACTCTATAAGTATCACGTCAGACTTTGATTCGAATTGCGTAACGGTATGCGCGAGATGCGATCGCAGATTAGCCTTACATATTGACGCTTCGTTAGGTTGCTTCGATGACATCTTTTCTCTATTCATACAATCGTGTTTGACGTGTGCAGCGTTGATGTCGGGCAGTCCCTTTTGTACAGGCGACTCTCGGATACGCCTACCAAGGGTCGCTCACACACGCACACGCAAATACAATTACACGTAGATTGGAGATGACGGAATTTCTGTGGTAGTGGTGGTGGTGGTGGTTAGACCTGCTAACGATGAATATTTCCTTATTTGTGCAAATGTACATAATATTAATTCTTATCTTAGAATCGCAATTTTCTCTACATATCTTCGAAAATACGATATATCGCTTCTTTTCATTTTTCGAAGTTAAATTTAGATAGTGCTACTTAGAAAGAATAAAACGTAACACTATATAATTAAGAAATTAAATTTACAGTTCCATTAACTAGTTTCTCTCTCTTTCTCGCGTGTGAATATATCTTCACGAAGATGATTTAATTGGCACGAAAGTGATACGTCCGACGCATTAAATTAAAGCACGGCGATCATATGAAACTGTCCGCGTATTTTCCTGAAGTCGTAACGAGGGACTGGCAAATACGGAAATATTCTTTACAAATTAGTAAATGATCCATGTAGTTAATGACGACGGTTCTAATATTGTATATATACTGACATGTGTCTTTTTGTCACGTGCTTCGCGCTGGTCACTCTCATCGGCTAATTCGTAAGAATTCTTAATGAGTAAAAACAGTTTGGGATCGTGTGTTTAATCATATTGTACATATTCACGTAATCGATTAATGCCATGTATTAACGTACATTGTCACAACATCAGAATACACACGTATACTATCTTCGCGGCTCGGCAGAGCTTTCGATTTCCAATGATGATTTGCATCTCGTGATTGTAATACGTCGATTGCCGCGCGCGGAACGACGAAAAATTCATATCTTCCAATCAGTATGGAATTATTTCGTGCGCATCACACTTATACTACACCACAAACTCACTCGCAAACAATGTTTGACGAAGGCTTGCGCATAACTGTGTTTCTACTCTTATCTAACCGGCGCGCGCGAGCGCGAGCGTTTAACGTTACAAAGAGACGTACGGAGAGAAATGGGAAGCAGGTGACACTTCGAGAATACAATTACTATACTCCACCAAGCGGTGCATTACGAATAGACGGAAGGAGAGTAGAGAAAGCAACCTAATTTGCAAGGATGGTCGATCAGCAAGGATCGTGATCCTCGAGCGTGTGTTGTCTAAGCATTGGCTACAGCGCACTTGTTATATGCGGCGGCACGAATAAACGAAGCGACTGATGTACGGAGAGATTGAGTTGTTGTAAAAGTTGAGTGTCGAGTTGTATTAATGTAGTTAATGTCGGCGGCACTTGCGTGAATAGTAGAGAAAAGTGTTGGATCTGTCTGGAAAGTTTCGAAGATTATCCCCAAGCCAAATCGATACGTGACTCCCGATCTCGCATCGAACTGTAAAATGCTTCGCGTATTTAAGCCTTTCGCTGCTGAATCATCTTGAACGGTCGAGACGTAATTTTGCCGAGGAAAACAAAATCGCCGAATACCGTAAAGTGTCCCGGCCAACACGATGTATCAATGAAGTCAAATGACGTATTAAAAACGTCAAAGACAACACTGGTACGTCATTATGTCTACTAAGGCGCTAATTCGGAACAATATGTGTGAGAAAAATGATTAGTCCACAGTTGAAATTTCACTTCCTCTTTGTTTCTTTTTAACATGAGTATTTTCTTCGCGACTCGTAAATAATTTAGAGAAAAGTAAGAAAGAAGTTTGAGTCTTTTTGTCAACAATATAAACACCTTGACAAATACCTTAACTTCTTTGATGTTTTCTTAGAGTTGGATTCATCATAAAAATTATCTCAATCGAAAATATCTTTATGATGGAGTGAGTTGTCGGATCGCGATTGACGCGGGAATCTTACATCAAACACATTGCAGCGAAAGGATTGAGTAGGCAAGCATGGATGTGTATGAACAATTCTCGACATGTCGATCGTTTGTGCTAACGTAGGCGACGAGGCACCCGTACCGGAAGACGGTATTAAACCGACCTTCACCGAACGACCGGTGATAAGACAATCCGACGACGGTAACACCATCACCTTCGAATGCCGACTTGTCGGCGATCCGAAGCCGAGTGTGAAGTGGTAAGATTTGAAAGTCGCGACGTGCGCGCGAGGAAGTACGCCAGAGAGCGTGCCATTTGTGAATTGTCGAAAAGGAAACTTGACATCGATCAGGAACTATGACTAAACTGAGAAGGCAATTTGCAATCGTACATGGAGAGAATATTGTAGTTCTTTTTTTATAGAAACTTTTTTCAATTTTACTACATGTTTTTAGTAGTCCAGAAATGTCAGTAAGGCTCATCTTACTAAGAAGTATAATAAATTTCGCTAGGAACACATCAAATGTTTTAATAACGCATACCAAATGAGAGAATAATGATTTATTGCAGAATGTTGATCTATTCCTTAATTACAAGACTCTCTGTAGTAATATTTACTATAAAATTCTTTCCATGCACCTTGTTGAGTGAAATAAATTGGTGTTTCGATTGGTATTACGGACATACTCGAGACAAACTCGTTGACAACTAAATTGAAAGAAATAAATTCGATAGAAAATAGAAACTCGTTATTTGATGTCGGTATTTACTTTGATATCGTTAAGCTGTTCTTTCCTGCGACGGTTCACGTGGCTGATATATCGAGGCTGATGTATCACGCGCACTTCCGAGCGCGCGCTCGCGACATGCGACTAATCTTCGGGCGGATACTTCGACGTTGGCGGGATCGCAGGTATCACGGTACCGAGGAAGTGAAAGAGGGTGGACGATTCAACACTTCCCTGGAACTCGATCAGAAGCTGTACCACCTAGCGAGGCTGAGGATCGACAACGTGGCGAAAGGAGACGCGGGGGAGTACAGGGCCGTGGCGAAGAACAAGCACGGCCAAGGGGTGGCGACGATTAATCTGAACTTCGAGGGTGGCGACAGGCTCAAGTAGGCATGCGAGAGAGGCGACTTGTCCTCCAGCGTTGTCCCGTCACGCCGAGCTGTTCTGACGCGATGAACGCGGCGCGATGAGATCCTGCGAAAACCACCCCGAGCAGCACAAAACATCAATGTAGAATCTACAGTTGGCCAACTGTTGGCCAACTAATGTGTTCTGCTAGGGGCAAAAACGACAGATCGAAAGTAATGGCCGGTATTAATAGTCGTTGCTTGAAACTCGTCTCAAGTGAGATACTCAAATTTAGAGTTAGATGAGAATCTTTCAGTTGAATCGCGCGATTACAATTATAAATGTTACACTTATCATAATTTAACTGAAAAATTTGAATCCGACAATAAAAATCTGAGTATCTCATCTGAGATAAGTTTCAAGTAACGACTATTAATACGAAATATAGAAGGAACAGTTGAGTTGTAGCGGACTAATCCCTTGACAGGTCTTCGAAGTGAAATTTGCAGCGAAGTGAAGTGAAGTACCGGAAATATTATCAAATTAATTCCTTTACCTTAGCCTTTTTGTCGCCGGTACCATTGGAATTTTTACCATCTGTTATGCACGGTCGTATATTATACTGTAAAACACTGTACTCTCTGTTGTATACTGAATCGTTGAAGTCGATGAACATGAAGAACTTTAACGGAATAGGAAGACAACCGGTCAACTGATCAAAGCTGACTATAACGCAGACGACATTCAATTCATAGTTAGTCAGACATTAGTTCGGCAGATTTTGCCTTATGTCGCCTCGCGGGTCAGATTGCGTCGGAAGTCGCACGCTCTCCTACGTTGAAATCAGTGTAAATTTAGTGCGATATTAACAAGATTTTGTCGCAAGAGCGACAAACGAGAGCCTGTAATTTCTGCAATCTCGCAAATGTTTCACCTCGTAACATCGCGCCGCGTCTTCAAGAAAGCACTCATGTGGCGTGGCGGGCGAAACGACAGACGAGAAACGGCGTTGCTCCTGCGAGAGTTCGTTCGTTCGCCGGAAACAGCATCTCTCGTGTCTGACGTGTCGATTTACGCAGAATACCGGACGGTAAGCCACCGCGCTTCCCGAAGAAGCCGACGATCCGCCAGGAGGGCGACATACTTATCATGGAGTGCATCCTGGAGGCACACCCGGTGCCGGACATTACGTGGTACCAGGGTCAGAAAACGATTGCCGACAGCAAGCGCGTCAAGATGTCGCGCAAGGCCACTGGCAAGGACACGTACCTGCTGACCCTCGAGATCTCGAACCCCACCAAGGCCGACGGCGGGAATTACCGTTGCAACGCCTTTAACAACTTCGGCGAGAGTAACGCCAACATCTCCTTGAACTTCCAAGGCAAGTCCCCCTCGAAGCATGCGGGAGGGCTCTCATTGACATCCCGATATTCATCGAAGTTGCCGCGTCGTATATCGTTGAATCATCTGAAAAAAAAAGAAGTTATGGTCATAACTGACACGTTTCAGAAATGGTTGATAAATTAAAAATTATTACAGTGGTTCTCTTTAAATCAGAATTTTTACAGTATTCTATTACACTGAGAAAAAAATACTTGAAAAATTTCTTGCAGGATGTAAAGTTTATTCACAAAAGTAAACCGTATTTCGCGGGAATTAACCTTATATCCCACAAGTAAATTTCCAAATATTTCCTTCTCAATGAAGTTAAGAAAATGAATTTCCTTCATAAGGAAACAATAAAACTTAACACATTTTCACTTTGTCCAATATAACGGAAAGAATTTCGCCTTTTGCACATTTGTCCCAAAATAATCTAAAAGCTGTGAATCGCGCTCGAACGATGAGATCCCTCCCGCCGACTTCGTCCGAGACGAATCCTATCGACTCTTCCCGAGTGTCCTTCGTGCGAAATGCATTCTATATGATCTCGCGGTATAGTGACGAGAATTGTCCTCCGATGAACAGTCGCGACGATGACGATCCCATCAGGTAAGCCACAGTCGCGCTACTGCTAACCAATCGTGAAGTCTCTGTTATCTTCGCTTCGTAACTCATTGAGCTGCCAACACGACTAACAAGGGCCATCGGGAGGAGTCGCGGTCGCAAGTTCGATCCTGCGACCGCGACTCCCTTGGCCGAATTGGTCGGCGACAAAAGCTGCGTCTCCGGTAACACCGACACACCGGAAACCGGCACCCTTATGCTCATACGACCATGTCTAACCGTGGATCTTTCCAAGATGCAGAAGAGGGTGCGGGCTTCGCACCGTCCTTCGTCGAGAAACCTCGCATTATCCCGAACGAGAACGGCACGCTGATCACCATGAAGTGCAAGTGCAAAGCGAACCCCAAGCCGGAGGTTACGTGGTTCCGCGGCACCAACGTGGTCAAGGAGTCGTCAAAGATCTCGATCAAAACGAGAACGGTCGAAGAGGACATCTACGAGCTTATTATGGAGATCAAGGCAATTCTTCGAGCACTTACTTTTAACATATTGAATTAACGCGGCAGTTGACGTGTTAAACGAAGATGAGAGTCACTTTCAGCTTCGGAAAAGCAATATACGGATAGAAATTAAATTCATGAAAGTGTAATTTTTCAAAATTTATGCACACATCTTTTATATAATTTGTATGTGATCTATATATTTCTGTTTTACTTGCAAATTGTTTCAATTTAAATATTCGTCCTAAATTAAATTAAAAATTAAGTTAAAAAATTAAATCGTCTGAAATCACGTTTTTATTGATGTATTTTGTTTTTTTTGTAGGACCCATCTGCACCTGATGGCGGTACCTACAGGTGTCATGTGAAGAACGAATACGGCGAGAGCAACGCCAACCTGAACCTGAATATCGAAGCTGAACCAGAGCCAGAAGGAGACGGACCGACTTTCGTGGAAAAGCCGCGGATACAGTCACAGAACAAAGGCAAACTCGTTATCATGGACTGTAAGGTCAAAGCAAAACCGAAGCCACAGATCGTATGGACTCACGCCGGCCAGGTGGTGAAGGAATCCTCCAAGATCTCCATCAGTATCGTATACGAGAAAGAGGATATCTATTACATCAAACTCACTCTGAACGATCCTGGATCAGAGGATTCCGGTCTTTATAAATGCAACATCAAGAACGACCTCGGCGAACTCAACGCCAACCTTACGCTGAACGTGGAGAGTGAGTGTACTATTATTTTAATCACGATTTCTCTTCGGTGCAATCGTGACTTAATAATTTCATTATAGTTAAAGATTTGTTTCACAAGAACTAAAAACAAATTTATTGAAATTTGTGATAATTTAATGTGCTGTAGTCCCCTTAGTGTTTGTTTCAAAACACTATAAATAGTTACAAGTTTTTGATAACAAATTCTTTAGACGTAGTTTTTAATTAACTACTTCGATGGATTTCAGTTATACCTGTGATTAAGGAGAAACCAAAGGTGGTGAAGATCATTAAGAAGAAGACCGTGATAGTAGAGTGTCATGTTCTTTCTAAATTCTCACCCGATTGTACATGGTTCAAGGAGAATCAGCCCGTTAAAGAAGACAATAGACACAAGCTGCTCGTCGACCAAGTCAAAGAAGTAAGTCCTGTAAAATACTTTCGTATCGATAGTAAAAGTCTGGTTTCGAGGGCTGTATCTACTTTTTTCCACTTGCCTCTCCCACTTATCCGTCGAGCGTATGTTTGACGGTGCGTTTTACTGCACTCAGCCTCAAGGCCGTCAACTACATAAGACGAAACACTCCCTAATTACTAAAAAGTTCTTATTGAAACTAGTGTTCTATCGCTGTGATTATAATAATATACATATAAGTAGAAACATAATTGTGTATAAAAACAATATATAGAAGAGTAGTTTCAAAACTTGTCAGAAATTAGGGAAAAACTCTACGACAATCGGCTCCACGTGTGAGCGGAAGAAGCAAGAAAAAAAGAGTACAGATATAGATTTCGAAAATCATTTAAAACATGCAAGTAACTTCGAATACTAGTGTAATGTATGAAATTGGAAATCGTGAAAATTGCAATTGAATTTCGCAATTCAACGCAAATTTTGACAATACTGTTTTCACTCATCAAAAAAATTGCTCTGACTACAATATGAATGTTAAATAAGTTAATTTCTCCTAATCTTTTTCGTAGGGTGAATTTTCCATTAAACTCGAAATCGAACAAATGTCGGCGACAGACAAAGGTATGTACAAGTTGGTAGCACGCAACGAAAAGGGCGAAGCCACCTCGCAAGTAGTCGAGGTGACGGAAATCCCAGACCAAGGCGAGAAACCAAAAATTGTTACCGGCCTGAAATCAATTGTAAGCATTTTTGCTTATTATTATGGAAATCTATAATTTTTGTTTATTATTATGGAAATCTAAATATTGACTATTAAATTAATAATGTACTATTCTTCCCAGACTGTCGAAGAAGGCAAGACTGTCGAATTAATCGCCATCCTCGCAACGCAAGATCGAAAAGTAACTATCACCTGGTATAGGTATGTATGTGTATTAATAAAATATTAACATCTTTTCATTAATGTGATATCTCTGTAATATGAAATTACAATGTTAGAGAAAAGTTTTATATCTTATAAATATAAAAGAGTATAATTTTTTAATCGATCGACATCTAAATTAATATGTGTGAGCGATATTTTATAACAATTCTATCTTTTTGACAATTAAATAAGATAGACTATCTCTATGACAATTCTATCGTTCTTTTTATCGCGTCAATTTTTTCCATTTTTCGTAATTATTTATAATATTCTTTGCTATGTGAATGCAGAGACTCAACGGTTGTCAAGGCGTCAAAGGACATAATGATCTCCTTTAATGGCTTGGACATGAAATTAACCATCACTTCGGCATCGACGGAATTCTCAGGAACATACAAAGTCGTCGTGAGCAACGAATACGGCCAGGACGAATCGTCGGCCCGACTCGTCGTCAAGGTAAGGAATTCAAAAAATTCCAGACATAGATCATTGTCGATATACGGACGTTGACGTAAGTTTCCATTAATTAGTCTTTTCCAATGTTCACATATATCTGTAATGTAATAATACTAGTATGTCGTAAACAACCGTAAAATTTTAAATGAAAAATTTTGTAAAAAATCCCATAGAAAAAATTGATATGTTAAATGTAAGTTAATAATCAATCGTTTTTTATATATAAATCCAATATATGTGTGGAATAATCCAAAAATTGCCTAAAAATATCCCCCCATGAAAAATTAGTACGTTAAATATTAAGTGTAATGTTAAGTGTAATGTCATATTTTCCACACATGTGGTTAAACTATCACTCTCTCAACAATGATCGTCTCGATAGTCGTGTGTGAATGAGACACGATCCCTATTGTCGCATGCAATCCCTTCACTAAATTACAGAAGGAGGAAAAGAAAAAGGACGAAGAAGAGGAAGAGGAGAAGAAGAAAAAGAAGGTGGAAAAGAAGGAAGAAAAGAAAGAGGAAGAAAAGAAGGAGGAGAAGAAGGTGGAAAAGAAAGAAGAAAAGAAGGTCGAGAAGAAGGAGGAGAAAAAGGAGGAGAAAAAGGTGGAAAAGAAAGAAGAGAAGAAGGTCGAGAAGAAGGAGGAGAAGAAGGAAGAGAAGAAGGCCGAGAAAAAGATCGAGAAAAAGGAGGAGAAGAAGGTAGCGGCCGAAATAAGAGAATCGATTGAGATTCTACTTGATTTTCAATCATTTTTTTTTTGCCTTGTTCCTTCCATCATATATTTACTTGTGATTAACAAAATATTCGTACACTAATCAATACACTGATACAACTTGATACCGGAAGATTGATCGTTCTGCAAATTTTATTATGACGCAGTTTTTTATTTTTAAGCATGATACTTTTGCTTACTATATAATCATGAAATATTTCAGAAGGGGAAAATAATATTTTAAATATATAGGAAAGATTATTTCGGAAGAGAGGAAAACTTATTTTATATTAACTGCAAAAACGATCAATGTTTCGATTCCTTGACGCGACAATTGGCACATTGTTGAAAATTTATCTCGTATTGCGACACGAAAGGTGTCAGTATGGAGTGACGAAGAGGACGATCGATCAGAGGATTACGAAGTGGTGGAGGAGGAAGAAGAGGAAGTGGTGAGTGTAATTGAGTCCAGCATTATCAGCACAGAAGCCATTCTCGAGGAATCGGACTCAGAAATAATATCTCGCGTCGAGGTACACACATACACAACATATACCAACATTATTACATAAATATCTTTCTTTTATATTAATAAATAGTAGAAATGAATTAACGTTATATTTTTTTATTAGTAACAAAATATAATTTTTGACACAGCAATGCTATTTCATTCCATTTCATTTTCAACTTGAAATTATCGATCATCACATTTATTATTTGACACTGCTCTCCTGCTATATGTTTTATTTTATATAAATTTTTAAAATATTTTTTTCCTCTCTTTTCTTCTCTTTCTCGCTCTACTTTTTCATAGGATAAACAATTTTTTCTTGTTATTTTTTAAAGGATAAGCCCGACTTGAAACCGAACGGTATCGACAAACCAGGCATTGGGAAGGTACGATTTTGTCATTTCTTTTTAATTTTTTATGGAGGATGAAACGAAATGTCTTCTCACAAAAACAGTACATACAATACTCAGGACATGTTACAATGTGATAATAATTATTCGTTATTCACGTTATCCTGTTTGCCCCCGTTATTTTTCTTGCTTATATTTATCTTGTCATCTGTATCACCTTATATGTAATCACCTTGCAATTTATGTGTACTGTGTGTGTTCCACAATATGTATGAAGCTTATTAGAAATAGCTTAGAAATAGATTAGAAATAGATACTGGAGTATATGCTCCTACAATCGATGCAGAAATTTATAACTGGACTACATGTGCAATGTTGACTATATTTATAAAAAAAAATTATTTTAGACTCAATAAAGTATAAAATAGAGATTAAAGGATCGCGGTAAATTCTGTTTCAGAAAATGGAGATCCTACAGGTGAGTGCGAAAGCTCGGACGATCGGATTTCGGTAATGTATGCGCTCGAAAAAGTAGCTTTGATCCGCTGGAACGAATAATTTGCTGCGTTTGAAGCTTTGGCAAAAGTATTCCGCCGATATGCGAGATAACGTGTGTTTATGAACCACTGCAATTGATCTCTCTTCTAGCTTCTTTTCAGCTCCCCTCGGCTATGAAAAATTTCGCCTTGCTACTGCAAAATCACCTTTACACGCGATCAACATTCGCCGATCTCATGCCATGTACCTATGCTCATGTTATTTTATTTTTCACAGCATCCACTTAACCTCGGCTTATCCGCTATGTTTCTTCGAGCGAGTCTCGTGTGCGCACGCTTTTAGCAACCGCTGCAATATTTACTTTCTTTCGCCTGGGTAAAGCAGATTTCTGAAATTCGTGTTCGCTCTTAAATCGCAGAAGCTGGTCTTTTAAAAAATTGCCCAACATTGAATTAAAATTTGAATCCTTCATCCCACTGCACACATCCGAGAAATTCTGCACGCTTTGGCTCTTTCCTTCCTCGCATTGCGTGATGACTCCGCATGAAAATCCCTTATGCGCACTAAATCACTTAAAAGACAGTAACTGAAAACACTCGTCGGAGGTACGTGTTGTCGGTCAAATGTAGACATTATTGTAAGTCGCAACCGTATCTCTGATTAATGCGCATTTCGAAGTGTTATATGGATTGTTGTTCATGCATAGGAAACTCGAGAAACCACACCTAAACTCGAGAAAACCGCCGCGGCTCGCAAAGAGTCAATCAGCAAGGTGAGTGCCGATCATCTCTTGCATTTCGCAAAAGAATTGAGCAATTGTACAGTCAAAGCATAGTGAAAATATAGTGAGAGATGAAAGATAGTATAGAAAGCAAAGTATAGTGAAAGTGAAAGCAAATTTCGATACATGAATCTTCATATTTCAGGTGCAGGAAATTAAGCAAGAGAGTCGTCGCAGCTCACTCATTACGACCGAGGGAAAGGTATGAGATATTATTGTATCGAATTTGGTAAACATTTCGAGAGCTACGGCTACATTCTACGGCAGTGTGCGTAGAAATTTGTTGTGACATGCCAAAAATCTTTATGTCATTTTTTTTATTATCGCATAGATACTCGATGATGGCACCGCGACACTACGACGTGTTTCTATACAGAAGGTACACATATACACACACACATACTATACACAAGCAATTATAGTTTTGTAGCATTGTTATGTCTCGACAAATATTTTAATTCGATAACTATAAAATATGAAATAATTTACGTCAAAATAAATATTGTTTTAATCATTATAAAGTACATGTAATGGAAGGTAATTTCGACTTTATCTTGATTAGCTTTACTTCACGTTAGAAATTTTTATCGTACATTATAAAAAATGTGTAAATGCCATATGATGTACATATTATTTTTCTAATTGATTTAGACGGAAGAGGAAATCAAGGTAGAGAGCAGACGATCTTCGATCATAGAAAAGAAGAAAGCGACCGTCGAAAAGGTAGGAAAGAGTGTGTCGCAGGCTTTCCATTGGTCACACAATGTGCTAACAATATATGTTTCATCGTTAGTCTGTAGATTTGTTGTTATAATTTTCATGAAAAGTAAAGTAAGTATAATGTGAATGTGAACTCCCTGTCACCTTCTCAAGATTGACGTAAAGAAGGAATTTGGATTTTCTGTATTAAAAGCACGATGTTTAAGTTTATTCGTAGAATAGTAGCAGCATGTGTTAACACAAGATAATATTTGACCGTAAATATTTTTATAAAATAGTTGTATCCACAGCTTTGATTTTTGCTGTGCTTCTGGTGTGTAGACAATTTCGCAATGGAAACGTCACAAAAATCGCGCAACATTATCTTTAGATAAATTTATCTGTACACAATCCCGTCGCATACATTCAATCACAAGTGATTATCGTATATTTGATATGCGACTTTACAAGATTATAAAGTCTAAATATATTACTTTAGGATACACCGAAAGATAAAATACACTTGCACGACACACTTATGAGCAAGACACTCACACGCAAATCCGACGAAGTACCGAAAAATAAGACACACGAAACACCATCGTATAAGATACATCCACAGAAATCTGACGAGAAAATTGAGGTATAAAATACACATTGTCGCTCATAATTCACAAGGTGCGCACTGCACACTCTCAAAACGTTACTGTTTCTAGGATATTTGGTTGGCCAAGCCAAAAGAGCTCGACGTTGCATCCAAGAGACACGATAAAGTACGCGAATACAATTATTAATTTTACCACAGATAACTAGGAAGATATAACACTTTAAATATTATTTTAGGATATTTCGAAAGATAAAACACCTTCACATGGCACACGTGACACACCTACAACTAAAACCTATCCACACAAATCCGACGAAGAATCAAAAGATAAAAAACATCTACACGACACATTTACAGATAAAAAGTCTCCAAATAAACCCGAAGAAGTGTTAAAGGAGAAAACATATTCGCGTGACGTGCGCACGGATAAAATACGTCCACAGAAATCTGACGAGGAAATCGAGGTATACTCGCATTTCGTCGTATAGTTAAGCCTACGTTGTTTGTTCTATATGCTGATTACTTTTAAAAATATCAATATTTTATAGGACATTTGGTCGACTAAGCCAAAAGAACACGACACTGGAAGATACGATAAAGTACGCGAATATATTTGTTATAATACAATCATTATACTGTCACACATACTTTACAAATATTTTACAAACACATAAATATGAAATTCGCGAGAGATTATAATTTCTTAAATATAATATTATTTTTCTTTTTTTTTATATAATGTGTGTTATTTTAGGACATATCGAAAGACAAAACATCTCCATATGGCATATGTACGGCTAAAATACAGCCACAAAAATCTGACGAGGAACCGAAAGACAAAGTACACTCGTCTGACAAATTCGCAACTAAAACACAACCACAAAAGTCCGACGACATATCGAAAGACAAAATATATCCATGGGATACACCCACAGCTAAAATACAAACACGAAAGTACGATGAAACACCAAAAGATAAAATACGCCCACGAGATACACTCGCGACTAAAACACAAAAATCTGACGAAGTACCGAGTGATCAGACACGCCCACGAGATACACTCACAGTTCAAACACAATCACGAAAATCTGACATAGCAGTGAAAGATGAAACAAGTCCACAGGATACACTCATAATTAAAACACAGCAACGTAAGTCTAACGATGTACCAAAAGATGAAACGCGTCCACAAGATACACCTACAATTCAAACACAACCACGAAAATCTGACACAGCATCAAAAGATGAAGTAAATCCACGAGATACACTCATAATTGAAACAAAACGACGTAAGTCTGACGAAGTACCGAAAGTTGAAGCGCGTCCACGAGATATACCCACAATTCAAACACAACCACGAAAATCTGATACAGCACCAAGAGATGAAATAAATCCACGGGATACACTCATAACTGTAACAAAGCGACGTAAATCTGACGAAGCACCGAAAGGTGAAACACGTCCACAAGATACAGCCACAGTTAAAACACAGTCACGAAAGTTCATTGATGGACAGAAGGATGAAACACATTCACAAGATATGCCTACAACTAAAACACAGCCGCGACAATTCGACAAAGTGCAGAAAGACGAAGCACTTTCGCAAGATACACACACAGCTAAAATACAACCACGAAAGCCTGACGAACCATTGAAAGATAGAATACACCTACACGATACACCCACTGACAAGATATGTCCACGAGAATCCGACGAGAAAACTGAGGTATACGATACCTTGATTGTACTACAATTTCGTAATATACGTTATATACTTTTCGTAATGTACGTTACATACTTTTCAAAAATATCAATATATTAATACTTCAATATTAATACTTAGGACATTTGGTCAACTGAGCCAAAAAAGCGCGATATTGCCCCCAGGAAATATATCAAAGTATGCACATCTTAATCTTATTCAATCGAATCAATATTGTATTGATTACTATGAATAGTGCACGAATTTTCGCACAGACAAATAACACTTTAAACACATCAATATTTTAGGATTCGCCGAAAGCTACGGACAAACCGTCCCGTCGTCAATCTGACGAGAAGATCGAGGTACACTCTACATATTACACATTACATTGCGCCGTGTACATTTTTCTTTAATATATTTTTTAACGCTGATACTTTTAGGATATTTGGTCGAGTCGAAGAGAACGTGATGATAAATCACACAAAAATTACGAGGTACATGTTACATAATTAAAAAGAATTATTATTAGGACAAAATAAATCACGTCATTAAGTAATTAAAACACAAAAAGACACACGCAATATTTTAAATCGAATATTATTTTAGGATTCGCCCAAAATTAAGGACAAATCTCCTCGTCGTCAGTCTGACGAGAAGATCGAGGTACACTCTACATATTACACATTACATTGCGCCGTGTACATTTTTCTTTAATATATTTTTTAACGCTGATACTTTTAGAATATTTGGTCGAGTCGAAAAGAACGTGACGATAGATCACACAAAAATTATGAGGTAGATGTTACACATATTAGAAAAAAATAGTTATTACGGTGAAATAAATCATTAAGTAATTAAAGCACACAAGAAGACACACGAAACATTTTAAATCGAATATTATTTTAGGATTCGCCCAAAATTAAGGACAAATCTCCTCGTCGTCAATCTGACGAGAAGATCGAGGTACACATTATATATTATACATTATATTGCGTTGTACATGAACTTTTTTATATATTTTTTAACTTGTACAAACATATACTTTTAGGATGTTTGGTCTAATTGCAAGGAACACAAAGATAGGCACAAAAATTACGAGGTACATTGAGTTGTCGTATGTTATACACATGGAAAAGAATCATTATTACAAAATTAAGTTGAATTTTCTTTTAACATACAAGAGGACACGTTACTTTAAATACGATATTATTTTAGGATTCGCCTAAAGTTAAAGACAAATCGTCCCGTCGTCAATCTGACGAAAAGATCGAGGTACACATTACACATTGCACACTTTATTGCTTCTTACATGTTTTTTTATTTATTTTTTAACACTCGAATTTTTAGGATATTTGGTCCGGTCGGAAGGAGAACGAAGATAAGCCGTACAAAAATTATGAGGTATACAAAAATTATGAGGTTGCGCACGTAGGAAAGAATTATTATCACGCAATTAAGTCAAGTTTAGAATACGGTTTGAAAAGACGCAACAGGTGTTAAATATGACGATTGTTGTAGGATTCACCCAAAATTAAAGACAAAACTCCTCGCCGTCAATCCGACGAAGATGTCAAGGTACACACGACACGTTACACATGATACTGCACCGTATATGTTTTTTTATATATTTTTTAACATTTGTGCACATTTTTAGGACGTGTGTTCTAGTCGGAAAGAACGTGAGAGCAGACCATGCAAAATCGACGAGGTACATCGTATAACAGAGTTCATCACACACTCGAACATATCCTCAATATTCTCGATATATTGTAAAAAGCATCATTATATTATAGGATACACCGCAAATCAAGACCACGCGACGTGTGTCGAAAGCCGACGATCAAAGCGAAGTAGATAGCGCGCCTTTGAGCAAACCGAAAGCACGCGAAGTCAAACCTACGCGAAGTAACGAGGTAGATAAGTTATAGATGACGAGATAGACAACATATACCCGCGAAATTGTGCTTGTCAAGCAACGCACTACCGGCCGCGCGTATACAGGATGTATCAAAGTATCGTGTTGAAATTTTAGGACAAGTCACTGGAAGCGCAAAAGTCGAAAGGACCCGACGACAAACGCATTCCACGTACTAATGAGGTATATACACGAGCACAGATGTATCTAATGTCCAAGTATTCTACATTTTTCGTAATTTACATTCACATATCTTCGCGAGGTACTTGGTATAAAGTATGTTATTATTTTAGGACACGTCGCGCTCCACAGACACACAACAACAACTACACAAAACACCACTCGACCAAGATGTCAAAACTTACTATACACACTACAATTACGTTAGTGCGACATTATACTGCGATACCATAGAGCGAAACATTATTTATTTATTTATCTGTTTTTGTTTAATTGGCTTATAATTTTAGGATATTTGGGCACCAAAGTCCACCGAGCACAAACGGAATTCCGTCACAGTCGACAAGGTACACGTACATGTACACACACACACATACATACGCGTGCACGTATAATTACGTAAAACACGCAGGAGTGAAAAACTGTTTCTCTATTTCCAATTTTTTTTTAGGACGTTCTTTTACCTGCCACTAAATCACAAACACATGAATCCGACGATGATATCGAGGTACAGAATTCGCACACGTTCGCATGCGTGGTATCTTTTTTTATTATTTAATTTTTGTATCGAAAGTAACGAATGTAACGAGAAATAATGCGCGATCGTAGGATATCTGGGCTTCGAGAACCGAGGACGACGCGCCCAAACCTATCAAGAGGACGGAGGTATAGAACTCGCGAATTGACGCTGCGTTTATTTTTACCTTAGTTTTATGAGATCGTGATTTATCGGTATTTTAGGACTCGCAGATTTCCAAAGTCGCGCCGTATAAGATCGAGGACAGAGTCGAGGTACATGCATATTTAATACAAATATTTGTATACTCTCAGAATGTTATGAACTCGAGCGATTCCATTTGGTGCTTTCTGAAATTTACGTATATTACGATGCCGACAGGAACCTACGTCCACAAACGCATTTAAACCTACAATCAAACCTAGGAGCAGCATAAGCAAAGTTAAAGAATCTACGGTACATACACTTTCTGCACTTAATCCTAACTGATATTTAATCACACAGTGATTACAATTACAATTTACAATTATATTTGATATTTTAATTCTCTTGTGCAACACAATTACACATTTAGATATTAATTATATTATAATATAAATCGTAATATGTGTGTGTGAATATATACACACACACACACACATACACACATATATATATACACACATATATATTCTAAATGCTAATTACGTACATTATATATAAAATCTAAATGTTAATTACACTCTCTTAATATTAAAAAAATACTTTAAATACTTAAAAAACGATTACTTTATGCATATTTTTGCATTCATTATTTACGAGAAGATAACATACTCTTCAAGTAGACCTGACTCTTCGATCTTTTTAGGAGGACGATATACCCGAACACGAAATAAGCGAGAGCAAACCCAAGGTACACTCACATGTACACTCATACACGTTCCAATACGGCTGCAACACACGATAAATGTACATGATACAGAAAACATTTTTCTTTTTCTTTATTTTAGATCAGAGACACTGACTCTAGACTTGACAAGGAAGAAGCACCCAAGGTATAAGATAAATATATTTTATACTTTGAGTATATTGTCGCGAGTGACGCATTTTCCGAAATCAACAGTTCCGTTTCATCGTGTTTCGTCGTACAATTTTAGAAAAAGCTGTCCACTAGACGCAGGTCGTCTACTAAGTCAACCGAGGGCTCAGAGGTACAGAATGATCTTCGTTTTCTGTCGATGCCTATCATTGGCTTCTCTTCACTATTCGGTCGCATAGTCTTCGATATAATCTTCACTTTCTCTGATAATTTATAATCCTTAATTCTCGAAACTCTCTCTTTCTTCGCTAAGATTGATATCTTCTATCAAATCAACTATTTGTGTGATATACTTCTTTCTGTCTCTTTTTTATAACTAAGTTGTTTCTTGCTTCTTCTTTTACTTTTCTTCTTCTTGTTCTTCTTCTTGATCTTCTTCTTCTTTTTCTCCTAATTTTCGACGCTTTCATTCATTATAAATATTGTCCAGGACCAAGAACCGGTATTGAAACCGAAGAAGAAGAAACCTAAACCCGTGGATGACGTTAAGGTACACGAATCGTTACCAATACATATCACAATATAAATATCACAAAAAATATAAATTTGATACAATACAGAAATGGTTAGACATTTTACTTTTTTCTGCATACAACAAAATGCAATAATATATAATTATTTGCGCTGATTGCAAATATTTGTTATTAACCAACGCAGAGTCACCATATGCTTTCAATGTATTGTTATTCTGTGTTAATATCGCATTAATATGCAAAATGCATTGTGCGTTATATACTATATATAAAAGTGGGTCAATTATACAGACGCACTTGTACGTGCTGTCCACTATAACATAAATCTCTGGATATTTTTGTTATCTATTTTATACCATTTAAACAGAGATACACTTTCACACAACGTACCTCATAATACATATATTTTTCTAGAAAGAGGAACCAAGCACAAAAGCGAAAACTCCCGGAAAACCAGAAACACGCAAGGTACAAAAAAGACACATTCCCCAAATACGAGAATCGATACATGAAGTATCATATATGAAGTTTTTGACATGATTCCTCAGATATTTTCAAATATTGGTTGTTGCATCCAATTTTCTTAGAAAAGAATGCAAAATATTGCAATTTAAAGACATTATTCTACTACGTTTTAGGAGGAAACTAAGCCTAAAGAGGAGGAAGCGAAGGTATACAGAACAGTTATACTGTCATCCGCATACATAATATTTTTGTCACTCACACTTAACACTGACCCTAACGCTTCATATATATTAATTATTACGATTAAACCAACTCAAAAATATGAACATATAAAGGATTAATATATGAAACATTTCGTTCTCTAAAATCACATCATAATATAAAACGTAACATTTCTTTCTCTAAAATCACATTATAATAAAAAAAATTTGCGGCACTCGTGTTAACAGACATGTTATAAGTGTGCGACTCGCATATCCGTCCACTTTTAAACACATTTCCGACGTTTTTAGGTGGGACTGAAAGCCAAGACCAAGGCAGAGGAAGTAAAGGTATATTTCGCACATACACTATGTACCAGCAATTATGTTCTTATACATACAAATAACAGAATGCGACAAATGTGACAAAAAGTAGGACACAACATTAAACACTGATGTACACTTTTAGGAAGCGCCAAAATCCAAGTCTAGACCAGACGAGTCGAAGGTACACGAAACACTTTTTATAAAACGTTCTTTAATACTGATTTCCATTGGTCTGAATATATTCCGAATATAGCGCAATTGACACGAGAGATAAACACCGTTAAAACTCTACGCGTACACTTTTAGGAGGAACCAAAAGCCAAACCGAAAGCGGAGGAAGAAAAGGTACACTTAAACTCACATTATCTTGCAGCAATGTATACTTACACGAGTAGAGTTTGCGATTGACGAGAAAGAATTCGGGATAAGACGGGACACGTGAATAGAGACTTGGCGGATAGGGAACAGTTTTAAACAACCGCTCATACACTTTTAGGAAACACCAAAGGCCAAGCCTAAGCCAGACGAGCCGAAGGTACATAAAACACTTATCATTTTCCACGCATTTCTGTAGTAAATTTTTGGCAGTTAGATCGCTAACTACTAATAGAAGTAGATGAAAATAGACTGAACTGCGCTGCAGCGATTGACATGAGAATTAAACTTTATTATACGTTACGTATACACTTTTAGGAGGAACCGAAAGCTAAATCTAAAACAGAGGAAGTAAAGGTACACATACTTATACTTACACTATTACGCAGCACTACAGACGAATTATTTTTGTAAAAATCATGAATTCGACACTCAAACACGACACGTACACTTTCAGCAAACACCGACATTCAAGCTCAAAGCGGAGGAGGACAAGGTACACGATACACTCGCAATATATAGTTTCTTGTTCTTATACATTATTATATTCTTACACTGACACATTATATTTTACACTTACGTACACATGATTACATCACGACTATATGAACCCTCATACACTTTTAGGTCGAAGGCAAACCTAAGGCTAAACCAGAAGAGGCCAAGGTAAACGAGATACTTGTACAAATAATTGGTGAAAACATACAAAATACAAAACGAGACAGATAGAAATTGCAATATACGGACAAATGTAAGACAATCACTAAATACTACCCGTACATTTTTAGGAGACACCAAAAGGCAAACTTAAATCAGACAAGCCAAAGGTACACAAACATATTCGATACATGTCGTGTTTGTTAACATCGAAATCGATAAACGAAAATTTTAATTGCACCTAGACAGTAACGATCTCTATTACATTTTACACATACACGTTTTTAGGAGGAACCTAAAGATAAATCTAAAGCTGAGGAAGTGAAGGTATACACACGTTATCAAACATTACACACATTAGTGACAACATTATTAAAGAAGATAGGTTATTTTCGGTAATCGGTGCGCGAGAAAAGTCAGAATATAGCAAGTTTTTGTATTTTTAGAAAGAGGAACCCGCGAAGAAACCTACAGATAAATCAGAAGAACCAAAGGTACACGCCACGTAACACTTACATAACATACAACAGCAAATACAATACAACAGCAAATACATATAATTTAACACGTACACATGCAGATAAATATGAATTAAAAAATGGATACACGAATTTCATCACGCGTTACACGTTATATAGAACAAAATTCTATAATTCTTGTGTTTTTATTTGCAGAAAGAAGAAGAGAGGAAAATGAGCCTGAAATCTGTCAAGGTAATTACAACAGTTTTGTATCACGAGCTGTAATATAATTTATATATTGAAGAAATATTTAAAACATTTCTATACACGCTTACTTTCCTAAGATGCTTTGTCGTAATTACTAAAGTCACTTTCGTTTGTCTCAGAAACTCGAGGAGGAGAAGAAGACTCAAGAAAAAGTCGAGCTTAAGGTATGTTCATTTTTCTTTTACTTATTCACAATCGTAGTAATATCCAATGTATCGTCCTTGGTAGAACTAGAATCAATAACGAAATTAGCCAGTATCTAATTTAATATTTCATTTGTTATCGTAAAATTTAATTTAATATTAGAATAGAGAGTAGAATCTTGTAAATTGTCTTTTTGCTTCTTTGAAAGCGTTTCTGAATTATGTCGGGTAAGACATATTGACACTTCAAAATTTAAGATATTATGTATTTTTGTTTTTGTAAAAATTATGTATTATAACGCAGCCGACCGATGCGAAACCGAAACTCCGAAAAATACCGCCGAAACAGGAAGCTAAAGCGGAAAGCTTTCAGGGGATTCAACTTAAGCCAGTTACAAAAGACCCAAAAGAGGCTCAGAAGGCTGAAAATGGGGTCGAGCTTAAGGTAGTCCCGCTGAAGGGAATCAACGAACTTGCTATAATCTTTATGTTTCTCTCTCTCTCTCTCTCTTTCTCTCTCTTTCTCTCTGTGCCTCTAAACTTTTTTTCTAAACTTCTTCTCTAAACTTCTTTTCTAAACTTCAATCTGCAGCGTGTAACTGCACAATGTATAATAGAGCACCAAAATATATTTCTACGCGTTTTTGTTCTCACACTTTATTTTAGTGGACATTTCTCACTTGGTGTTCTTAAAACAAGTGAAATTAATTCAAGCGTTGAACGTTCTCTCTGAACTCATTTTCTGTAAATAATATATGTATCTATATCTTTCGGCACATTGCCAAGCTGTACATTGCTGCAACTTTATCGATATTCTATCGCTAGCTTTTCTTCGTGATTCACATCTAATTTTTCTTCTTGGTAACAATAAGAAGCGCAGAACACTTAGGCAAGTCCACTGCGCTAAGGGCCTGATTATAAATGTCTCTCTTCTATCTCTTCATCATGTCTCTGTTTCTTCGCGTCCTTCACTCTGCACCGAGTGAAGGAGTTTGCTCTGCGTCACTTCATCTATCTGCACTTTCCGCTGTTCTAATTTTTCTCACAATCTTCTTTATGAGTTTGCCGAGACTGAAAGATGTCTCCTAATAATAAGAGCACTCGTCAATACTGTAAATATTACATGACATGCTATTAAGTATTCGTGTAACACAATACAATCATCATGTCTGAATTAAATCATTATGCGTTAATACTTATTGACCTAACTAAATTAAATTATGCGTTAATACTTATTGATCCAGGTAAGATGGCTGTGTACTTATCTGTATGTGTTATCTTTTATGTCGATCTAACTTCGCGATCTTATAAGAATCAGGAAAGAATTTTTCTGGAATTTTTCTGGAAAAGAAAAAATAAGTTTATTCGGAGGGACGTCTTCCCTTTCGTGTAATGTCAAATTGATATTTCCCGCCAGAAATCAATCAGAAAAATTCTTATGTACAGTAACAATCTCCATCTTTCGGCTTTAATATGATCATAAATAATCTCAATTCTCTTCTTCACAATAGCCTCATATAATATTATCTTAAAAATTAAATTCATACATAAGTTAATATAAATAATTTCAACATTTAAATGAAAGATTGCAAAGTCTAATTCTGAATAATTCTTTATGAACAATTATAAAAAATTATTCAGTCAATGTATAAAATATAATTCTTTTACGATATCGTGTACATAAAATATTATTTTACATTTACGTACGAATAATATCACGTTCTAATTAGAATATCGCAATCGTTTTGCTGCTGACGATTTGTGCAGAAGGGATTGACAAAGGAGCTCTGTGACAGAATCTACTTACTAACTCAACTTCGTACAACGTTATCTTACTCACTAATGCATTCTTCACACGCAGAAAACCGAGAAGGGTGAGAAACAGGAGGTGAAGAAGGTAAAAATGTCGAAGGAAGCGAAGGAGGCAAGTTATGAGCTTCCGGAGATCCCGGATTACGAGAGAGCCGTCCTCGAGAAACCTCAGGAGTTCGACTTTGGCGAGTTTACACCTCGCGACAAGACGAAACTCGATAGGCCGACTACACAGGTGAGGAATTAATTGAATGCCAGGACATATTTACGAATATTCTCGAACAACATGAATTTTAAAAAATAAAATATAGAGATATATTGAATATACAAGATGTTAAAGAAAATATTTCAAACTTACGGAATAGATATATAGAATAGATATAATAATACTCATTATCCTGAGTAAAAAGTGTCTATTGAACATGAGTCGAAAAGTCAACTCTTTCAGAGTTATAAATAGTTTTCAAATTTAGTACGCAAGTTATTTGTGTGCTTTCGTTGATTACGCGCGGTCAATAAACGAAGGAATATCTTATATTATTACTGTGATGTTTACAAGAATTGTTCCTCGTGTCTTCCTTGCGAAAGATTAATTGGACGAACTGATTGCATGGCCTCCTCGATTTCCTGACTTAAATCTGTTGGATTTCTTCTTATGGGGATACATGAAAAATTTCATTTATTTTTCACCCATAAATAATGTACAAAAATTAGATCGATGAATTCGAGATTCAACTGATCAGATTCGAAAGAGACTAAGCATTTTTTAAAGAGTTCGGAATTCTGCAATTCGAAAATGCCAAGTACGAGTGTAAAAGAACACGTAGAACACTTATTGTGAACAATGTAATAATATTTATAAAATAATAATTAGTGCGGACATATAGAGCCAAATTACAGTTATTATGTGTAAATAATTTAATATTAGATTAAATTATTTACACATAACAACTGTAATTTGACTCTATATGTCCGCACTAGTTATTGTTTTATAGATTTGATCTACAGAGCTGTTATATTTAGTCTTGTTTAGTAGAATATAATAATAAATATAGTAAGATACTCGTTCGTTTATTGACCGTGCGTGATCAATGGAAGCACACGAATAACTTGCGTTATCAAAACCAAAAAATGTTTATAACTCTGAGAGGGCTGACTTTTCGATCCATATTTAGTAGACACTTTTTATTTAATATAATGAGTACCATCTACTCTGTAAGTTTGGAATACTTTTTTTTAAACATCCTGTATAATTTAATTATGGAAAAACCGTAAGAAGACACCGTATGTTATAATATCGAATGTTTATACACGTATTCTTAAGGAATGATTAACTTGAAAAATGAATTTAAAATAGGTAACATCATCATAAATTGTCCCAACTAATTATATATTTTCTCTTTTCATGGCGTCGTGCAGAAATTCGATTCTAAGGTGAGTAATCATCGTTTATTAATAACGAAGGGAAAATATGATTTTGCCAAGTCCGCTCGTACAAGAAATCCTGCGAATTTTGCAATCGCCAAGCCGAGAACGTTTTGATCGAGAGCTCTTGATACACACGGTTCAGGATAATTAATTTTTACGCTCGATTTACCACGTTCTAATTATAAACGAGGTGCAAAACGACTGTCGCTCTCATTTTACAAGCTTGGAAGGACGGGAAATTTTTAAAGTAGCCGAGTATTTTATCTAAAAATACAATCTTCAAGCGAAACGTTTTGCCGTTTTGGAGCTCAACTTAACAAGAAGTTCATAAAACGTATTTCACACGACAATATTCTTCAAACATTAAATATTTCTTTAACATTAAATATTATAAAACATTAAATATTTCTTTAACATTAAATATTATAAACAATTCAATTTTTAGTTAACAATTGGAATTGTTAAAATGTTTCAAATAATTGAATTCAAGTCAGACTTTCCCGAAAAATAAAATTTCAATGTTTATTCGTGTCGTTGAAATTTGAATAGCTGGAAACTTCGATCTGTTTTTTTTCTCCAGCAACCGCGAGACGAAATATCCGTTTTCTTATAGAAATAAATAATTTCGATATTTTGTTTACATTCACTCTGTTTGTTCGTGGAGACTGACGACCATCACGTTATCGTAAAAACAAACAGCTCACGCGATCACAATACGATCAGTAATGATGTCAACGAACATAGCGAACGCACCTCTTCCAGAGACCGATCTCTGGCGCGACCAGATCTGGCAGCTCCACGGCGCAAAGAGCGTCTTTATATTTCCCGTTCTCGTCGAAAACAGAGACAACTCAGGTATCCCCGCGACCATAAATACTCTCGTTCCACCTGCATAATCGCAATTAACGCGCGCTGCGGCATTTGCTCGACGGGAATTGAGAGGAGGGTAGGGGCGGAAAGGGGTAATAATCAAGCGGCCCGAATCTCGCCTTGGCAAGCAATGAATGCTTCCTGCAATGTGCGATGCTTGCCGCGCCCGCGGCAGAACTATTTTGGCGGATAACAGCTCGTATATCACCCTTCTGAAATCTCAGAGTCGCGTAGCTGGTCGTCTCTTGTCCTCGTCGCCGTCGCCGCCGTGGATGAGGATGGAGAAAACGTCGATCGCTATTTTCGGACTTTTTGCGACCGACCCCCCGTCGTCCTCGGGCCTACACTCGGCGGAGTGCGTGATTCGAATCGCGGGGTCAGTCGTAATCGCCCTACGAGCGCGATCGTGTTGCATTATTAGCGCGTTAACACCCGCGAAGTCTTGGTTAGCCTAGGATCAGATCGTGTTAGTCTAGGTTCAAATCGTGATCCTCAGATCGCGGCCAATTGTCGTGATTCATTCGGCGATCGAGCTGGAAGCTGTCGGGTTCGACAAGTCGATTGAGGGTCGCAAATGCGACGATTAACGTTACTCTCGCGACTTCTCGACGCTCGATTTTGCCAAAGATGAATGACACAAAGAGATGTAACTTCTCTGCCGAATACACATGACGCATTTTGGAAGCATTTTGAACGGATTTGATGATAAATGCACTTATCGACGAAACAGTGTCGAAGGAATCTTTAAGGCTGAATCTTCCTTCTGTGACATCTTCTCTTTATAATCTGATTTCTGTCCTTTTTCTACGATATTACTAGGATCTTTCTATAGGGAAAAAAAAGATTGTTTCCAAAATATTACGGACAAATAGGAGAGCTGATATCTTTTAGAGACACCTGAATCGACTAAGGACTTAAAAACCCTCAGCTTTTCGCTCGGGCCGATTGGATTTGATGAGTAATCGGTCGATTTTCAATGATCGTAGCCGAAGTTGCCGGAGATCAAGGCGCCCGAAACACCAAAGATCGAAGTTATTAAGGACGTGACACCGGTCGGTAGCAGGAAAGGTTCCTTAGTGCCTGGAAGTGGTGCCAGCAGTCGACGCGGTTCACTCATACCGCCCGAAGAATTGGGTCGCAGACCCAGTCTGATCATCAGTGACGAGGTATGTTACGGAATGTATTGTGTGATCACGGAGGTATATAGACTATCTAGTAGGGGACCAAGCTGAAGAGTACAACAGAGACTCTCGCGATATTAGAAATATTACATTGCCCGAATACTTAAAGGGTGTGTCGATGATTCAGTTCAAGTTAATTAAATTACCCCAATTAGATTTTCAGGGGCGATTAACTGAATTATCCCGATTGGATTTCCCGTTGTAACCGGATGCTCTGAGAACATACTTGTAATTAGTCGTTGAACGCGTTTATGCAAGAGTGTGGATTGGATTCGTTGGGTAATACGAAACTTCGAAAGTTCTCGAGCTCTGTTACATTCTTAAGCACTTACGAGATCACTTTGTTTGTTTTACGCAGATTTCGTCGATAACTGACGAGACGAAAAAGTTAATTTAAACTTGTTAATTTATCAGAAAGATCTTGACAAATCGCCAGACATTGTTCCAATTAGCTGAAAATGTCCGACGTCTAAAAATAAACGGTTTCACGACGTGGTGGATCTATTTCGGTAGAACACTGAGTCACTATTCAATATTAAAGCTTTTTTAAAAGGTAATAGCATGTAAAGCAAACAAGATAGTGTCTGTAAAACGATGGACTTTGCACTTTTGAATCTAAGTCGGTCCAATAATAATTGCAAACATGAGTAATGAGAGAGAGGACAATGAAAATTACAATATATTCTATCTTTGCTTATTGAAATTTGTTTATCCTTTTTATCTTAACAGCTACGAAGTCAGATAATTCATATTCCTGAAGCGAACTCTGTATCTTCAAATACTTATTGTTTTTGAGCAGCGTTCTCATTTCACGTACAAAGCATCATACGAATCGCTTCCTTGTTGTAACAACACACTGTACGTTGTAAAAAAAACATTCCAAGGTGCAAAGCGCTCGTATGAGTCCCAGTAAGTAAACAAATAACGAGTTGCATAAGATACTCGACGAAACAAGTAGGTAGATGACTGGCTACTGCTGGTTGATCCTAGGATTTTTTGTAGCATTTTTTTGGGTTTCGTAGTGACGTCAGTGATATATAGTGATCGTACTCGTGAGCGATAGATACACGCTGACGTGAATCCCCGACGAGCACGGCTATGTCGCCGTGAAGCGTCGAGTGTGCACGTCGCGTTTTAGTGTCAGCAAGGCGTGAAATTTAGTTTAGAGCTCCACACCCGCCCCCCCAAGTGAAAAATCCGAAGTTGGCCAGCTTCTGAAGCATACCTTTCCTCATTTCCCTGTGATCAAAAAAGAACAAAACGATAGAAGAAACGAGTTATCTTCCGCTGTTACTTCCCGTTATCTGTCCCGTCGAACGCGAACGCCCCGGCGAAGGTGTTCCTCCAGGAAAAGAAAGAAAAGAAAAGAGAAAAGAACCGAAAGACGAAATGGAAATCTCTGATGCGCAATGTCGAGGCCACACGGAATCGGTGCGTGTCGGCACGGAGAACGACAACCTGAAGAGCTGAACGGCACCGAGAAGAGCGTCGAAGAAACACGGATAATTGCCGAGAGTGGTGTTTTACTTCGCCTAAGCGCGCAGACAATCGAAAGCGTTCTCAAACGCGCGAGATCTTAGTCCCGACGTTTCGTCAGTTCACGGCGAGATCGTCGAAGGAGATGAGACACTCGTAACTCTTTTCTCCTCGCTTTCTCACACTCCGAGTTATAATTATTCATCTGCCGCGCGCGAATCCCCAACGGATATTTTCAGTTTCGCAATTCTATAACTAGAACTCCGTTTCGGACGGGAAAACACGCGGGACATTATTAATTAGAGTCACTAAAATTGGCCCCTTTAATATAATTCATTTTAGTTGAGATTCTTCGAGAGACTTGGTTCGGGTTCAAGATAAAGATAAAACGCGCGCGGTGGAACGCATTTCGATACGTCTGGTCGGCGTGGTTGCGGTAGGAACGAAAGTCCGGAGCAGAATATCGAAACGATCTTGTCAAGCAATGTAGACGTGTTACAGCATCGGTTACACACACGCACACAACCACACCCACACACACGCGCGTTCGTGCTACCACATCCACGTTCACCTCCTCACAGTAGTGGTTAATAGAGATTTGGTCCATAGGAGCATAGGAAGCTTCGTCCCGGCGAGGTGGTGGACGAGCGCAAGGTGAGATCAATCGCTGGAAACGTGAAAACGAATGCCTCGTCTGCAACCTTATTACTCGGCTAGCACAGTGCACTTTTATATTCTACTTCCACTTATTTCTTCTCACTCACACACTCTCTATCTCTCGCTCACACACATTCACCGGAGTATCGCGCATGGAGGATCGATCGAGAGACATTTCGGACAAATACATCCCTTATAGAAATATCATACTAAGAATCATTGATAATTACTTATTTTCAGTAATAAAAATACTGGATAATAAGTAATTATCAATGATTCTTAGTATGATATTTCTATAAGGGATGTCGGACGTTCCATCGACGTTCGATACCACCTGAGATTTTGCCATTACCGATCTTCCTCGATTCTCTTTGCCCGATCATGCCTGCTCACTACTACTATTTTACTCACTGTGGTCGTACCTGACAGCACACAATGCACGAAGCGCACACGCGTCGTCGCGAATTTAATCGCGCGTCTCGGCATATAGTTGCTCCTAATTAAGATTCATCAACTCAGATTGCGCGAATGATTCGATTCCCGACGACGCGGTGTGAACTTGCGCATGAGAGAGTTCCACTGTGTATACTTGTATTCATTTGATTGTATTCATACCGTATTCATTTGAAGAGCACCTGGTCTTTGTTAATTGAAGTACTGCAGGGTGAAACTCTCGCACGCGTATCACTCGATGTTTCGACACACATAATCCAGAAGTTGAACAGCGAATAAAAAGCGAATGCACCTCTGCACCTGGCACGGATCTGTTGCAACCGAGTCTATGCACACTGGCCCTCTTTTTACGATAATAATAATAATATTATTAATATTAATATTAATAGTGAAACGAAGGGATCGTTATTTAGCAAAAGCTGGGGTTTATCAGTGAAGTCGCATCGCCAATCACTCGCATACAAGGTTGCGCGTTCTCCCTGGCTTACATTTCGACTCGTAGATCACTTGTCTTGGCAAGCATTGTCCGCCGTAGACAGACATCGGCGTTAATAAATATCTCGAGCAGCGACACGACGTGTGAATCATGTCTGACAACCGTCTCTTGTCATCTCGCTCTGCCAGCGAACGTGTATCACTATCAAGCTCGGTAGAAGATGAATTATTGCCCGTGCATTACCGACCTGTGAATCAGACAGATTCAAAAATTTTTGCCGCGAGATCGGTCTAATAAATGCGCAAAATTGGGACGAGCGTAAATCGGGTAAATGAAAAATATATTAATTGGCTTGAGATATTTTATTACTTTTTTCGGGCAGAACTTATGACTGTGACTGTATTTGCTGTATGTATTACGTTATAACGATGAAACGATGACAGTTTATTGATTTCATAAAATAATGACTCCAAAATTGCGACTGCATGGACGATAGCTCGCTGATACGCCTCTGCTTCTTTCTAGTCGGTTATCTCGAACCTCTTCACGTGCATTGTCGATGGAAATCTTCCATAGGATAGTAAAATATTTTCTACGAAGACATATGATAATTTGGATGTGTCGCAGATTCGAGAGAACCGAAATGCATTTCTCAGATTATTCCTGCGAACGGCGATTGCGCCGTGCGAGAGAGAGAGACTCGTGTCTCTCATGCGATCACAATGCGAAATCTACGAATTTGATTGTACTCAAGCTCACTGACGCATCAGCTCTGATATCGTGCACCGCTCAATCACATTTTCGTGTAGCAATGCACCGCCGAAACGCAAATGCAACGCACAGCCGTCAGAACGTCGGTAAGGCGAGCCTCGATCAGCCCCCCGAAGTGCAGCCATATTGTGTTCGTCTTCCGCGAGATCCCTTGTCGTACTTCCAATTTCATTTATTCTTCCGCTCACCGCAATTCCGTCTCTCTTCCAAACCCTTAAGCAAATAATAATAATTCGCCAAGAAAAGCAAAAAAAGTATCCCAATAATTTTTACTACGGCCCTGAGGGGATGCTGAAGACGAACTCGAAAAATATTGATAACACAAAGACAATCATCACTAACACAATCACGCTATCCTTTTCGTATTTCTTGTACATACAAAATTTGCGCAAATGTATATTGCTTGTACCATATTCAGCGAAGAATCTAACGACGCATGAGATCTGGCCACGTTTTATGGAACTCTTCGGAATCGACTCTGATCAGAATAATTCCGTTTCCCCTGGAAAAGACAATAGAAATCTAAGGAATAACGAAAATATTCCGATCGGAATCGATATCGAAGAATTTCATGATACGTGCTCTATTCTTTTTTACTACCCTTATAGAAATGTAATACTGATAAGTAATAATTTGGCCAGTGATAATTATTGAACGACAGTAATTATCACTGGCCAAATTATTACTTATCAGTATTACATTTCTATAAGGGTATACACTGCTGAACTAGCGCAATAATTTAGAGTGAGACAAGTATTTCTTCTCACTCTATCTTATATCAATATAGCAGTGTAGCGAAAAAGGACAGGTCTCTGTTTATACAAATAAACGAAATGTGGCTGCACAACATTGGACACTTGTATATTTCAAAAATATGTCGACAAAGATACATGACAAAAGGTATATATGACGAGAGTTCAACGATTTGATGAGCGTAATCTCTAATATAATCTTCTTCCATTGTTATACAGATAATTTATGGTCTACGTGAAGTAAAAAAGTTTAACATTTATTCGTTTCAAATTTACACGTTTCCTCGATTGTCCGTTGCAGCTACGAGGTGATCAATGTTCGAAACACATCCCAGTTGTTTCATTTGTTACAATCACCTCGTTATTCTGTGTTCTACTCTGTCACATCGTTGAACTTTTCTACACACGCACGTGTAGAAATCTTTCTGCAAACTTTTCGGATTTTTTTAAGCTTCTGAATTCAGAAAATGCGAAAATTAGGCAATTGTTACACTTACTGACAACTTGAGATTTCACATTTAAATTGTTTTTTGTTCCCAACACATATTTATGCTCTTATTTATTTTTGCACGTACTTTTATTGCGTAAAAGCAATTGTAATTTTGTTATCAATACGACGTAAACTTTGCAGAAAAATGTCAATATTCTGTCGATAAAGTTTTCAGCTTCAGCATCCCCTTAACTGTTGGCAAAGCAAGCGCACAAGGAGCATTTTTGTCTTTTGTCTTTTTTGAGAAATATTCTTTTTTTAAAGATACTCGCTTGTTGCCAATCGCACTTTGCAAAAGAAAAATACACACGCATACACGAAAAGAGTAAAGAAAGCACAATTTTGATGACTGTTCTGTGTGAACTTGTCGGGAAGGGGTTAACGAACCGCGTGACAGGCGGCAAAGGGAAAATCTTCGCAATGACGAGCAGTCACGTCAGTCACCCTCATATCTTCGTCTCTGTGATTTTTGCAGTTGAGAAAGTTACGGCCCGGTGAGGTGTTGGACGCAAAGGTGAGATTTGTGTTCGCAATAACACAAAGCTTACCTGCTAAGTGCCATCACCAGCGATCTTCTGTATCATATGTTGCACTGTTTTATTGTCTTTTTTCTTTTTTTCTACGGTGCCCGTGCCCCTTTTTGAATTTCTGGATTTTTCTGCGCCCTCAAGCCCACCACCCCTCACCCTACAATTTTGTAATATATTTTGCCCGCCCAACCCCACGCCCCGATTACCGCCCGAAAAGACAAAGCAGTAACTAAAAGAAAACTAAAATGAGCCCGGCGATGAAGTACCCAAAGAGGCAAAAACAACGCCACGCGTTGGACGGCAAATAATAATAATATTAATAATAATAATAATAACAATAATAATGACAACAATGACAATAATAATGGTGATAATAATGATGATGATGATGATAATGATAATAACGATGATAATAATATAATAATAATATTAATAAAATAATAAAAATATAATTCTGCGACATTTTTAGCTGGATTTTTTGGGGTTGCTGCTGCTGCTGCTGCCGCTACTGTCACACGCTAGCCGCTACTTTTTCAACCATTGCGGTTTAATATCGCGTTTTTTTTAATACCATGTGTTCGTGAGAGAGCACATTGACAAATAATTTACTGATCAATAATTTTAATTTTTTTTTATCTCACATCGAAACATCGGAGGCGCACCCCCTGTCGGGCAATCCCCGACACGAGCCCACCCCATGCAAACCCCCAGAAATTTGAATTGTAATCTCTTTCTTTCTCACTCCCCCCACCCCGCCCCGGCCCTTGCCCCACTACGTGTCTCTGTCTCTACCTCTGTCTCTCTATCTCATCTTTTGTTTTTTCACGCACCACATACAGACTAAGCTCGGCCGACTAGACGCGCTGCAGGAGAAAGAGGTTAGCGCAATATCTCTGTTGTGCGTGTACGCAAATATATACATACGCATTTATGTACAAATATTTATTTTGTGTACGGTTTTTATGCACACGTTATCTCGATATTTTTCCCATATACTTATGACGTACTTTTCGAATTTCCGATAATTATTTATACAGGATATCTTCGGATAACATCCAAAAACTTTACTTACAATAAATCGACTGTTACGTAAAATTTTAGTTATTTCCTTGCAAAATTTTACGTAGATTTATTCGAAACGATTTCGGCAGCTAAATTCCAAAATAAAAATTCACTTAAGATTTGCTGGAACATAGATCAAAGATAAAAACTCGTACGTTTTAACAAGAGACAATTTAATTTTTTTAATTTGTTTAAATTTGACTAACTGAGGAACTCGCTGCTGAAAAAGATACAATTAAATAAAGCTTCTGGATATTATTCGAAATCTGTATGTGTCTATATTTTGCAAAGGCCACTGTTCCCTCGCGCGATAGTTTTACAATAATCGACAACACGCTTCCAGATAGTGCTTTTGCATTGCGTCGATTTATATACGCAAACTCGTATATCTCTCTGGTGATTTGAAAAATTCTGCATTAAGGATTCGAATTCTGAGAACGTATAGATCGATTCAATGCGTACGCGAACGCGCAGCGTAAATTCTGCTTGATTCGAGCGGATACACCTGTACATTTTCTGCGGCTGTAGATGCAATTTAGGTGCAATTGTAATGGTGGTGAGAGATTGGTATTAATTTACGTTAAAGGTAATCGAGGGATAGATGAAATCTCATTGCTATGTACTTACTGTCAGTTTTCCTGTGAAAAAGAACTTGTTTGATATCTACCACCATTAAAGTACTCAAGTAGTCGCAGTAGAATTCGATTCAGATCTGTCGCAGTGGCGCAGTTTTACTTCAACTGAAATAACCAAACGAATAAAAAAAATCTAAAGTTGTTTCTCTCCTTCTTGATCTTTCCACGTTTATAATTGCATTATTAAAACAATTCGCGCGAATGTATAGAATTATTTTTAAATACACGAGTCGACAAGTGAAGACAGTAATAAATTTCCTCGGACGGTGGAAGGACAGCTGACACGAGGAATCGATGTCGAGAATTCGTATCGATCATTCCTACTACTTTGAATCACTGCGACAGATTTGAGGCCGAACAGTTTGCTCTTTTATGTCACAGATACATATATGTGTGAAATAACTTATTCGTGTAGATTTCTATGTATAGGTGTAAACATTGATCGTGCTCACACTATATGTGTCAAGTAGATCCGGCCGAAGTACTTTCATGTTCATCGTCAGCACACACACACACACACACGTGGCATCGTATTCGTATTCGTGCGTCGTGTATAACGTACCTCTTTGTAAATAATCCTAATCATCGAATTTCCTGCTAGACGAGCATTAAAACGGCAAATTAGTTGACGTTACGGGCATCAGATCGGTTCGCGGAGTGAGCAACCGTTTCCGCATTAGCATCTCAGTGTCATCGAAGCGGTAAAGCTAGTCATCCACGAATCATTCATATTTCATCTCACTGTTGAACCTGAATTTCTTACTTCTCTTCCCGAAATTTCTACGTATTTTACTTTTTTGTCCTCCTTTAAGCGCTTGAACTGATATCTTAATACCTAACACCGACGGCACTTACAAGAAGAAGTCGACAACATCGCTAACGATGTCCACTCTATTATCGAAGATTACCGTAAAATGTAGATTGCACTGACAGCGGTAACACAGCGTAGAAAATCGATTGATGACTATTTGATACGTAGTAATAGTGTATCGTGAGATATTTGGCATAATTCACGATGTGTCAAGAAAGTGATTAATTTATTACTCGAATCTTCGAATTCTCCTCTTTGCTTATTCCGATATGCGAAAAGTTACAGCTTTCGGTGCAACGTATAATCACGTCCTGACTAAAAGTCTCCCGACTGACGACGACTCTATGTAAATAATGATTAACCGTCGTTAATTCTCTCCGGTTTTATGTTTACACACGCGTGATTTGCACTTTCGCTTCGCGATTCACGCATTGACACCGTGACAAGGGCGTTTGTCATGTTTGTCTTACCTTCACGCGCGCCGAGCGTGCATTGTCATTTGCGAGACACCAACTGCTCATGAATAACCGCGAGGACATATATTATCATCGAGCAAATGAGTCCACATTCATCTTGAGGGTTGAGAACAGGCAGCGTGAGAATCTTCGAAAGTTGCCCTTGGATCATTTGTGTTCTCTTCTGTCTCTAGCAACTTTGAAGGATCCTGAGTCACGTTGCTGGTTTTCCTCAACCCTTTCACTCATCCGATTAATACATTCCCTGTATGTCTGCCTCCCCTCACCGACTATGCGACTATTCAAGGGATTCTTTGCGTGTATTTGAGTTGTATCACGTTACAATAATTCATTTGTTAATCGCGTGAAATGTCTTTTTTGCTCACGAACAAAGAGAAGCTTACACCAATGGAAAACACGTAAGTTAATGTTGCCTTGAAATCTCTAAAATAATTTTGTTGTGACATACAAATATAAGATAGAAAAGTTCTTTCAAAATTTTCCGATTAACGGCGATTTGAGAATCTTATGTTAGAATTACTGCTAGAAAACGAACAGAATACCCTTGAAATCGCAGGCTACGCAGTCACGTGGTTGGAGAAACGCTTACCACGAGAGTCGGTAAATCATCATACGAAACTACCCATGTGTATCGATCCCCATCTTCTTGCTAATCGATGCATCTTGAAAAAAAAAAAACGAGTTGTAGTATCGTCACTAATCCTTATGAGACTTACCCAATTGTGTGGATAACACACGGTGAACTAACGATTGAAACGTAACGCTGACTAACTATGTGAATTAATGATTAACTGTAAATAACGATAAGACATTTTTATAAGTGTAAATAAACGTAAGTAATGATTAATGGAAATATGCGAAGCCCGCATGAGCCGCAGATTTATCGGACGACGACCGCAACTTCCGTTTTTGTTTATTTTCCAATGATATTCCTTCTCGTAGTCAAAAAGAATGACTCGAAGTAAAATCACGAATATTATTCGCCGATGTATAAGATCGAAATCGGAATATAAGAAAATGCTTCTAGAAGCGGCAATTAAATGTTCATCTAACTTATTATTTCTGACAAATGTAGTATCGTAGCAAATGTAGTTAACTGCAGCAACTCGTAATTTGCATCTTCCTGATCCCGATTTCGCGAGCTCGCCGGACACAAAATTTCGAGATTTCGATCTTGCGGAAGCTGTCGCACGTCGCGCTTCGTATTTTCTCGCTTTCACTCGAAAGCTTTTCAATGCCTTTCACGTTGAGCGCGAAATGCATAAATTGCGTGTGCGAATTTGCTCACGTTGTTATTCGAATGGTGCAGCGTCGTCGTCCGAGCACAGCGGACATCAGAAGACCCAGCGTGGCGGACCTCGAGAATAAGATCAATCAGCCTAGCACACCTCTGCGAGATGTCGGACCAGCTGGACCACCCCAGATCGTCGATGTCCAAGAGTCGTACTCCGCCGTCGAAGGTACGTCTCAATTTTACTTCACTTAGTAAATTTTCTTCAATCACTTTTATATTTTATATTATGCAGGGTTATTTCCAAAAAACCATTCAGCATTTATATGGTAGATAGTATACATTTATGATAGTTAGCATCATGAATGACTTACTGGCTTTACAAAAAGCTTTACTGGCTTTTCCGCATGTCTTCTTTCCATTTTCTTTTTATAGAATCGCAAATTTCTTGATTAGAGTAATACGATGTCATTTTTAGACCTTATAACCTTGTAATCACCAAATAAGATCCGCAATTACCAGTTGATGACACCTGACTGATTGCCAGTGAAATCTTCTGTTGTGAAGTATGTACGGAAATTGAATGAGGACATACAGAACGCGGTTTATAAACATTGAAGTAAACATCGCATACGACACGTAAAAACCTAAGTCATTCATAATGCTAACATACAAAAATGTTTATATCTCAGAAACGATTGAGCTTTCGATCTATATTCACTAAGATTTTTTTTTATTCAGTATGTACTATCTACCATATAAATGTTGAATGGTTTCTTGGAAACACCCTGTATATATTTACTTACTATTATATTACACTATTATATTATTTACTATTATATTTTATATTACATGTATTTTATTTACTTTTACATATATTTGGTTTAATTATATTCAATTATATTCACTTTTATATTTTATATTATATTATTAATTTTTTTCTTCATGTCATATATGATTATATATATGAACACTTTAACTTTGTTTAAAAAGTTAACAATCTTTGTTTTCCGCAGACTCGACGGCGTATCTCACCGTCGCGGTGGAGGGCACGCCCGCGCCAACTTTCAAGTTCTACAAGGGCATCACTGAGATCATCGAGGGTGGCCGCTTCAAGTTCCTCACGGACACGGAGACCAACACGATCACCCTCTGCATAAGGAAGACGAAGCCCAACGACGAGGGCACTTACAAGATCGTCGTGAGCAACATCCATGGCGAGGATTCCGCCGAGATGCAGCTCTACGTTTCCGGTAAGACTCGCATCCAGCTCTGTCGACACACGTGCACAGACTGACAATCCAATAAATAATTTGAAGAGCTTTTCTCACATAATTAATAGACATTTTAATGTCGGCAATACCATTTTATACTTAAATTAACGTTTAGTGCATCTTGATACTTCAAGTATCAGTAAAAACAAAATGAAAACGTTTATCGATGCTCTGACATTTAACTGACAATACGGATTTTATAACAGACGCCAGTGGTATGGACTTCCGTGCTATGTTGAAGAAGATTAAGTATCAGAAATGGGGGCGAGAAGAGGTCGAGCAAGAAAAGGTGGACTTGAAGGAAGTCGAGAAGCCCATGCCAGCGTTGAAGAAGGTGGAAAAGGTATGTGTTTAGCTTCACCCACTCGTATACGAACTATGACACGCAAACGAAATGTTGCGGGAAATTTTCAATGAATCTCCCCTTAGTTTAGAACTAGTGAGATCACTTTATGTGGATATCATCGAATCTAAGATAAGTTCAATCGGAATGGAATCGTTGTCGCGTGTGCATCTGTCACTGTGCAACATGTTTACAATCATCATCGACGTAATATTCGTAACGTGGATGTGAATGCAATTTCAGCACGCCATTAACAGCGTGATGTCTTCGTGAATAAAGAAAACAGGTGATACATCGATTTCACGTACAAATTTAATCTGTCATCCGCCTGTTGAATTCTCTGTTTTCTAATTCTCATTATTCACTTTTAATCGACAACTGCGTCGTGACGAGGAAATTAATACGGAAGACTTCTCTACGACGATATTAACAGAACTTTGTTCACTTTTAACCAGTTTAGGATGAAATCGCACATCTCTCTCGATGTTTTTGATGAACAGTTAAGCTCGATGGGAGACATGATTTTTTTTATTCAGCTCGCATAGTTAACAGCGTCTACCGATTTCGCGCCGTGAAGTAACTTCCGCGACGATCGGTTCTCAAGATCTCATTCGCATTTTTGCCTGTTTTTCTCTTTCTTTCTTTCTTCTTTTCTTCTTTGTCTACCTTTGTCTTCTTAGTCGCTACGAAACGAGATACATGGACCGAGCTGGTATCAAGACGGCGAGGAAATAGTGATCTTGACGGAAGGTGTGGAGATCCTTCGAATTTCCCTAATCAGGAAGGGTGAAACTAATTGGAGCTGGCTCAAGGTTTCTGAGCGACCCCGCGTAGTGAACCCTGCAATGACGACGACATTACGACGATGACAATTTTCGAACACCGACGAAACGTTACAACTCATTGGGCGCCTTCTGCAGTTCTTTTTAAGGAATAATTGTAAAGAACTGCAGAATGGTGAATCTTGACCTTAACGTGCCACATTGTTGACTGTTAATCGCTATCGGAAAGTCTGCCACTTTACTCTCGCGCGACCAACTAAATTTCGACTATGCCACATATGTTCTCCATTTCTCCCCCTGGCCCGACTTTGTTGCGCGAGCAACGTAACTTTCTCTTCTTGTCCTTAACGTATGCATCTATACGTACATGTATGGTTTAGAGTTAATGCTGCACTTTGTATACTACATCTAACCCTCGATTCGAAACTTTCAATATTACCATTTCTGAATTATTTATTGAAGTTACTTATTGAAATTAATCATTCTAATTTTATGGTTGGTGATTAAAATTATCAATTACTTAAGAATAGCATTTATCTTTTATAAAATATTTTGTGAAAAATTTAATAGAAGAGTCTTTACTGATATATGTAATATTAATTAAAATTAGGAGACATTATCTTATACCGTATTGAGGGATAGCTGTATATTATTACACATTTGTCCATTAACAAGCAAGCACGATTAACGTAACTCAAGAGCCTACCGCTGGTAGAAAAAAAAAAAAGAAATAGTCACTTGCCAAGAACATGAACTGTTAAACTGAAACGAGTGAAATTGGCACCATTTCAAATTCATTGCATGTGACACTTCTCACATTGGAGAAGAAGCATTATCTCTAGACGCGTAGAAGTATCATAGAAAAAGATAAGAACTCTGATATACTTAAATTTATCATTTCAAATATTTGACAAGAATATTCAATATGATAAAATATACACCTAGTACTCTCAGAAATGTGTATGCATTATATAAATTAAAAAAAAAAAGAGAGATTGGTTTCTCACTAGGAAGGATACGATTGGCTGTCATTTCTTGTCAAAATTTTATTTCTATCGAAAATTTCTTTTCCAAATCAGAGTTCTTTGAAAATTGGTATTGGCTAATTGTATAAGAGTGGCATTAACCATGATGTGTGTGTGCCGGGCATGCAGGACATCTTCGACATTCAGCGCAGGCCAAGTTTGCAGGAGCTAATCGTCGACTGGCCAAAACTAGCGACACGCGCCAAGGAGAAGGTTCGCGAAAAAAAAGTCTTAAAGCAATATATACCTTGCATTAGATTCCAAAATGCCACAAAACAGAGAGCAGAACCGCCCCGCAAGGCTTCCATTCACTTCCTCAACGGTATTCTGGTTAATTAAGGATCTTCCAAGTCCGAATCTGCGTCTACTTCGACACGATTATCATTCTTTCGCGCTGAAAATCTTTCGTTTACTCAAAATTATAATTATGAATTCAAAATTGTATATAGTTAGATGTGTGATATTTCTTTATAGAATTGGCGCATCGAACTTTGGAAGTATATTGCGGTATTGCCGGAACGGTGCTTTTCAGTTCACGTCTCGATACCTCATGATAATTTACCAGAATACCTATCTTCTTCGGATTTTTCTAAACTTGATCCTCTTTGAGCAAGATAAGAGAGAAAAATGATGTTGCTGTAGCACAGCAAAGAGATCGGCTCAATGCGGACGTTGAAAGCGATCGATCTCTTTGCTTTATTAAGACAGATGTTACGTCAATCCGATTGTAAACAGAATGCAAATTGGTCGAAACAACGTAAGAGAAGCCAGTCAGTTACTCGCAAGAATTTTTCGATGCGGCACCAATATAATCGGACTTCGTGATTAGTCGACAGGCGAGTCAAAAGTTTCGAGAAATCGTTTCAAAATTCTTGCGACTATTGTACGATTGAGAGATCGCTTTGGCCTGCGCTTTCCTAAGGAACAGTCTCTAGAGATTTCATGACATCACGAAACGGACAAACGAAATAAGTCCTAAGTTCACTCTTGCAAACTTATCGCGGACTCACACGACTGAAATGAAAACTAACGAATCACGGCTGAATCATCCACGCTTCTCACGCTTAAAGGAGGCTTTATCATCCACATATCGCTTGTCATCACGCATGCACACGTTTACGTGAATGTTTTTCAACTAAAACACGTAACACCACGTAGGTTGTTAAGTAAATCATCATTCCTCGTCATTTCACTTCTCCCCGTTGAGTTATGTGATTTGCTCGTACACAAAATCACGAAATTTTCGATATTTGAAAGTATACAATAATAACAGATAACATTAACTGAAACTGATAATATTAATGATAACAACTGATCGCTCATAGTGTGTAACACAAGAGTACATTATAATATACTTTGTAATACACTTAACAACTTTGTAACCATCGTTGCGGATGATGCATAACTCATAATGACGAGTAGCGATGATCTCTTTTTCCGGAAATTCTGAAATAACGAAGAATAGTACGGTACAAGATATAGAATTAGCAACGACTGAGTTTTAAGGAAAAAAAAAGAAAACAGAAAGGAAGGATTTAGAAATCCGTGTTGATCTTTTTCCCGCTGAAAGCGATCAGTGAGCAAGATTGATCACCCAAAATCGGCAAGACGCTGTGATCGCGAATGCCTTTTGTTGTTTCTAGAATAATGGATCGCGTAGGCAATCCCTGGCCGAATTAATTCCCGACTGGCCGACCCTACATCACTTCACCAGGACGCAGGTTGGACCGATTCTCACGTGAATCAATCTCTCTCAGCAGTCTCACGTGATATCGATTATCTGTTTGCCTGTCGCTATTGCTCGACAATCCTCTCGAAACTCTCTTTCTCTTTGATCAGCTCCGGAACTCACTCTATTTTTCTGTCACTCTATCTCTGGACGACTCTTCCCACAACACATTAATCGATCTGTTGCGGACTCTACTACCGTTTCTTCTACCTTCACAAATTAATGACGCTCTGTTATAAATGAATTAATTTCCTAAGACTCAGCTTACATCGCTGTCTCTGGAATCGTTGCATCTTCCCACTCGATCTCTATAGCTTTACTTTTCTCAATTCTTCTATCGTTTCTCCGACGGAAACTCTGTATAACTGTTTAACTCTGGAAGCGCTTGAAGAGGGATTTTAATTTATGACATCTTCAATAATGAGGAAAAAAGAAATTTGTCGCATTAAATAATTGAAATTGAATAAAAGAAACTACTTTTTTCACTTAATATTATTTTAATGTAAAGTTTCTTTTATTTAATTATATATTTTCAATTGAGAATTACTTACGATATTCCGGCACTATTATGAATTTACATGTTTGAATTTACACAAATTTTATTGTGTCGATTATATATAAAACCATTATCCACAATTAGAATCCCTTATGTCAAGTTAATATCTTTTCTCGTCGATGTGTTAAATGTGCCGTTATCAGAACGCCTTCTCCAGCAACTATCTTCTCGCACAACTATCTTGCTCGACAATAAATATCTTTTCCTCTCTCTCTTTCTTTCTCTCCGAGGAAGCCCACCTATTCTTATTCTTCTCAAAGCTGCATAACGCAACTCTTAACTCTTAACTAGCTAGCATGATGAGTCACAGGCTTGAAAGTCCGATCAGCTCTATCAACGAACGGTCGATCGAGCTTTTTGTCGATTTTCCACGTTTTTCTCTAGAATCTTTTTTCTAGAGTCCGTCCCGAAGTATTCACGGAGACTCCGTCTTCGTCCCTTTTTCTTTTTCTTTTTTTTTTTTCGTTGTCGCCCTCCTGCTCACACAGAGAGGCAGAGGTGTATTTTACGATTTTTCCACCGATTTTTTGTCTACTTATCTTTTTATATCGCCTAGCATAGCGACCGCTGTCGAACGATATTACTGGATTTCTACCGGCCGCCTTTACGGACGTGATCCACGTTTAATCGGTGGTTCTCTTTCGCAGAAACCGGAAAGCTTCCTGAAGCCATTGATAGATCAATACGCCAAGGAGGGCAAGGACAAGAAAGTCACATTCGAAGCGAACTTTACGAAACCGAACTGCAAGCCGAAATGGTTCTTCCGAAAGGACGTGAGTGTTTCTCGAAAATTGTTTTAATATTTATTGAGAAGATTCTATTTTTGATAAATAATTTTTACAACCTAACTTTGTATGCAGGAATTATTCCCGTCAGCCAAGTACAAATTCAAAAACGAGGAAGACTGCTACCAGCTGGTCGTCCTCGGACCCAAAGTCGAAGACACCGGAAAATATACAATTGAAATTTCCGGTGTATCCAGCACAGCCTTCCTCAACGTGGATGGTACGCAACATATTTTTCCTATAAAACAAATTCTTTTTCTTCTTAACAGAGAAATCTTTAATTAAATTCATCATACTTCTTCCTTTTCCAGAACCTGATCCAACGTACACCTTCACGAAGCCGTTGCAGAAGAACATCAGCGGCTTTGCCCAGCATGAAGCTTACATGGAATGTACAGTCAGTTCCAATATGGCGCAGGTACTCTGGTATAGGGGCAAAACAAAACTCGAGGTAATTCATTGTACTAAAAGTTCGAGTAAATCTACATTTGTTATTTTTTCTCGTGCTAATCGAATGTTATTCCTCAGGATGGAGATGTGTATAGTATCTCCAAAGACATAGCCGGCGTTTGTCGGCTAACTTTAAAAAACGCGACTCTTGAAGACAGCGGCGAGTATTCTTGTAAGATAAGCAAACAAACGGACAAAACCGAGACGACTCTTTCCATAATTGGTACGTATCGCTTCTTTTTTATTGTAACAATTCGTTTCGAAGACATACAATGTGTGACATTTCGTATAAAAGATCGAGTTCGCAAAATTTTTGTTTTCACTACACTGAAATTCGCTAATAAGCAGTGAAAGAGGATTTATATTAATATTAGGAGAGAGTCTAAAAATTGCGATCGCGTAAAAAGGTTTAGCATATATAAATAATATAATAATACTAATGCTTCTTTTTTTGTTGAAGCAATAAAAAAATTATTTAAATGACGCCTTTCCTTCTTTAGAGTACCCTTACAAATTCGTCAAGGTGCTGAAGCATCAGCAATTAGTAGAAAAAGAGGCGATGGTTTTGATTTGCGAATTAGACGATGCCGCGGGTGAAGTAAAATGGTTTAAAGGCGACCAGGCGATTACGCCTGATAAGAGGTACATATTCTAATATACCAATCTTTTAAATGCCGAATTATTAATTAATTTAGGTAATTATATAAAAAAGCTTGTACCTCTCGAATTTCAAAAATATATTACTTTAAAATATTATAGTTTGATCCTTCATTATACATATGCACATAATATAATATAATATTCCTCAGATTTCTATTATCATTTCTATTGTCACTAGGGAAAACGGAATAATTCCGATCAGAACCAATTTTAAAAAGTTCTATAATATGTGTCCAATTTTTCTGTTTGCATTAAAGTAGATGTTAATTTATGTTAAAAACCAATGGGAAACTTTGGTTCAAATTTGTAATGCGAAGCGTCAATTTTATATTTTTCATGGCAATGTAAAATGCAATTAAAATATTACAGATTATTCAGAATTTCACCTTTTATATCTTAAATTTTAAGATTTATTTCTTTAACTTTAAAACGTTAAATTAAATAAATCCGAAAGAGGTATAATTTCTTTTTATATAATATTATATTTTGTGATTTATTATATTTAACATTTTGTATTTCTTAAGATTTCACTGTTTATAAATAATTTTTGCATTAGGGTGCAAATCAAGGAAGACGGCAGGAAACGAAAACTCACCATTAAAGACTGCAAGGTCACCGATGCTGGACTCTACTCCTGCGTGAGCAACGCTGACAAGACAGAAGCCGAAATTGTGATAATGTGTATGTATAACACAACTTCATCTTCGATTTATTCTCGATGTCTCACTTCCGGAGTAATCACATAACAATGTACTTCTATGCATATTACAGACGCCAATCGCTTCAACAAGAAGCTGAAGGACACGGTCGCAGTCGAGAGGGAGAAGTTGGTGCTGGATGTCGAGCTGCAGGATCAAACCGCGCCAGCCATATTCTACTTTAATGGCGAGAAGATCGAGCCGAACGAGAGGATAGAGATTAAGAACCTGGGCGGTGGTAAGCACCAGTTGGTCTTCAATCGAGTGGAGATGACAGACGATGGCGAGATTATGTGCGAGAGCGGTCAGCTGACCAGCAGTTGCAAGCTTACCGTGAGGAAAGGCGAGAGTAAGCCTATAGTCGACTTCCCCGACAAAGTCGAAGGACCCTGCAGCGCACCACTGACCTTTGTCGTGCCTTTCAAAGGTAACATTTATCTTTTCAATAAACAAACGAACGCTGGATTAACATATCTTGAAGTATTGATCTTGCATACATATTTTTTTAGCATTTTTGTTTGATATTTTATTAATATATAAATATATTTTGTAATTTATTTTTTTCTATTTACTTACATCAAATATTTTAAATATTTCAAAGTTCTACTAGACAATATGATCTTTTTGAATATTGCAAATACATCTTTTAGAAATACTGAAATGTCAAAGTCATCATTTGTACAACATCAAGTACTACACATTAAAAATATTATACGTTATTGAATATCTTTACGATAACGTTCTGTCAATGATTTTTTTTTTATTGGATTGTTACACGACTTAAATTCTGTGAAATCTCCAATTATTGCATCCACGTCATGAAATTTTATATTTGCAATTTGTACAGTCGATGGCACCAAACAGAGTCAAGTGGAAGCGAAGCTGATGAAGGACGGCAAAGCACTACCTCTCAAGGATGTCGAGATTGTTGTAGGCGAGGATAAGATCACATACAAGATCAAGAAACCTCAACGCGAGTCGTCTGGAATCTACCAGCTCAAAATTAGTAACAATCAGGGCGAAGAAGTGAAAGACGTCAATATTATTATGCAAGGTTCGTACTGTTCGCATAAGAATAATTACATACAATTAGTTTGATCCTTAGTGGCCTTATATGGGTATTTCGAGTCCGGATAGTTTTATTCATAGAAATTTCTCAACATGTTGAAGGGTTCCGGATTTTCTGCCGCCTCCTAAAAAATATTACGGGTAGGGGAAACTTGTTTTAGAAACTTGAAAGTATATCCATGAATTTTTATAGATTTTTCGAACCACTTTAAAGATATGATAAAAGGGCCGGAATCAAAAGACCCATGTAGGACCACATGTGGTGTTGTTTTTCACATAAGCCACTAAGGGTTAATAAAATCTTATATATCTACGTTACTTCTCATTTTCACTTCTACGATTCGTTAGACGTTCCGTCTGCACCGACCGATGTCGACGTCAAAGATATTTTCCACGACTCATGCGTCGTGTCCTTCAAACCGTCGAAAGATGACGGTGGCTCACCTATCACGAAATACGTCATCGAGCGTCTCGATCTGAGCCTGAAGTCGCAATGGGAAAACGTGGGCGAAGTCATGCTAGGCGAGAAGTGTGTCTATAAGGTGACGGATCTCGTGACGAAGAAGGAATACAAATTCCGCATACGGGCGTTAAACAAACTCGGCTCCAGCGAACCGGCGCTGTTTGCCAAGCCCGTCTTAGCCAAGGATCCATGGGGTAAGTTTCCCTAACCAGAATTAATTGAGGAAAGAGTATAAATAAACGAACAAACTTTATATTTTTTTAAATGTAGATATTATATATATTGTATAAATAATATTTATTCACACACACATTAAAATAACTATTTTTTTTAATGCCTAAGGTTACGAAAGTTTCTTTAAATTAATAAAACAATTCCTCACATAAATAAAATGATTAAATCGAATAGTCTAATTTTTTGTCACTTTTTCCAATATTCTGTTTTCATTGCCTAATTTTATTTTATTATTGCGCTATTGAAAAAGAGAAAGCAGTGAAAGGAAAATGTTCTTGCGTGTTCCAGATGAACCAGGCAAACCCATGAATGTCGATATCACCGATTGGGACAAGGACCATGCTGACTTGACATGGACGAAACCCGACGACGACGGCGGTGCACCGATCACCGGGTACATAATTGAGTACAAGGAGAAGTTCGGCAAAGAGTGGGTCACAGGCAAGGAAGTAGGAGATGTTACTCAAGCGACTGTTGACGGTCTGAAGGAAGGCACACAGTATGAGTTCAGGATACGCGCAGTGAACAAGGCCGGTCCTGGCGAACCCTCCGATACCACCAAGCCTATCATAGCGAAATCTCGATTTGTGAAGCCATATATTATCGGTGATGGCCTCACAAATCTAGTCATCAAGAAGGGACAAGTTATCAAGTTTGACATTAAGTACGCCGGCGAGCCAGAGCCAGAGGTACATTGGTTCCTAGGTCAAAAGGAGATCTTCCAAGACGCGGCGGAAAGGATCACGATCGACAAGTACGAGAGGAATACCGTGTTGACGGTCAGAAAGACCACCAGACCTGATTCCGGAAAGTACAAACTGTTGTTGAAGAACAGCTCCGGTACCTGCGAGAGCACTAGCGAGGTCGTCGTTCTTGGTAAGCTTTTTGAACAGATCTTGTTAATATCTTCTTGAAGTTATATGTATCTTCTAGACTGCAGAGTGCAGAGTGCAGAGTGCAGAGTTTTTTCAAGAAATTGGAAAGATTTTGTCTTTTATAAGAACGTTTTGCACGACATATCGTGGGACAAATTTTTAATTTTTAAATCTCTTTCCTAATTTGGCGATCATATTCTTCACAGACAAACCATCGATCCCGATTGGACCCCTCAAGACGGAGGAAGTACGCTCCGATCATGTCAAAGTCAAATGGGACGCACCCGAAGATAACGGCGGTACCGAAATCACCGGTTACGTGTTGGAAAAAATGGATATGGATACTGGACGATGGATTCCAGCTGGAGAAGTCGGTCCTCACGAGAAGATCTTCACGTTCTCCGGCCTGACGCCCAAAAAGAAGTACAAGTTCCGAGTCAAGGCCGTCAATAAGGAAGGCGAGTCTGAACCATTGGAGGTCGAGGAAGCTATTGTCGCCAAGAATCCTTACGGTAAGAATACATTAAAATAGGAATATTTTGCATGGATTTAAATAAAATAATTAATATATGATGATGAAAGTTAACACAAAACTCGTACGGAAAATTTTTATACAAAAGAGAGCGGCCAAATTTAGCCTGATTTTTTGTACCCCGAAAATATCTAATATTTTTGTATATTATGAAAACTTACGACATTTTCGAGGTACAGAAAATCGGACTAAACAGACTTGGCCACACTCTTTACATAATTTTTTTTTACAGATGAGCCTGGTAAGCCTGGCAAGCCTGAAATCTTCGACTACGACAACGTCAGTGTGTCCCTGAAATGGGAGAAACCAAAAAGCGATGGTGGACGAGTGATCACGCATTATACCGTCGAGATGAAGGATAAATTCGCCGTCGACTGGGTTGAAGTGATGAAAACCACTGATTCGACTCCTGAAGCTAAAGTAGAAGGCCTCAAGGAGAAGATGGTCTATCAATTCCGCGTTCGCGCTCATAATAAGGCTGGTCCTAGCGAGCCTAGCGATCCTACGGACAACCATCTCTGCAAGCACAGGAATCGTAAGTTCAAATTTTCATCATTCGAGCTTTATTCTTCTCATTATAGCGTGGCGTATTATTAGAAGTTTGGTATTACAAGTTATTGGATTTATGAAACAAACGTTTTTGCTAAAACAAAATTGAGCTCGATTTGAGATATTTTATATATTATCAAAAAGTTTTATTATCTAAAAATCACTTAAACTTAAGAAATACTTGATTTTTAACAAAACTTTATAAAAATGACAATAGAAAAATGTAAAGTGGGAAAGAATTTAAATGAACGAAAGTCATTTAGTATTGTATGTATTATATGTATGTATATATTGTATGTATATAGAGAGTATATATTATTTTTTAGAAATGCTCTGCACATGCAAATAAATAAATGATAAAAATTATTAGAATTAACTCGCAGTTGTAAGTGTGTAAAATTATTTTATTACTAACTAAAGTTGAAAAAAATATTTTCAGTGAGACCGAGAATCGACCGAACGAACTTCAAGTCCATCATCATTAAAGCTGGCCGCACACATAAGTGGTCAGTGGATGTTAGTGGTGAACCTCCGCCAGAAACCAAATGGATTTGGAGGGACAATATCCCGCTGACTACCACCGAGCGTATCAAGATCGACAATGTCGACTATCACACCGATTTCACAATCGTCAATGCGATGCGCAAAGATACCGGAAAATATACTTTAGTCGCCGAAAACGCCAACGGCAAAGACGAAGAAACCGTCGAACTCACAGTACTAGGTAAATGAAACTATAGAATAGAATCATATTAGTTTGCTATTATGTTAGTTAAATTTTATAAAAGCTACATTTTTTGTATCACGTGTCATGTGTGGATAAAAAACTTTATATTTAATTCACCGTTTAGTATAACACGGTAATAAAATTAATTTAATTAATAGATTATATATATATATATATATATATATATATATATATATATATATATGTATGTATATACATACATACACGCGCGCTTTATTTTACATACAAATGGATCTAAAGAAAAAGAAGAACACACACATACATTGTGTTTAAAATAGAAATTTAAAGGAAATATTTCTTTCCTCACAGGAAAACCAAGCGCGCCTAAAGGACCTCTAAAAGTCAGTGATGTCACGAACACCACGGCTAAAGTGAAGTGGGAAAAGCCTGAGGATGACGGTGGTGTGCCGATCAAAGAATACGAGATCGAGAAGATGGACACGAAAACAGGGAAATGGGTCAGGGTGGGCAAGGTGCCTGGGAACTCTCCCAATACAGAATTCGAAGTTACCGGCCTGAATCCAGGAAGCGAATACAAATTCCGCGTAACAGCTGTTAACGACGAGGGCGATTCGGAACCTTTAGAAAGCGATCGTGGCGTCATTGCCAAGAACCCATATGGTGCGTCAATATTTTTCAGACGTTTAAGTGATATATTAAGATCTGATTTATCAATTCAAAGTACATATTCGAACCATACAAGATATTTTGAAAACCTTTATTCAAGAATATATTTTTAATTAATAAAATACTGAAGAGAATTGTCAAAGAAATTCAAAACTTTGATTATCCAAATTTAACTGTTAAGATATTAAATCTCAAAAGGTTAAGATATTAAATCTCAAATCTCTATCTTTTATTCTTAAGAAGAGAAAACAAATGCAGACTTGAATGTATTTTTAATATTATTAATAATATAATTCTCCTTTTCAGATGAACCGTTGAAGCCGGGAACGCCGGAAGTCACGGATTACGACAACGAATCCATAAGCTTGAAGTGGGCCCCGCCCGAATTCGACGGAGGAGCGCCGATCGAGAAATATATCATTGAAAAGAAAGATCGCTACAAGCCTGATTGGGAGAAGGCCATCGAGGTGCCTGGAAATCAACTCGACGCCAAGGTACCGGACTTGAAGGAAAGGGGCGAATATCAGTTCCGAGTTATCGCCGTGAACAAAGCCGGACCTTCACCTCCATCTGATGCATCGAAGATGCAGATCTGCAAACACAAAGCTCGTAAATATTTGTTAAATCTATCTCTCTCTCACACATTTTTATTACATTATTTTATTATATTTTATATCATTTTATATTTTATTAGATATGTATAACGTTTTTAATATTCCGGCATCGCGAATATTCAGGATACAAATCCGTTTGTTTCAGTGAAACCGAGAATCGATAGAACGAACTTGAAACCGATCATCGTGCGAGCCGGCAAAAGCGTCAAGTACGACGTGGACGTACAGGGTGAGCCGCCGCCAGAGATCAAGTGGTATCACGCCAACAGCGAGGTGAAATCCGGCGAGAATATCGAGATCATCAATGTCGACTACAACACGAAGATCACTATTAGCGACAGCTTGCGCAAGAACACCGGTGTATGGAAAATCAAGGCTGTCAATTCTCACGGCGAGGATGAAGCGGAAGTTGAAATAACAATATTATGTGAGTTGCAAGTACCACATCGGTTTTTTTCAAACACTGAAAGTATAAATTATAGATTCTTGAAAGAAGTTTTTCGCGCGTTATTTTGTGGTTATTCTTGCGAGTTATTATTATGACAAAACTATTCTTACTATTATTTTTATTATTATGTTTGTTATACGATCTCTTTCCTACGCAGCGGCTCCTGGAAAGCCAAAGGGACCGCTCAAAGTGGCGGACGTCACGAAGAACGGCTGCAAGCTGAAGTGGGAGAAACCAGAAGATGACGGCGGCAAACCGATCACTGGTTATCAAATAGAAAAATTAGATAAATCAACTGGCAGATGGGTACCTGTCGGTCGTACCGCGGATACCGAAATGGACGTAAAGGGTCTTCAAGAAGGACACGAGTACGAGTTCAGAGTGAAAGCTCTGAATGAGGAAGGAGAATCAGAACCGCTCGTGTCAGATGGTTCCACGCTCGCAAAGAATCCTTATGGTAAGTTTAATATTATATTAAACCAATACAAAAATTGTTAGATGATGATTAATATAAATACTGTATGCATATTATTCAAAAACGTCGAGTTCAATATTTTAATATAAATTAGTAAATTATTTTTCTATCTTATCAATGTCTGTGAAATTATATTTTGAAATTATATTTGACGTAACTTCCTTTCGACAGATGTAACCAGCAAGCCTGGAACACCAGAACTTGAGGACTGGGACGTCGATCGTGTGGATCTCAAGTGGGAACCTCCCAAGAACAATGGCGGTGCAGCGATCACCGGGTATATCATCGAGAAAAAGGAGAAACCATCTTCGCATTGGGAGGAAGCTCTCGTCACCGACTCGCCTCAGCCGAAAGGCCGCGTTACCGGCTTGAAAAAGGGTTCTACTTATCAATTCCGCGTTCGCGCTGTTAACAAGGCTGGACCGTCGGAGCCCAGCGATCCAACCAAACCGCATGTTGCTAAAGCGAGATTCCGTGAGTATATTTTATTTCATTAGCTGACAGACTAATAATAATTATTAATATAAATAATAATTATTAATATTAATTATTATTATTATTATTATTATTATTATTATTAATATAATAATTATTATAAATAATTATTAATTTACACACATAAAACATTTTGTAATTGTTAGATAAAAAGTTAATCAAATTAAATTTTTATTTAATACGAATGAATGATGAATTTATAATAGTTACATCGAAATAAAAAGAAATTTGAGATAATTATATTATTATTTCTCGTAGTGAAACCGCACATCAATCGTGACAAACTGCAAACTATCAAAGTCAGAGCAGGCCAATTGGTCAAGCTCGAGGTTGACATTGAAGGTGAACCTCCTCCAACTGTTACATGGAGCTTTGCTGGTGCACCACTCCAGACCGGAGCCAACGTGAAGATTGATAACGAAGACTATCTCACCAAGATCCAGTTGACGAATACCAGTCGTAAATTAACTGGCAAATACACTATCAAGGCTGTGAACGATTCCGGGCAAGATGAAGCTGACGTAGAAATTAATATACTCGGTAGGTAAAAACGTGAATAAACTATATATATTTTTTTAGAGAATTATTTTAAAATATTTAATAATTTTCGCGTTTAATGAATTGTTATTTACATTTTAGTAGATTAATAAATTTTACATTTAAAGAACTAAAAAAGTGTTTTTATAACGTATATCCTTATTTGAAACACTATATAATTTTTCAGACAAGCCTGGAAAACCGGAGGGACCACTGGAAGTCACGGACGTGCACAAGGAGGGATGCAAATTGAAGTGGAACAAGCCGAAGGACGATGGTGGTCTTCCTCTATCCAGCTATATAGTGGAGAAGATGGATGTGACAACGGGTCGTTGGATGCCAGCTGGTATCGTGGATCCTGACAAAACTGAGCACACGCTTACTGGTTTGGAGCCCGGCAAGAAGTACGAGTTCCGTGTGAAGGCTGTAAACGAGGAGGGAGAATCGGAGCCTCTACAAACCGATACCGCCATCTTAGCCAAGAATCCATATGGTAAAGTATTACGATTTGGATTATAACGTTCGCTTTATTTCATAAATATTTAACTTCAGTGTTCAGAAATGCTTAATAGATACTATAGTTTATTTGGTTTTATTTGTGATATAAAATTAATAGTAAGAAAAATGATAGTGCTTTGTATAATTAGTTCCTATATACTGACAGCGTATTCTCCAAAATATTTTAGACGCTCCAGCAGCACCTGGACTTCCAGAAATTATTGATTGGTCAGAAAATATGGTAAAACTCAAATGGGAACCACCAATAAGGGACGGTGGAGCACCGATTACCGGATACATCATCGAGATGAAAGATAAGTTCGGTACCAGCTTCGTTAAAGCGGCTGAAGTACAAGGACCTATGTGTACTGGGACAGTTCCCAGATTGGAAGAAGGAAATCAGTATCAATTTAGGGTACGTGCGGTCAACAAAGCTGGTCCTGGTGAACCTAGCGAGGCCACTAATCCGCACACCGCTAAAGCTCGTTGGCGTAAGTGTTGCTGCATTTCAATAGATTAGAGTAACATACAAAAATGCCGCGTTACTAAAAGATTTATTACACAAATAATACTATCTAGAAATCTTCGTTGCATTTTACTTAAATAGTTTGTAAAGTTGTAAATTTGGTATTTTTTCTCTATCATAATTTCGTTGTTATTTGATTTTATATGAATTTTGCAGTGAAACCATATATCGATCGCACAAACTTGCAAGCTATAACGGTGAAGGTCGGTCTTACTGTGACTTTGGACGTTAACATAATTGGCGAACCACCGCCAAAAGTCACTTGGACCTTCAAGGACAAGGAACTCGTGTCAGACGATACGCTACGCATCGACAACATTGACTACAACACCAAGTTCTTCATCCTGAAAACTAAACGCGCGCATACCGGCAAGTACGTGATCAAGGCGAAGAACGAGGTCGGAGAAGATACCGCCGAAGTGGAAATCACTGTGCTTGGCAAGCCGAGTAAACCGAAGGTAATTTAATATATTTCACACACAATTTAGAATAATCTCATATTAATAAACATGTGATACATAATTTGCAATAATTCAACATAATTAAAAAGTAATGTCTTACATTCACATACAAGTGAATTTATTGTCTTTATTAAATAAAGATTGAACAATATTTTGTTCTTCATTAAGTGTTCAATAAATAGTGAGATTTTAGATTTTATAATAGTAACTAATTTTTTTCCAATTCAGGGTCCGTTGGAAGTGTCAGACGTGAACAAACACGGATGCAAACTCAAATGGGACAAGCCTGAAGACGACGGTGGTTCGCCGGTCGAGTACTACGAGATCGAAAAACTGGATCCTCTCACAGGACAATGGATACCCTGCGGCCGCAGCATCGAGCCGGAAGCTACTATTACCGGGCTGCAAGAGGGCAAGCCTTATAAATTCCGCGTGAAGGCGGTCAACAGAGAAGGAGAGTCCGACGATCTGGAAGCAGACAAATCCATCATTGCCAAGAATCCATTCGGTACGTGTTTAGAATAATATATAATTAAAATTTTCAAATTCAAACTTCTTTCGTACAAAACTGAAAATTGGGACATGAAACAATGTAAATTTCCTCCAATCTTATATCTTGCATGCCATCTCGATTGCAGATGAACCTGGCAAGCCTGGTCGACCAGAACTTAAGAATTGGGATAAGGACTTTGTAGATCTCGAATGGACTCCGCCAAAGGATGACGGCGGTGCACCGATCGAAAAATATATTGTGCAGATGCGAGATAAAGAGGGTAGGCAGTGGGTGGACGTTGCTAAGGTGCCGGGAGATCGCACCGCTGCCAAGGTAACTGATGGTATTCAGGAAGGACATGAGTACGAGTTCAGGATCGTGGCGGTGAACAGAGCTGGACCTGGTGAACCCAGCGACAACTCGAAGAGCGTCATTGCTAAACCTCGATTCTGTAAGTTCAGCAATCTTGGTTTTACGTAAATTAATTTATTAAATTCAATTTATTAGATTAATTTATTAAATCCTAAGCACTGTATCAAATTCAATTGTCAATCTTATTTTATATATTTAATTTCTCGCAGTGGCTCCGCGCATCGATCGCAAGAATCTCCAAAAGAAAGTTATGCGAGTTGGCCAGATGCTGCGAATCGAGGCTGACATCAAAGGTGAGCCGCCTCCAGTCGTCACGTGGAAACTTAAAGATGCGGTGTTGAAGAGTATGGATCGCCTTAAAATCGAGAATGAAGATTACCACACCATGTTTATCCTCAACAAGCTCAAGCGCTCAGACGGCGGCACTTACACCGTCATCGCCAAGAACGACAGTGGTACCGATCAAGTCGATGTCGAAATTCAGGTTTGTGCAGTAACTGGTTTTTGACTATGTGCATTAGCCATTCATCTGAAAGTACGAAGTTACCTATTAAGATTTGTCTGACCAATTGCAATTGTTCTTGACAATTATTAGGTGTTGAGCAAGCCCAGCAAACCGAAAGGTCCGCTCGAAGTGTCTGATGTAACGGCAGAAGGTTGCAAGTTGAAATGGGACAAACCCGAGGACGATGGTGGCGAACCAGTCGACCATTATCTCATCGAAAGGATGGATGTGGATAGCGGACGTTGGGTTCCATGTGGCACCAGTAAGACTCCCGAGGCAGACGTGTCTGGCCTGAACGAGGGCAAGGATTATCAATTCCGTGTCAAAGCTGTTAACTCCGAGGGCGAGTCCGAACCTCTGGAGACGAGTATTCCAACCACTGCCAAGAATCCTTATGGTGAGTGTATTTTTCTCATATATATCATCTATCATATATATATATACTTATTGTTGAGCACAAATTTGTTCCAGAGAATTTTTTTTTATCATATATGTTGTGACATTATAATTTTCCATAATATTACAATATTTTCTTATCAACAATGATATATTTGTTCAGCTGAACCTGACGCACCTGGCAAACCCGAATTAAAGGACTGGTCGAAGAATCACGTGGACTTGAAATGGAAGGCCCCAAAGAAGGATGGTGGTGCTCCTATCGAAAAATATATCATTGAAAAGAAGGACCAATACGGCAAGTGGCAGAAGGCCGCAGAAGTGCCGGGCAATAAGACAGAAGGCAAAGTGCCGGATCTCGTGGAGGGTCAAAAGTATCAATTCCGGGTAAAGGCCGTCAACAAGGGCGGTCAGAGTAAACCCAGCGAGCCCAGTGACACATTGACCGCCAAGGACCGCTACGCGGCGCCCAAGATCGATCGCACCAATCTAAAAGACATTACGATTAAGGCTGGCAACGTCATTCGGCTGGACGTCAAAGTGACGGGCGAACCACCGCCATCAAAGACTTGGTTCCTGAACAAGGCCAAGCAAGAATCCAGCAACGGCCTGACCATTGAGACAGAGGAGTACAAGACGAAGTTTGTGGTCTCGTCAGCAACTAGAGCGCACTGCGGCACTTTAACCTTAAAGGCGGAGAATAGCTCTGGCAAAGATGAGGCGTCGATCGAGGTCTTGGTGTTGGACAAACCTAGCAAGCCGGAAGGACCGCTCAAGGTTTCAGATGTACACAAAGAAGGTTGTACTCTCAAATGGAACCCACCTATGGACGACGGCGGTGCTCCCTTGGACCACTATGTGGTCGAGAAAATGGATACGGAGACCGGCAGATGGATACCGATTGGACGCACCAAGGATCCCAACATGGAGGTGGAGAATTTGGTGCCTGGACAAGAATACAAATTCCGAGTTGCGGCTGTGAACGCAGAAGGCGAATCCGAACCGTTGGAAACCGAGCATGGAATCATCGCGAAGAATCCATTCGGTAAGATCTGGCTCTTCCCGATTTTCTCTTTTTAAATGTAAATTTACTTTTTGTTCAACTCTTTTTAAATTGACATATATATTTACATACTTGTAGGATCATGAAAACCATTAACAATTCTGTAAGAGTCAACACAACTTAAGTAAATTACTTTTTATTGTTTTCTTTAAAAAACTTTAATATTGTTTTTACCAAACAAATTATATTTTTATGTCAAAAACGTTATTGTGTGATCTAAGTTTGTTGAACCCTTTGTAATATTAATTAATTAATATAATAATTATATAATTATATAATTAAGTAATATTAATGTTAATTCTCTAAATTGATCTTTTAGCGAATTGCAAAAAGTATCGCCTCAACCGAAAGATATTTTTTTTTGCAAAAGTTTCAACTGCGTTTATCGGAGACATACAGAATAACGTCGATCTCGTTTTTGCAGATGAACCTGATGCACCAGGACGTCCAGAAGCGACCGATTGGGACAAGGATCACGTGGACTTGCGATGGACTCCACCGTTGAACGACGGCGGATCTCCAATCACCGGATACGTGATCGAGAAGCGGGAGAAGGGTGCGCCCAAGTGGACGAAGGCGTGCGAGACTGGACCAGATTGCAAAGGCCGTGTTGACCATCTCGACGAGGGTGTCGAGTACGAGTTTAGGGTCAAAGCCATCAATGCTGCGGGACCTGGCGAACCGTCCGACGCCAGCAAACCGATCACTGCCAAGAGTCGAAGACGTGAGTTCTTCAATTTACAAAAATATATGGAGCTTATATAAAAAGTATAACTTTTTAATTTTATTTTTCCACTAGATAATTTTTAAAGACAAACAAATAGATAATTTTTAAAGACACAAACAAAATTTAGAAATCTAATTAATCTTTCTAAGTTTACTCCGCATTTAACAAAGAATTTTGCAAAGAATTTAACAAAAAATTTTATGAAAAGAAAATATTTGCAAAAGAAAAGAAAGGTTTAAAATAATACATATGAAATATTTCGTGTGATAGATACAAAGAATACATTTATTAATCTTAATTATCTTTTGATCATTCAGTCGCACCGAAGATTGACAGGCGAAACCTGCGCGACCTAACTGTACGCGAGAACGAGGCATTCCACTTCGACGTGAAAATCATCGGAGAACCGCCGCCAGACGTCACATGGGTGATCAACAACAAGAGTATTCAGCAGACCACATACCGCAGGATACAGAATGTACCTTACAACAGCAAATTCTTCAACGACAAGCCTGAACGTAAGGATAGTGGGACTTACAAGATCACGGCGGTCAATCAACACGGATCCGACACCGCCGAGGTCGAAGTTACCGTTGTCTGTGAGTGATTTTTACATACGATAATATATACATGACATATATATGTATATATAATACATTATAATTCGTAGGACAAAATAATTCTTGGCACACATACGATGATTTAAATAAAATTCTCATTGCCCATCAGCCAAGCCTGGTAAACCAGAGGGACCACTAGAAGTGTCTGACGTGCACAAGGAAGGATGTACGCTCAAATGGAAGAAACCCAAGGATGACGGTGGAGAACCGATCGAGGGATACCTTGTGGAGAAATTCGATCCAGAAACTGGAGTCTGGTTGCCGGTTGGCAAAACTACCGGCCCTGAAATGAAAGTTGAGGGACTTACACCTGGACACGAGTACAAGTTCCGAGTAAAAGCACTCAACAAGGAGGGCGAATCCGAGCCGTTAGAAACTTTCAGTTCTATCATAGCCAAAGATCCGTTTAGTAAGTGAGATATTATTTTTCAGAATCCTTTGTAATCAGCAAATAATTTTTTTGGTCAATTTCAAAAGTATTTTATATTAGTTGTTCTTTATATTTTCAGCTTTTAATATTTATGAGGATAATTTATATAAAGGATAATTAATTAAACAAATTATTAGTTAATAAATTAAAAATAATTTTAATTATAATTTTCACGTTCAAATTATTAGAGCTAGTCTCGTTATTATAATTTCTATTATTTGTTTAAAACAGTATTGATTACATTAATTTTATTTTTGTGTGCACTTTTTACAGCTGTGCCAGCAGCTCCTGGAGCACCGGAACCGGTCGATTGGACAGCCAACCAAGTAGAACTCGCCTGGAAAGAGCCGGTTAGCGACGGTGGTTCACCCATCACGGGCTACATTATCGAGAAGAAAGACAAATACAGTACTATGTGGGAGAAGGCCTTGGAGACCAATACACCAACTACTAAAGCTTTGGTACACGGTCTGATAGAAGGCAATGATTATCAGTTCCGCGTGATTGCTGTGAACAAGGCCGGTCAATCGGAGCCAGGTGAAGCCAGCAAGACGTTCACGGCTAAGCCACGCTTCTGTAAGTATTTGTCGCATTGCCAATTCAATATTTTCAGTTCTAATTTCAATGCTGAAATAAAGGTTGCCTTTACTAAATATATAAGACTTACTAAATATGTGTGTGTGACATACGAAGTTCGTGAAAATTAGTTAAAACCGTGGATGTCAGCAATACTTTTTATTAAGAAAATGATACTATATTTTGTCTGTAATAATAATTATATATTAAAGAAGCTTTTCTTTTTTGAATTATGTGTGTGCAATGAAAATTTAATGTAAGATCGAATTAATAATAATTTCAATAATTTCATGATATTTTTAATATTATTTGTGTTACTATATTACTATATTCGGTGGAACTTTAACTGAAAGCGTATCTATTCCTTTTCACATCCCAAAAAATATATACTGAATCTATCCGTATCTCCTTGCTGGTGCCCATATTTGAGATACTGATTGCTCAAACAATCTTTCTATAGACACCATCCTTGCATTGCTGTCATGCATACGTTCTAATAATAATCTTGATGTATCGCGTATTTGTCTAAATCGACATTGGCACCTAATCGCCAACCATCATTCGTCACAGTGGCCCCGAAGATCGACAGGCGCAATTTGAGGGACGTTACCCTGTCTGCTGGCTCAATGTTGAAGTTCGACGCCAACGTGATCGGCGAGCCGCCGCCCCACATCGATTGGCGTTATGGCGCGATACCGTTGCATTCCGACAGAAAGGTGCAGATCGACAACAGCGATTACAACACCAAGTTCAGCATACGGCCGGTGTCGCGAGACGACAGTGGCGATTACACCGTCACCGCGAGCAACTCGTCGGGCAAAGACTCGGTGACGGTGCAGGTGACAGTGACCGACAAGCCGACGCCGCCTGAGGGACCGCTTCAAGTGACGGATGTGCATAAGGAGGGATGTAAGTTGAAGTGGAAGAGGCCCAAGGACAACGGAGGCACACCCATTGAGTATTACCAGGTGGATAAGATGGACCCGGAGACCGGATGCTGGGTACCTTGTGGACGTTCTGCAGAACCGAGTAAGTAGTCGGGATTATGATGGATTTAAAAAGCATGTAGATGTTTCTACAAAATATAAATTTATTATATAAAAGTGTTACCGACATGTCATTTGATTTTTAATTTGATTTTGAGAAATTTTATTTTGGTATTTTATTTCGGTTAAGTTCTTTCACTATTCAACCGCTCGAAGTTTAAAATTTTACTTACACGATACAATTATTTTTAATAAAATATTTTTTAACAGAAAATGTATATATATTTTATCTTGTAACGCAAATATATTTTATCTTTCACAGATCTCGAAGTAACAGGTCTAACACCTGGCAAGGAGTACCTCTTCCGCGTGGCTGCGGTCAATGCTGAAGGAGAGTCGAAACCCTTGGAAGCGGAACAAGCGATATTAGCCAAGAATCCGTTCGACGAGCCAGGCAAGCCGGGTGATCTTCGCGCTACTGACTGGGACAAGGATCACGTGGATCTCAAGTGGACACCGCCTGAAAACGACGGTGGTTCACCGATCACTGGTTACGTAATCGAGAAGAAGGACAAATACGGCGAATGGGAGAAGGCGCTGGAAGTGCCCGCGGATGAGACTTTCGCCACTGTGCCTGACTTGATCGAGGGTCAACCGTACGAATTCCGCGTGCGAGCGGTGAACAAGGCCGGTCCGGGAGAACCTTCGGACGCTACACCGACCATCATCGCCAAGCCGCGCAACCAAGCGCCGAGGATCGATCGCACGAATCTGATCGAAGTGAGGATCAAGGCCGGTCAGAACTTCAGCTTCGACTGCAAGGTGACGGGTGAGCCACCTCCGACCACCAAATGGATGTTGAACGGCAAAGAAGTCCGACCGACTGAACGTGTCAAAGTGAAACATGTAGACTACAACACCAGCTTGAGCGTGAGAATGGCCACGCGAGCAGAATCCGGCAAATACACAGTTATCGCGGAGAACATCAACGGCAAGGACGAGGCCTTCGTTAAGGTGACTGTCTTGGCCCAGCCGAGTCCGCCACAGGGTCCGCTCAAAGTGTCTGACGTACATGCTGAAGGATGCAAACTCGCATGGAAGCCACCCGAAGACGACGGTGGACAACCGGTGGAGAAGTACGTCGTGGAGAAGATGGACGAGGTTACCGGTCGCTGGGTACCGGCCGGAGAGACCGACGGGCCAGAAACAAATCTGCAGGTAGAGGGTCTGACACCGGGGCACAAGTACAAGTTCCGGGTGAGGGCCGTCAATAAGCAGGGCAAGTCCGAGCCGCTCACCGCCATGCAGAGCATCGAGGCGAAGAATCCATTTGGTAAGAAAATTTTTGGCAAGAATTTGAAAAATTCTAAAAGAAATTTTCAGAATTTTCATTGTTAGAATTTGGAATATTTAGAATCTATGAATATACTTAATCTTCGCATTCTAAAGATTTTTAATTTTTAGATTCTATGAAATCTAAATTTTTAATGATTTTGATATAATTGATATAGTTATTTGCTACAAAAATGATATATTTTTAGACGAGCCAGGAAAACCCGGCACGCCATCGGTGGCTGATTACGACAAAGACTTCGTCGAGCTCCAATGGAAACGTCCCGAGGAAGACGGTGGATCACCGATTACTGGTTACATCATAGAGAAACGCGACAAGTACAGTCCGACGTGGGAGAAATGCGCGGAAGTCGACGGTGACGTGAACCGCGGCAAAGTTGAGGACTTGGTCGAAGGGACTCAATATGAATTCCGTGTAAGGGCTGTCAACAAAGCCGGTCCTGGTGAACCATCCGAGGCATCGAAGCCTCATACAGCACGACCTAAGAACCGTAAGCGTCTGCAAAGATTTGTCGAATATTACGAGTTATTCATCGCATTTGAGGAAAGAGAACGTTGTTTTCTTATATTAGTCACATTTTATGTACAATATTTTTATGATTTCTAGAAATTTTTATATTTATATATTAAATATAAATTAAATTATAAATATAAATTAAATATATTAAATATATTAAATATATTAAATATAAATTAAATTATAAATATAAATTAAATATAAATAAAAATATAATATAAATTTATATATTAAATATAAATATAAATTAAATATATTTAAATTTTTATATTATATAAGAAAGATCAAGGTTGTCTTTATCATCTCTGCACAGTCAATTACAACAAACAATTTGAAAAATTCTAACATCGGAATTGTGGAAAATTTGCGAAGCTGTCTGATCTCTTCTATTTATAAATTAATTTAACAATTTTTGTATGGCGGATGTATTGCATACTTTGAATATATAATCTTACTTTTGAACAAATATGTATTAAATACATGTTATTAATTTTATTTTCAGTTCCACCGAAGATCGACAGGAAGTACATGCTGGACGTGAAGGTCCGAGCCGGTGGCTTCTTTGACTTCGACGTACCGGTAATCGGTGAGCCACCTCCAACCAAAGAATGGTCGCTAAAGGACGCCGTAGTGATAGCGAGCGACCGCGTCAAGATCACCAACGAGGACTACAACACCAAAGTGCGCATAATGGAGGCGAAACGTTCCGATTCCGGCGTCTACACGCTAGTGGCCAAGAACATAAACGGCAAGGACACCGCCACATTAAACGTGAACGTGCTGGACATACCCTCTCCGCCGGAGGGCCCGTTGAAAGTGGACAAAGTCACCAAGAACGGATGCACACTCAAATGGCGACCGCCGAAGGACGATGGCGGCTCCGAAATCCAATATTACCAAGTCGAGAAGATGGATATGGAAAACATGCGTTGGGTGCCCGTGGCCGAGGCTAGCATTCCCTCCGCTCGAGTAGATCATCTCATCGAAGGTCACGACTATCAGTTCCGCGTGCGCGCGGTCAATAAGCAAGGCGAGTCCCAACCGTTGACGGGATTGGACACCATCACCGCCAAAGATCCTTTCGCCAAGCCGGACAAACCCGGAGCGCCGGTGGCCACCGACTGGGACAAAGACCACGTGGACCTCGAATGGGCGCCACCCAAGAAAGACGGTGGGTCGCCTATAACTGGATATATCATCGAGAAGAAACCTCGTTTTGGACAATGGGAGAAGGCCGCCGAGATATCCGGAGATAAGACCAATGCCAGAGTACCGGACTTGGTAGAGAATCAGGAATACGAGTTCAGGGTGATAGCTGTGAACAAGGGTGGACCTGGAGAACCGTCCGACGCGTCGGCTCCGATTGTCGCCAAGCCGCGCTTCAGTAAGTTTTAGCGTAATTTGGATTCAGAGTTAGGAAGTAACGCGTTACTTGCAACGTTGCTTCTATTGTAAGTTATTTTTTTCTGCAACGACTTAATAATAGCGTATTTTTCTCATTAACGCAATTATATTTTTTACATAGCAGTAACGAATATTATCGTTATTTTTATCGTTATTCCCAGTCTTGTATATACTTATAAGGACTAGTATATGTTTTCTTGACAGGTATGTTTTATTTTCAAACGTTTCTAATTTATTACAGTCGCTCCTTCGTTCGACACGCATTTGCTGAACGACTTGGTGGTACGCGCTGGTCAGAAGATCAGCTACACCATTCCCATCGTGGCGTCGCCTAAACCGAAAGCAACATGGTCTCGCGACGGAGTCCAGATCGTAGCTGACGCTCGTCATGAGATGTATACCACTAACACCGAAACATCCTTCGAGATTCCGTTCTCCGTCCGCGGTGATACTGGACGTTACACTCTAACTTTGGAAAATGAACATGGCAGTTTCAGGTAAATGACAAGTTGCGAAAAATATCATAAAGAGTAGTAAAAAACAATTTAAGAGAATAATAAATCATAAGGAGTGTTTAATGAAAAATAATTTATTTAAAGAATCTTTAATAATACAAAACGTAATTTAATTTTGTATTATAATATAGTTTTTTATAATTATAATCCATTATATTTTTAATTACTATCAATTGAGTAAACGATGATATCATAATTCCAGTGCTAGCGCGAGAGTCACTGTCCTCGATAGACCAGCGCCACCGGAGAAGCCGCTGGACGTCACCAACGTCACCAAAGAGGGTTGCCACTTAACCTGGGGCCATCCTCTCGACGACGGCGGCAGTCCCATTCTACACTACGTTGTCGAAAAAATGGACCTGTCTCGAGGAACTTGGTCCGACGCCGGCATGAGCATGGTGCTGAGTCACGAGGTCAGTCGTTTGACCCATCGCAAGGAATATCTATTCCGCGTCAAGGCTGTCAACAATATCGGAGAGTCCGACCCGCTCGAGACCACGAAGAGCATAATCGCGAAGAACGAATTCGGTGAGTAATCAAAATTTCAAATCTAATTGTAAACAGAGGTTTCCAACATAAAGAACTTCAAAGTTCAATTATTTCTATATATATAATATAAATTTTTATCTCAGGATTTAAAGTATAAAACGCTATATATAGCTGTTACTCTTTTTAGTCCGCGCATTTCAAAATTTTCTACTCAATCATTAATTATATAAAAATATATGAAAATGAAATCGTACAACTAGAATATGTATGTTCGTTTTAAAATATATTCTTACAATTAATTATTAATTTTCATTATTATCTGCAATTTATAGATGAACCAGATGCACCTGGCAGACCACTGATCACAGACTGGGACAAAGATCACGTGGACTTGCAATGGCCAGCGCCGAAGAACGACGGTGGATCACCGATCACGGGTTATATCGTTCAGAAGAAGGAAAAAGGCAGTCCTTACTGGGTCAACGCGATACATGTACCAGCAAAACAAACTAACACAACCGTTCCGGACTTGACGGAAGGCCAAGAATATGAGTTCCGTGTAATCGCTGTCAATGCCGCCGGTCAATCCGAGCCATCTGAACCCAGCGACCTTGTCACTGCCAAACCTCGCTATCGTAAGTTATTTTATTTCACGGTTAGAAACCCTTCATCTCTTATTTTAAAGTTTCCTGAATTTTTTTATTTGTACAATATGCAAAATTCGAATTAAACGAAAATAAACATCGCACATTGTATTACATGAATTTATTTTATAAGTTTATTATATTATATCAAAATTTCTTCAGTGGCTCCAAAGATCAAGACACCTTTGCAAGATATTCGTATCAAGGCTGGACTCATCTTCCACGTGGATATCGACTTCATCGGCGAGCCAACACCGGAGGTAACCTGGAGCGTTGGAAGCAACGAACTGCAGACCAACGACAGGACGACGGTCACGTCGATAGGCTACCACACGATCGTGCACATTGTCAACGCTAAGAGATCCGACTCGGGATTGTATCACTTGTTGCTGAAGAACAGCAGCGGCATAGACGAAGGTAGCTTCCAAATGACCGTCTTGGATAAGCCTGGACCACCAGAAGGTCCCTTGGAGTATGAAGAGATCACCAACCAATCCGTCACGCTTTCCTGGAAACCACCCAAAGACAACGGTGGCAGCGAGCTTACGTGAGTAAATTCCCAATATATTTTTCATAAATACTCTCTTGATCATTTCATATTAAAATTATAATTAAAAGAGATTATAGTTTTTTGATTTTATAAATTATGATTTTATATTACAGTTACAGTTAATTAGTTTTTATAATCAGTTTTATATTACATATAAAATTATAAATACTACTGTATCTCTATTGTATACGTTCTAACATGTGACAATTGGTTGTGGAAGTAAGTCAAACCCGTCACATCAATGTTCGTCGCATCACAGATACAGTATCGGATATTGTATTTCTATTCTTTGACTGTTGGGTTGGAGCTCTTCTTATTTCATATCTTTGTTTGCGAACATTGATGTGACGAGTTTGACTTACTTCCACAACCAATTGTGAACACCGGGCATGGAAATTTTCTTGCTACTTCTCATGTGAATACTTTGATACTGACTATCTTTTGTTACTGACTACTTCTGTTACTGACCGCTTGAAGAGGACCACATGATCGAAATGTTCAAATAAAAAACTCAATTATTATTTGATTTTTTTTTATTATACTTAAATCATAAGCGCTTAACACCAGCGATTTGGCTCTTATTGTCCTTGTTAATATTTATTAATTTGTTACAAAATAATTTATTACATCTACTTTTACTATTTCTCTTATAGTGGATACGTTATCGAGAAACGCGATATCACTCATGGTGGCGGCTGGGTACCAGCAGTTACGCACGTTAATCCCAAGTACAATCACGCTACAGTACCAAGGTTGCTCGAGGGAACCACGTATGAATTCCGTGTGTGCGCGGAAAATCTACAAGGCCGGTCCGAGCCATTGACCACCGACCGATCTGTCGTTGCCAAGAACCAATTCGGTGAGTACTCATTCATAAAAATACCAGTTGTATACATATTTTATAGTAAACACTTTTTAAATAATTATCAAAAAATTAATAAAGTAGTTTGCATTTTTTCAAAACTCCTTGAAAAAAACATTAAAAATCTGATATTTAATTTCACAGCGTTTCATTTTCGTTTCTCAACGTTATTAATTTGATACAACATGATGGTGTCAAACTCAGACACCTTGCATAATACTAAATAATGCTAGCACGCAATAATGTTAATTATAACCCAATAAGCAAGGAACATTAAATTAACGTTTAGAAACGTTGACTTCATGTGCATTGTTTGGACATTTTTTAATAATATTGCATTTATATTTTTCATATGTTATTTCGTGATATGATTTTTCTGAATGTTGTTTAAACGTTTTAAAAACATTACAAAAAATATATTTTTCAAATGTTACTTTAATATTTATTTGAGATTAATGCAACATCTTAAAAATATTTCTGCCGATTAAAACGTTATGGCAACCCTATTTCAACATTATTGAAACTTCAAAATCGCAGTCATAAGTTTATAATGATGTTTGATGCAATATTAAACACTACATTTGACAATATTATATTGAAAAATATAGGTTCTTTATCATTGTAGCAACGTTGTATTAATGATTTCTTGCTTACTGGGAAGTCTGTAGATGCAAATATTTATATATGTTCGATTGTTAATTTCTCTTTATGACATTTTCCCTTCGTTTATCATACACTTTCATATTTAATATCAATTATCCAGTGGCTCCTGGACAACCCGGCAAGCCGGAATGCGTGGATGCCGACAAGGACCACATCAAGATCAAATGGAGCCCTCCGATCAGCAATGGTGGCTCCAAAATTATTGGTTACGATGTGGAACGTCGCGATCGTGCCACTGGTCGCTGGATAAAGCAAAACAAAGAGCCTGTCAGATACCCTGAATTCTACGACGATCATGTGACCGAGGGTCACCAGTACGAGTACCGAGTGTCGGCTATAAACGCCGCTGGTGCGGGAAAACCGAGCGAGACTTCGTCCGTGTTCACTGCTAAGCCCATGAAGGAGAAACCGAAACTCCACTTGGACGCTCTGATCGGCCGCAAGATCAAGGTCCGTGCTGGAGAACCCATCAACGTCAACATACCGTTGTCCGGTGCGCCCACGCCGAAAGTCGAATGGACCAAGGCTGGAAGATCGCTCACGGAAACCCTTCGTATCTCGGTAAGTTCACTTATCTATTCAAATAAATGTAAAAGAAAGTGCCAACATGATTATTCTCCTTTCTTGTCTATCGAGAAGACCACATTTTTTCACTGAGAAACTTCTCTCTTTCTTCAGACCGAGACCAAGAGCGATCGAACGCAGTTGTTAATCGATAAGTCCGTGCGAGATGACAGCGGTACTTACACCGTGACCGCAAGAAACGAGCATGGAAAGGACTCTGCCGAGATCGAGGTGATTGTCGTGGATAAGCCTGGACCACCTCAAGGCCCTCTGCAATACACCGGCACGACGCAGGAATCCGTCGCGCTCGCTTGGAATCCGCCGGTGGACGACGGTGGATCCGATATCACCAACTACATCGTCGAGGTGTCGGATTACGGATCTGACAATTGGCGACAGGCACCTGGTTACTGTCCCAGGACGAGCTTCACGGCGAAAGGCCTGATCGAGGGCAAGAAATACGTCTTCAGGGTCCGCGCTGAGAACATGTACGGTGTCTCGGAGCCGTTGGAGGGCAAACCTGTGATCGCCAAGAGCCCCTACGATCCGCCGGATGCGCCAAGCCAGCCTGAGATTCTTGGCTACACTCCTAACAGCTGCAGTCTCACCTGGAACCCACCTATTAATACCGGCGGCAAGCCTATCACCGGTAAGTCATCGACAAGTTATTCTGCGACGATTAATCTTAAATAGAAATTAATTCCCACACACCACTGTGAACATTATAATTTACATATAATTAATGTTAATTATTTTCTTTATTCTTAGGTTATTACGTGGAGAGACGCGAGCGTGGAGGAGAATGGTTGAAAGTGAACAATTACCCAACGCCGAACACAACATTTACCGTACAGGATCTTCATGAGGGGTCGCGATATGAGTTCAGAGTAATCGCTGTTAATGAAGCTGGTCCTGGTAAACCTAGCAAACCCACTGAACCCATCACTGCCGGACACCAACGTCGTAAGTATACTTCAATCGATCATGTCGTTATACCACATCAAATGTAATTTCAATATAAAAACGTTATTATTGTGTAAAAATTTAGAATTTAAGAGTTTCTGTTTAGCGTTTATTGTAATTGTTAATTCTAATTATGATTCCAATGTAATTTAAATTAGCTCTTATTTTCTTATAGAAATATCATACTAAGAATCATTGATAATTACTTATTATCCAGTATTTTTAATACTGAAAATAAGTAATTATCAATGATTCTTAGTATGATATTTCTATAAGGGTTTCTAATGTACAAATTTTATTTGATCATACATTTTATATGTTTTATTACATTTCACATTTTATTATGTTACTCCTAACTTTATAGGACGTCCTGATGCACCTGAGCCGCCTAAGCCGGACAGGATAACTAAGGACTCGGTGACGTTGAGTTGGCGATCACCGCGAAGTGATGGCGGCGCGAAGATCAGAGGCTACATTATCCAAAAGAAGGCCAAGGGTGAAGACGAATGGTCAGATGTAAACGGCGCGCCCATACCGGGCAACGTACACACTGTGCCAAAGCTGAAGGAGGGCGAGGAGTATCTCTTCAGAGTATTCGCGGTGAACGACGTTGGTAGCAGCGATCCAAGCCGACCTAGCAACCCCATCATTATCGAGGAGCAACCCAATAAACCTGTCATGGATCTTGGCGGAGTTCGCGACATCACCGTTCGCGCTGGCGAGGACTTCTCTATACATGTACCTTACATTGGTTTCCCCAAGCCGACTGCTACGTGGTTTGCCAACGACGTCGTCAAGGATGAGACTGATCCGCGCGTGCATCAGCAGCTGACCGACGATTTCGCCAGGTATGTTTCTCTGGAACTTATAAACTTTATGAAAACGAGTATCAAAATAAGATTAGAGTTTTAAAACTCGAGTTATATTCATAAAGTTATTAAATCTATAGGTTAATTTAAATTTAAAACTTATTTAATTTATATATGTATATATTTAATTTTTTATGTATTTTTGTGTTATGTGTGTATATGAACAATTTTATGTTTAAATTTAAAGTATCTAAATCCAGGTAACTGTAATTATTAATTTGATTACATTAGTAGATCGAAAAACATAATTTTTTCTAAGATTTTATAAAATATTTAGGCTGACATTAAATTTTTTTCTCTATCACAAAGTCAATTGTGAAATGATAATTAATCTTTTGCTATAGTCTTGTGGTAAAGAATTCGAAACGTTCGGACGGAGGACAGTACAGACTCCAACTGCGCAACTCATCCGGCTTCGACACGGCAACCGTCAACGTGAAGGTTCTCGATCGTCCAATGCCACCCGAAAATCTTCGAGGTGACGAGTTCGGTGGTGATGCTCTCACCCTCTTCTGGAGCCCGCCTAAGGATAACGGCGGTGCTGATATCACTAACTATGTGATAGAAAAGAAAGAACCGAAGTCCGCTACGTGGTCGAAGGTGACAAAAATTTATTACGGAAGGAAGAAATAGTATATAATTAAAGAATTATATCAATACTATTAGATACTTTACTTAGAGATGAATATTAGATTAGTATCTAAAGTAAAAAATTTACACACACAGGTGAGCAGCTACGTCACGACACCATTTGTACGAGTTAGGAATTTAACTGTTGGCCAAGTCTATGAATTCCGGGTGATGGCTGAGAATCAGTACGGCACTTCGGATCCAGTGATGACGACTGACCCGATCAAAGCAAGACATCCCTTCGATCCACCAGGTGCTCCCGGGACACCTCGCGGTTTGGAGACTACGGAAGACAGCATCACCATCACATGGACCAAGCCCCGTCACGATGGCGGTTCTCCGATCATCGGATATGTTGTCGAGAAGCGTCTTCTGAGCGAGGATAAGTGGGTGAAAGCTACACCGTCTCTGGTACACGATACCACTTACAAGTGAGTGACTTGTAATGCTTAACAAATTTTTCGAAGATGTGTAATCTTAGCGATATATTTTATTAATCTTTTTCGTGGATATCACAGAGTCACTGGATTAATCGAGAATCACGATTACGAGTTCCGCGTGGCCGCGGAAAATGCTGCAGGCCGTGGACCTTGGAGCTCGAATTCCGACGTTATTCGTGCTAGTGCTGCACCATGTAAGTATACTCTCATACATATATGCATCAGATATATCAAGATTAAACAAACTTAAGTTTAAAAAGTTTTAGAATATATACAAGAAATTTGTCATAAGTTTAAACATATTTAATTTTCAATCTTAAATATGTTTTAATTAATACATATTATATATGTATATTTTAAAATATATATATTATTATTATATTTATAGATATTAGATATATTATGTTAGAAATACAGTATATGTATATATCAAAAAGTAAAAGCACAATTTTGTAAACATCCATTATCTTTTTACAGTCCCGCCGAAGATCACGAGTGACCTCAGCATCCGCGACATGACTGTGATCGCTGGAGAACCATTCACCATCACGGTACCGTACACAGCTAATCCCAAGCCAAGACCGAACTGGTCTATCAATGGCGAGGAAGTACTCACTGGCGAAAGGATCAAGTTCGAGACGACCGATGTGGCCTCGCAATTTATTAACAAGAAGGCGAAGAGATCGGATACTGGAACGTATACGATATATCTCACGAATACCGTCGGTACGGATTCCGCCTCTTGCAAGGTCCTTGTTGTCGGTAAGTTTATTTCAAGCAATTTTATTATATTTCAATTTAATCCTGGACTTTAATTTGGAAAAAAATTAATACAGTGCATCTTCTACGAAGAAAAATAAGAAAGAAATTACTTTTCTTTTATACGTTATAATATAATTATACTATAATTATTAGTCTCAAATTGTGTTAATTTTTTCATAAGAGTATTTTAATTTTACAATTATGTATTTATTTAAAAATTACATATTATAATAGAAAACATTATAAATTATGAAAAATTACGATAAATTATGATAAATTGTAAGATTTTGCAATTATATATAATGAAATTATTTACACCATAGATAAGCCATCACCACCATTGGCACCTTTGGACATCTCCGATATCACACCAGAAACCTGCACACTGTCGTGGAAGCCACCGTTTGACGACGGCGGTTCACCAATTACAAATTACATCGTTGAGAAGCTGGATCCAGCCGGTGTAAGTTATCTAAGAGATGACTTCTTTCTTCCTCACTATCCACATATATTCATATCTTCATTAATCTGTTGGATTTCTCTCAGTTTTGGATGAAAGTCAGCAGCTTCGTGAGGAGCACGCATTACGACGTGATCGGTTTGGAACCGAATCGCACGTATAACTTCCGCGTACGAGCGGAAAATCAGTACGGCATATCCGAACCGCTGCAGGCTGATGAACCAATAACGGCCAAGTTCCCATTCACGGTACCAGACCCACCTGGACAGCCGCGTGTCATCGATTGGGACACTTCAAATGCTACTGTGGTCTGGACAAAGCCATTGTCTGATGGTGGATCTCGCATTCAGGTGTGTATAATGGATTCATGAGAAGATAAGCTCGAAATCCATAACTGCAAAATATCAAATAATTAACACTAAGTTTGAAATGTGATATATTTTTCATAGGAAGTCGATCTTATGTGAAATTTTCAAATTCTGAAATGCATTTGTGTTGAGGAATTTATATTTCTTTCTTTATATTTTTTAAATTTGATTTTATATACTATTATCTTTATATACTTTATATACTATTATATACTTATATCTTATTTTATATTTTTTTCACTTTATATTTAAGTCTTGAAATTTTACATAAAAATTATATATCTTATTAAATTACGAATTATATAAAAAAATTTTCGCTTATAGGGTTACAAAATCGAGTTCCGCGATCCTGCTGAAGACGTGCAATGGCGCGTGGCGAACGACTACCTCTTCAAGGACACCACATACGTGTGCTACAATCTGTTGAGCGGCCACGAGTACGAGTTTAGAATCCGCGCGAAGAACGCAGCTGGCTTCAGCAAGCCGAGCCCGCCGTCTTTGCCGTTCAAAATCAAGAGCAAGTTCAACGTGCCATCACCGCCTGGCACGCCGCAAGTCACCAAGGTCGGTAAGAACTACGTCGATCTCAGATGGGAGCCACCCGTGTCCGATGGCGGCAGCAGAATCACCGGCTATGTGATCGAGAAACGCGAGGTGGGCAGCGCGATGTGGGCCAAGTGCAACGAATACAACGTCGTGGACACCGAGTACACCGTCATGCATTTGATCGAGCGGGGCGATTACGAGTTCCGAGTCTTCGCGCTCAACGCGGCTGGTAGATCCGAGCCGAGCTCGTGCACCACCCCAGTGAAAATCTGCGAAGTCGAGGGAGGCATAAAGCCCGAGTTTATTAGGAATTTGCCCATCAGTCAAATTATACCACTCGGCAAGACCCTTGTCCTCGAATGTGAAGCCACGGGTAAACCCTTGCCAACCGCCAGGTTAGTCAAGATGATAGTCTAAATACCTTAAACAATTTTTCGGAATATTATAATATTATAACAAATATTTATTTTTAATTGATTTATTGATTTAAGTTTTATTGAGAAGAAGTTTTAATATATATGAACTTTAATACTTAATATGTATTAATATATCTTTAATATATCAAACATTGCCAGTTGCAATTTTCAAATGCTCTAATAACATTAGTGTTACTATTAATATTAACCCTTAACCGGTACGGTGCCTTTTTAGTCAAGCTATAGGTACAGTGGCGTCCAGCGAACCCCAAAAAATTATTGCCCTTTTTAACATGATAATAAAAGGTAGAAAGAAAAACGCTTTATAGTTCGAAAATAATATTTTACGAACATTATATTACAACTAGATATATATAATAACAGTCTCAGTTTTTCAGTAATCTAAAAAAAAAACGTTAACTGATTATAAAATAAACACAATGTGGACAGTGTTGAAATAAAATACACTGAAAGACAAATAATCGGAAAAAGAAAAAAAATTATGTTTTAATCTAAGTCCACAAATTATAGATTATATAAAAAATATAAACAATACAAATACAAACAAGTATTATTAAATTAAATAAAATATTAAAATCTTAGAGAGTTTTTAGATGCAATCGTTACAAATACTTGCACATTTGGTGCATACTGGTTCATTGCATCTAACATATACTTCTTTGAACTTCATATCTTTACTTCTAGAACATTTATTATATCTTACTCTGGATAGCAAAATAATTTTAGATCTTTCAGTTTCTTCAATTTTTAAAATAGGTGAAATTATTAAAATGGCTTATGAATATATTGAGTTGTAAGATGTCTCTTAAGTTCAGCTTCTACTAACTGAAAGGCAAGAGCTTTTACTCTTTTGCGTGAAGAATGAGTCATATTGAGCTGAAGATTAAGAAAATTATTTTCATAAAAGTAACGTTAACGGTACAGTGGGGTCACTGTGACCCCAAACGAAAAACAAATGCATATAATTTACAGCTATTTACAAATAACTCGACGATCTTTTCTTCTATCACACTGAAAACTGTTACTCGAAAGGTACTGAAGATATTAGCGCCATACAGTGGATAGTTTAGGAATTATCACGAAAATAAAATTAGTTGGGGTGCCTGGGACCCCATTCTACCGGTTACGGGTTAATATATTCAATATTAGTTAGAATATTAATTATTATTAATTAATATTACTTCTCCCCATTTACTGTATTTATTTCTTTAACTAGTAAAAGTAGTTTCAATATTACGAGATCATTTGTCCCTTTCGAACAGAATGATTATCATAACTCTCGTTATGTTCTATTTTCAGGTGGCTGAAGAACGGCCGGGAGATCACTCTCGGCGGTCGTTTCCGCGCAGAGGCTTTGAACGGTATCTATAGGCTGGTAATCTCCGAGGTGTGGGACGCAGATGACGGCGATTACAGCTGCCAGATCTCGAACCCGCTCGGCATCGCCACGACCACGTGCAGGCTGAAGATCGGCACGCCGCCACGTATTGAGCGCATGCCGGGTGATCTCTACTTACCGGAAGGCGACAATACGAAGATCAAGATCTACTATAGCGGCGACCAGCCGATGGAGGTGACCCTGAAGAAAGACGGCCGCCAGATCGTGGAGACCACGCACATCAAGTACACGGTCTTCGACGAGTACCTCATTATTTACATCAAAGACATCCAGAAAGACGACGCCGGCATTTACGACTTGTCCATCTCCAACGATAGCGGCAGCGTCAGTGCATCCTTCAACGTCTACATCACCGGACTGCCCGGTCCTCCGATCGGGCCTCTCGACGTGTCCGATATCGACAAGCATACCTGCACTCTATCCTGGCATCCACCCAAATACGACGGCGGCCTCAGAATCACCCATTACGTAGTGGAACGCCGCGACGTCAGTCATACGCATTGGATCATCGTATCGTCCTTCTGCAGGGACACCACCTTTGTCGTGCAAGGTCTCACCGAGGGTCAAGAGTATCTCTTCAGGGTAATGGCGGCTAACGATAACGGCATGGGCCCGCCACTAGAAGGTACTAATCCGATCAAGGCAAAGGCGCCCTTCGATCCACCAGGACCACCCGGTACACCCAAGGTCACTGAAGTCGGTGGCGATTTCGTCAATTTATCGTGGGAGAAACCAGAGACGGACGGCGGCGCCAAGATCCAGGGCTACTGGATAGACAAGAAGGAGGTTGGCAGTCAAGCTTGGCAACGTGTGAACGTCAGTATCTGCCTGCCGACGCAGATCAACGTCAGTAACCTCATCGAGGGCAGGCAGTACGAGTTTCGAGTGTTCGCTCAAAACATAGCTGGCCTCAGCCTGGAATCAAAAGCCTCAACCTCCGTGAAGATCGTCGACCCGCAGGCGGCAAAGGCTCCGGAAATTATCCAGCCCCTCAGCAAGGTTCGTATTTTCCCAACTTGCGTTTTTCAGAAATCCAGAGTTAGTTGAGAGAAGTTATTTTTTTAAAGTGACCTGTTTGTGTTATTTATTACCCATTGAGGAAAGTAACTCCTTATTTTTTTATGACCCGCTATTACTTATTTCATGTATATATTTTCTGTATGTTCAAAGTAACGATAAAAATAACGATTATATTTATTCTACAGTTAAATTACATTGTTACCGGCTAAAAAATGTAATTACGTTACTATTATTGACAAAAAAAGACGCCATTACCAAGTCGTTACTGAAAAAAAGTAACTTGTAACGGAAACTTTCTAATTCTGAGAAAATTTCGCTACGTATTTTCTCGCTACGTCGTTCAGACATTTGCATTGCGTTTTACTGGTCGAAATAACAAGATTAAATTGCCTCGCATTTGCCTCATCAACTCAGGTGAACTGCGTCCAAAACCACAATGCTCACTTCCACTGCAAGATCATCGGCACACCGAAACCAACCATCACCTGGTTCAAGGGAGCCCGCGAGATCGTCAGCGGTAGCCGCTATAACATCTACTCCGAAGGTGAAGCACACAACCTCATCATCCACGACGTATTTGGCGAGGACGCGGACGAGTACTTCTGCCGCGCGGCGAATAAGTGTGGTGTAAAGTCCACGAAGGGCGAACTCTTCATCAAGACACCTCCTAAACTAAATGTGCCGCCGCGATTCCGTGACACCGCCTTCTTCGACAAGGGCGTGAACGTCGTCATCAAGATCCCGTTCACCGGTTACCCCAAGCCGAAGATCACGTGGGTGCGCGAAGGCGAAGTGATCGAGTCTGGCGGTCATTACGCCGTCGAGGTGAAGGAACGGCACGCCGTGTTGACCATTCGCGATGGCAGCCGCATGGACTCCGGTCCGTATCGCATCACTGCCGAGAACGACCTCGGCCAGGACTCCGCCATCATCAAGATCCAGATCAGCGACCGTCCAGACCCACCAAGGTTCCCACAGGTGGACAACGTCGGCCACGACTCACTGGCGGTCAGCTGGAAGCCGCCGGTCTGGGACGGCGGCAGCAACATCACCAACTACGTGGTGGAGAAGCGCGAGCACCCGATGAGCACCTGGATCAGAGCCGGCAATACCAGATTCTGCACATTAGCGGTGACCGGTCTCAGCCCCGGACACCAGTACGACTTCAGGGTATGCGCTGAGAACGTGTACGGACGCTCGGATCCGAGCGAGGTAACGCCGCTGATCACCACGAAGGGTGTCATCAAGAGGGAGTTCAAGAAGAAGGAGTATGAGGTGGACGCGAGCGGCAAGAAGATTCGCGGGCGCAGCGACGAGAAGCCGCGCGACTACGATCAATTCGTGTTCGACGTCTACAGCAAGTATGTGCCGCAACCGGTGGAGATCAAGCACACGTCGGTGTACGACAAGTACGACATCCTCGAGGAGATTGGCACCGGCGCGTTTGGCGTGGTGCATCGTTGCCGTGAACGCACCACCGGCAACATCTTCGCCGCCAAGTTCATCCCGGTGTCTCACATAATGGAGAAGGAATTGATCCGCAAAGAGATCGACATCATGAATCAGCTGCACCATCCCAAGCTGATCAACCTACACGATGCCTTCGAAGACGACGATGAGATGGTACTGATCTTCGAGTTGTAAGTATCCACTTTTGGGCGTGACGCTCGTCCGCGTGTCGTCGTGTGAGACGAGACGGATTCGCGTTATCCTTGATCTCGATCATTTGTCTCATCAGCCTGTCCGGCGGCGAGCTGTTCGAGAGGATCACGGCCGAGGGCTACACCATGTCCGAGGCGGAGGTTATCAATTACATGAGGCAAATCTGCGAGGGCGTTAAGCATATGCATGAGAAGAACATCATCCATCTCGGTGAGACAACGTTAATCTTTTTTTTCATGGTGACTTCTTTGGTACAATGGAGTCATGGAGTCTGTTGAGAATCTTGTTTCTTGAGAAAAATATTATTTTATTAAGACAATAACAAGATATAAATAGATCGTGTAAACATGTTTTTATTCTTAATCATTTCATTCTTAATCAAAATTTTAATCATTCTATTAATGTATATTGCTGTATTAATATCTTGTTATTCAATCTATTACTAATTATTTTCCTATCAATTCTTCTATCAATGTTTCTATTAATCTTCAATACATTATTAATTATTAATTATTTTTATTAATTATTTATATTAATAATTGTCACCCAATTCATTGATAATTATAAATTAATTGTTCATTTTTATCTCAAAATATTGATTCCGAATTTTATATTTTAAGTCTTGAATCTAAATGTAATAAGAGCGGTGTTGTGTGGAAAAAGTGGCAAATGGAAATCTATTTTTTCTTCTGAACAATCAATTTATTGAAATATCAAATAAATATGATCTGAACATTTCTAGACATCAAGCCCGAGAATATTATGTGCCAAACTCGCAATAGTACAAACGTGAAACTGATCGACTTCGGTCTTGCCACGAAACTCGATCCGAACGAAGTAGTAAAGATCAGTACAGGCACTGCCGAGTTCGCTGCTCCTGAGATCGTCGAGCGTGAGCCCGTCGGCTTTTACACCGATATGTGGGCTTGCGGTGTATTAGCTTATGTCTTGTAAGTGGATCCAATCTTCTCGTACAGTTATAATAATTATATACATCCCTTCTATATTTCTATCGAGTTCTCACAATTATAACAATCGTAGACCGTCCAATTTACATTTTAAAGTTGTATTTTTGCAATTTCGAGAGAGAAATTTTCACTTGTCTTTGCAAATTAAATATTATGCGACTTATTTGACATTACACGTCATGTTGCACAAATAATTTAATTGCATAAATACCTTATCAATTATATCTTTCAATAATAAAATTCTATATATCTATTTTTATGTAAGAAAAGAAAAATTTGAATTGAGGAGAAAATAAGCGTATCGATTAAATATGAATCACTCACATAGATTGAGTGGTCTTTCACCGTTCGCTGGCGACAACGACATCGAGACCTTAAAGAACGTGAAGGCGTGCGACTGGGACTTCGACGAGGAGGCGTTCCGCGACGTTTCTGAGGAAGGCAAAGATTTCATCAGACGGCTACTCGTCAAGAATAAAGAGTACGTATTATCGTGAAATCTTCACTATCGTTCCCTTTATTGCTCTATTCACATTATTGTCATTCACATTATTCATGTACATTCTCGCTCTTCGCAGGAAGCGCATGACCGCTCACGAGTGCCTTCTTCATCCGTGGCTGACTGGTGACCATAGCAAATGGACCAACCCGATCGCCAACAGTCGTTACCTCAGCATCAGAGACAGATTACGTGCCAAATATGAGAATTGGGACAAGTATGTTCTTCCCATCGGCCGCCTAGCCGAGTACTCGTCGCTCAGGAAGCTCTTAATCGACAAATACAGAATCTACGACTCCTGCTTCGGTAAATAATTAATGTACAATGACAATCCGTGTGTTCATTTATTATTTTTTTCTTTGCCTTTATTGATAACGTCGAAACTGGAAGAAGGTGACTAATTAGAATTTTGTAGACAGGCGATTTGTGTTAATAATGGATATCTTTTTCCAGATCGCCGACAAGCAGCACCTAGATTCGTCATCAAGCCGCAAAGCGCGTTTGCCTATGAAGGACAAAGCGTGAAGTTCACTTGCCGTGTGATCGCAATTGCGGCGCCTACCCTGTCTTGGTCGCACAATAACCAGGAACTGCGGCAATCTGTCAAATTTATGAAACGGTATCACGGTGACGATTACACTTTCGTCATCAATAGGGTTAAGTTGGAAGACAGAGGAGAGTATATTATACGCGCAGAGAACCATTACGGCTATCGCGAAGAGGTCGTCTTCCTTAACGTGCAGCGTAAGTACTCTCTTCTTTCATATTATAGTTTTACAAATTTGTATAATTATATTTCTAAGTGCAATATAATTTATTATATTTAGAAATAATACATGTTGTTATCGCGCACTTCTTAATTTTTATCATATATAATTTAACATATTCCTTTGGATAATATTCTTTCAATAATTGTATAACTGTATCACACAATTTCATTTATATATTGGAAAATTTATCATAATTAATTATTCAATCATATTCAAAACATTGGTATTGCTTAACGTCGATCAAAATTTTCATTTTGATCTATATTGTATATTTGTATTTCAGCGCGTAAAGATACTTTATATCATAGATTTATATAATTTATTTGTTAATTTCAGCATTACCTAGAGAAATTCCGATATATAGGCCAGAACTGCAACCAATACGTAGACGAGAACCGCTTGGCTACAACGTGTGGCTAGAGATGATCGAATCAGCGCCGAGCTTCACTTTCCTGCTACGACCTCGTGTCATCCAGATCAGGCAGACCTGCAAACTGCTCTGCTGTCTGAGCGGTAACCCACCGCCTACTGTGAAATGGTACAAGGACAGGGAGGAATTGTCCAAGCATAATTATCCCATGAGCAACGCCGACGGCGTTGTCACGATGGAGATCGTCGACTGCAAGCCGGAAGATAGCGGCAAATATCGCTGTGTGGCTAGCAATAAGCATGGCAAGGACGAGACCAGCTGTGTAGTCATTGTAGAAGGTACGTTTCGATCCACAAAAATCAAACGAATAAATAGATGAAATATCTTGCATTAAAAGATAAAATATTACGAGATTATTACACACAATTACTACATTATACGACTTGACTTCAAATCTTAATACTGTCGATACAACAATAAATCATATAATCAAAAAAAAAAATCTATACATTAAAAAATAAATAAGATAAAGTCAACAGAAAGCGAATACTTTGCCAGATATTTCGTGTCTTATTTTAACATATCTTAATATAAAAATTAAATATTTCGTCAAATATCAACCCAGGTAGAACACAAAATCATTTTAATGTCGAGATGATATCATTTTAACATGATATTATTTAAGATGATATCATTTTAACATCATTGTCATGAAATTATTATGAAAATGGCATCGTTTGACATCAAAATGATATCACTTTTATATCATTTGATGTCATTTTGACTTTTATATGACTTTGTATTCTACTTGGGGATTTGTTTTATTGATTTTATTTTAATACTTCTATATTGTCACAGTTGAAACACAGATTCCACAATTTAGAAACTTGTGATCCACTTCTATTCTGAACTTTATGATTTGTTATACATACATATCGATAATATAATATCGTTGTACAATGTCTCTTGTATATAATCTATGTCGACTTTTGTTCACGAAGCAGACCTCAATGAGCGTTTGTTTATAGGCACTGGAGAAACGGCGGAGCAAGTAAAATTAGCGCACGACCTCCTACATTCCGGAGGTAGAGCTATTTCAGAGATTATTCCCTTTGTTATTCCTATCCTCACCCCCCATTATTATAATAGATGTCCATCATTCTCCCCATTATTGTAATAGATGTTCGTCAGTATCATATTTTGTGAGATTCTCTTTATGACATATGATGTTTTTAATAGATTATCTTTTATATCGTCCAAATTAAATAACTGAAACTTTGAATTTATTAAAGTACAACACTCTAGAGATAACAATCCCCCTTGAATTATCGTATAAATACTCATTTTCTTTACACTCTATGTACGTTGAACATTTAACGTTAAATTAACGCTTTCCCTATTCATTTTATAGACAGCTTCTCAGTTTTATCATTTCCTTTACCCTTATTTTACTTTTAGCAAAGCGCAAATTTTGTTACTTTTTTACATAGACTTTTTTTTATAGACTTCGCTTGTGTAGAAAGCCAATATTTACGTAAAAATAATGAATTATGTGTTCATCTTTCATGTCACTGTTTAATAAACCGTAATTTGTCTTTAAGATCGAAGGTTCATCGAGCAACCGCTGAAACCGGCACCACCACCGATCGTAACAATCCACAAGTCCAGCGGCTACAGCGGCTACAGTTCCACAACCAATCAGACTCAATCTTCTACATCTTCTTACAACGGCAAGCACTCCACCACCACCTCTTCGTATAAGGTATACATAAAAAAGAATATAATTTATATATATCATTTTTCTTTTAAAACAATCTCTCTTTCTTTATTTTATTTTATAAATTTTAGTCTTTCTTTTCTCATATATTACATAAGTATATTATCTTATGTAGAAATTCTTTTAAGAGAGAGAGAACATATAATTAAAACATATAATTATAACAATCTTATTTTGTTATATTTATTATGTTTATTTCCAAAAATCATGATTAATAAATATACGTTAGAAATATAAATATACTGTAATTGCTAATATTTTAATACAAAATTTCAGGATAGTTCCAGCGTCAAAATCAACGAATCTTCCGATAAACGAAGCATCAAGAAATATGGCTCGAAACTCGATGCCACCGGTAGCCCATCACGATCTAGAAGCGCCACCAAAGAACTTATCTGTAAGCTTATTATTTTAATATACTACGCTCCGAGTGACTAAAATAGTTTGCCTTCAATTTTACTGATCGATATAATAAATGTTAAAGGTCCCTCGGACGATTCGATGAGACCGCCACAGTTCACTCAGAAGCTGAAAAATCTTACGGTCAATGACGGCGAGCAGCTGGAGCTAACAGTGAAGGTCGACGGCGACCCGGAACCGCAAATTGCTTGGAATAAAGATGGCAAGGTACATATGCAATTTTCTTATGAATAATTAATATAAAGATAGATCCTCGTCGATGCTACTTGTCGATGCTACTTGTCGATGCAATCCAGTATAAATTAAATTAATGAATACGATAGTGTCACGACGACTAATAAATGCCAAAACTTGCAAAATATAAAACAGTATTGTATTGATTATATAAGAGAAAAGAAATGATAATTGCTTCGTAAGCAGCTAAGCTTCTTTATGCGTTCAATTCTATTTTGTTCTTTTGAAGATACTGAGCTCGTCAGAGATCATCGATCTCAAGTACAAAAACGGAGTGGCTACACTCACGATTAACGAAGTATTCCCCGAAGACGAAGGCGAGTATAAGTGTCTGGCGACCAACAGCATCGGCAGCGACACGACATCCTGCAAGCTGACCATTAAGCGTAAGAACATTCCAGATTTTATCAATATTTCCGTTTAAAAATATTTTATTCTAAAATGATTTAAGTCTAAGATGATTTAATTTCTTTCCTATAAATCCAATTTAATTTGATTTAATTTAATATCCTTAATATGTGTGTGAGTTGAGAGTTCTATTTATAATTAATTTCTTTTTAATTTTATGTTACTTTCATGACAAAGGACAAGTTTATTAGCAAAGGAATCGACAAATGTCGTTTTTCATGACTCAAACAGAAGGAAATCGCGATGGAATTCTTGTTCCGAACTCCAATGTGTTCTCTTTTCAGCCGTGGAGAACGCTTCCGCGAAGAAGAGGAGCGACGACAAATCGCCGAAGATCGTGGACCATCTGACCAGCATGTACGTGAAGGACGGCGAAGCAGTGACGCTCAGCTGCCGGATAATCGGCGCCAAGAAGTTCGACGTGGTGTGGCTACACAACAACAAGGAAATTAAGCCTAGCAAGGACTTCCAGTACACCAGCGAGGCTAATATTCACAAACTGGTCATCGCCGAGATATTCCCCGAGGATTCCGGCACTTACACGTGCGAAGCGTTCAACGATGCAGGAGAGAGCTACTCGTCGTGCACGTTAAGCGTACTCGGTAAGAAATCACATCGAACTATCCTGTATCATTGAAAAGGTCTAAAAAATTCTAAAAATGTATTATTATTACTAAAAAATTCTAAAAATTTGTTATTATTACTCAAGAAATAACGAGTTATTATAATTTCCATTACCAAGTTCTGAAATTCTCTTTTATCAAGTTTTGAAGATATTTTTTATCATTTGCTACTATCCAACTCGTTTGTACGTACTCTGCTTGTCTGCATGTACAATGATAAGGCAAAAGTAGTGATTATTTTCGATACTTTTAAAGTTATTGTGATTCAAATTCATTCAAATGATTAATGATAACACGTAAGGTGGGATTTGATTCTCAGAATTGCGAGTCGCTAATCGCGAAAATAGGATATAAACTCGAGAATAACTAATAGTGATTGTAGTATATGCGATATATTATATTAGTATATAATATTTGGCAAATACTGAAGAAGTGGATTTCTCTGTTTGCAGCTCCGAATGAGGAGCCGAAAAGCCCAGCGTTCGCGACATTCCCACAATCTGCAACAGTGAGCGAAAGCGAGTCGGTGACTTTCACATGCAAGACTGATACCGCGCCTCTGAAAGGTAAATGAAGTCTGCTACAAAAATCTACTGCAAAGATCAATTATCAATACGTCATAAACTCGTTACCGATTATGCCAACGCGTGACGATTAACTCATTATTATTTCAAAGTCACTTTTAACCCTTCGTGTAATAATCGCACAATGTATTATCTTATAAATTAATCTGATATATGTCACACATAAACATATACATACTTAAGCAGTAGCGTGTAAATTACGCGACAAATGCGCTAATTACGCGTGAATTTTCCAGTGACTTGGCTGAAGGACGGCAAGGCGATCCCCGAGACGAGCAGCAGATATCACTTCAGCTCGGACGGCAACACCTCCTTCGAGTTCGGCATCAAGACGTGCACGGCTAGCGACGTTGGCCAATATTCGGCGCGCGCGATCGCCCAGAAGGGCGAGACGAATTCGGCATTCGCTCTCAACGTCGTCAGCGCCGGCGAACTGTGAAACGAATCTTAGTACCGGATTATACATCGATTATGTATCGCAATATGACCGAATCGGGGTGTCTACTCTGATGTATTCTACGTAGAGAACACGCGGATCTACATCTAGACTCGCGAATCTTTCTCCAATCCAAGAAGCGCGCGCGAGACAACTTTTCTGAATGGTCGACACCCGATTATGTTCTCCAAAGGAAATGTACTCTCGACGTCTCTGACGCGGACATCCGACGTCGGTGTCGAATCACCTCCGATCGGTCGTTTTCACGCTTTCTACTGGCCTTCAGCTTCCGCGATATTTAACGAGAATATACATACGCAACTACACAATGCGCGTAAAAAGCGCATACGCACAAATGCAAACACACACACCATCGCGCGCGCACGCACGCACACACACCGAGAAATACGCGCACGCCATGCGAACGAATAATCGAATGTGAGTCGAAGATAAGAGACGGCTCATTATACAATTGCGATATTTTAGGATATATAACATTTTTGTGTAAAAATAAGGAGAACTGGAAGACTATCTTACTCTCTCGCCTATATTATATGTAAATTATTTTGGAACTGTATCTTCTTCCTGTGTGTGTTTGTCATGTCGCATGAACCGTACGGTCGAGACGCGCTTTTATTACGACAATGACGACAACGACAACAACGAAACTCTGAATTCGCGTCTCCAACAAGCATTAAATGTGGATAGCACACGCAACTTATTACGCTAAATATTCGGCTTTGCTGTATTACACGACTCGGCATACTTGAGTATATACATAAACACACTCACCCATTTACGACACATCGCGGTAGCGCCGGAATCAATCTGGCATCGACAAACCATCACGACCAAACGCGATTTTCCCGTTGAGACCGCCAGCATCCTCGAACATCCGTTTTTAACATCAAGCATCCAAAAATCTCATTGGGAGAATCCCTCGATGGCGTTAAGAACAACTACGTGATATTTACGTGGCATTGCCGCGATGTGCTCTCTTATTCCACGTTAATGGTACGCATCGTCGTGTTATACTTGTTTGAAGACTGCTTCCGTCAGAAAATTTACGATAAATAAAAAGTATGATTTAAAATGAGTCAAATTGTATTTGTTCTTTCATCATTATATCATACATAATGTCATACATATATAATACAGGTAGGACATACGAAGTTATACACAGAAATGCAACGTCTCTGAGATGTGTGGATCTATTGATAATTTCTTGGCAAAATGGCGGATGGTGCGTAATACTCCATTGCACGTCACCACTGCTCATTTATAGTGTGAAAAAAGATTGTTATAAACAATTATGACTTTACATAGAATATATAAATTAATTGGATTCATTATAAAAGTAAACTTTGAAAGAAGTTCGTCAAATAGAAACTGTTTAAATTTTATTTCTTCATATACTTGAGATATATATTTTTATAAGATATATGATATTCGATATTAAATATTTGCTATTAACAAATTCTCATTACTATTAAAAATTATATTACTCAAAGTCAAATTATATTACTCAAGTCAAATAAAATACAATTAAGTCGTCAATATTTTTTTTATCAAATATTGAATTTAATTACTCTATATATAAAATACATGTATAAAAATCACGCTAAAAATATATCCAGACGACATTATGACATCTTAAAGATATCTAAAAATTCTGAAAATGTTTTTATGATGTCTTTTTTGGTGTCTGACATCTTAAGTTTAGATTTAAGACATCTTTTAGACGTCTGGAATTATTCTTCTGCTATTGCAGATAGTAACAAAATGATCAATTACATGATGTCTTTATGCCAGATGTAAGAATTTGTAATAATGATGAAGATTGTTGTGTAATTGTGATTGTTTCTGATTTAGAATACAAATTAGCTGGATCCATTATGTGAAAAAGCTTTCCAGTTGTAGAAGAAAAAGAGAAAAGCGATTCAAATTTTATAGATTCCTCTATAGGGAATGTATGTATGTGAATATTATCATATGTGCCACCATAGCATGAGGAAAAGTTTTGACAGAACCACAAGTATATGTTATTACTATCCTTACGTTGCATGAAAAATGTATCTAAGCCGCAATAATTTTCATAACATCCCTGTTTGAACAGAGGTCCACACCATAAAGACCTCTTTTCACACGTGTAGTTAGTGTCATTTTTAAGACATTTCGTACAATCTGTCTCATATTTTATACATCTAATAACTATATTGTCTGACACATCTTTATCTGTGATATCTACAAACAAAAAATACGTCAAATCTACACTCGTTTATTCACATGTAAATGTCATGTAGTACATTAACTATAATATTACTCACCAATGAAACATGCAGTTTCATCTAGCCCCATCAATATTATTTCCTCAGATAAGGAATTATAAGGAGATGAGTTATTAAATAATTTAAAATATGTCCATGTATCCTCTTTGCTATAATATATAAGTACATGAAGCTGGATTACATATACAATTAATTTGTCATCACCAACACAATATTCGGGAATTTTAGTAAAGCCATCAGGTATACACGAACCCTTTGTCCAAATGCCTGTAAAATATGAGAAAAAGAAATAAGGATTAAAAAAAAGTATTAATAATAGATGTATTATAAAACATATTATGCTGAGGGAATATTTGCATTGTGTGTGACATGTTTAGTAGTATAAAAAATACTCACGTGAATGTACATTGTAAATGTTGACGCTATTCAACTGTTTCCGATATCGTCCTACACCACCAATAAGGTATAATTTGTTCTTAAAAAATACAGTAATCATATGCCTTCTTGGAACTGGCATGCTAAAAGTTTTATTTATTAGTTCCATAAATATATATACAATTGCACTACAATTGTATTTGTAACAGCTATTTGTCAGGATACTTACTGTGCTTCAACAGACCATTTCTTAGATATAAGAGAGTAACGCCAAATCTTCTCATTAAACTTTCCTCTGCCCAGGCCATATTCGCCACCACAGATATATAAATTATATCCTAAATGATCACTAAGTAAATATGATGCTCTAGATAGTTTCTAAGTAAAAAAGTAAAGCAAGTCTAAGTAAAACAATAAGTAAAAGTAAAAATAAGTAAATATGATGCCCTAGATAGTTTCTAAATAAGAAAGAAATATACATACTTCTGCCAATAAATTGCATTCCTACTAATGCTTGTGGTGCATCAGTGATTTTTTCAGGATATGTTAATGTAGAATGTTTGAAAAAATTTCTACCATCCCAACAGTAAAGGAAGATTTTGCTATCATGATTTTGAGGCTTCTCATAATCTATAATACAATTCAAAATTGTTGGTTTTTTGTTTATCAGAATTGATAGTGCAACAGGTAATTCTTCTATCTGCAAAGTATTTGAATATGTTATATATAACTGCTGTAAACTGTTATGTATAATCTGGTTTCAAAAGTAAAAAATGAAGTTATACATCATGTACTAATTTTAAGATATATTATTGTATATAGAAATAATACTTACTTTATTAGTCCTCACCCACATAAAAAATATACGGCGCATATATTCTTCTGTAGATGATATATTTTCATTGGTAATTAATTTCTGTAAATTGTTACTTTCTAGATGCACGAGTTTATCAACTGGCAACTTATCAAAACAATCTAAGCAGGCAGCAAAAGAAATATCCTGTAGCTTAGAAAGACCCAAGTCTATTGCCACAAGCCAAATATCAATTAAATACTCTGGTATCACCAGAATAGCTTCAATTATAATTGTTATTTCCTCTATTAGCTGATCCGTTGAAAACAAGACACTTAGATGTAACAACTTCAGAAGATCTTCATAAGAATTACGATTACAATATTTTTCTAAGGATGTTCTACATACAAAATCAAATTTCATACAAAAGTCTTCATCATGAATCCAACTGATGTAATCCTATACAAAAATTATCATTTTATTTTATATATTTTAATTATATAATTATAATTTATTATATTAATATTTAATATCATTTTTTAAAATAGATAAATTATTTCATAAAAAATAATACATAAACTTTATATCAAACAGAAAATAAATAAAAAAATAAATATTGAATAAGACAAGAAGGTGGGACATATTGTAGAAATAAGTAGTAATAAATAATAAAATATAGATTTCAAAGAAACTAACCTTTAATATAGAAATAGGAATGTCATAATTGATTACATGTTCCTGTTGCAGATGATCGATATAATTTTCTGAGAGAAGAGAAGCAAAGTATTGACTCTTACTGACCAACTGTTTCCTATTAACTAATAATCGTGAATCTTCCAATATTAGCGCCACGCAGAGATTCTTATTTTGATCTTCCATTTTAATATTATTTCTGTGTGATTATATTATATATCAGTATGACAACTAATATTTAAAATTTTTCTGCAACATTTGACAATTGACTCTAAACAGTTTAGAGTCTTCACCTCCAATTTGGCTCAAACTCAACAATATTGTGTATTTTCACATGTAGAAATAGAATATGAAAGTTAAAATCGTCGCACTGCTTCGCAAAATGAGATATTAATCGTTAAAGTTAACGCGTGTAACAGGTTATGAAACTTGTAGCGACGAAATGTAGCGACATCACATGCTTCGTGGCCATATCAGTGATGAATTTTTGCAAGATATGACTCGCGCATGCGTACAGAGCAAACGCTCGGAGTCCTCACTTACGTATATACTTTCGTCAAATCTAAGGTATCGTTAGGGCCCTGCGAGAAAAGAAATGTGAAGAAATTAGCAGGAGGGAGGAAAATTGCTTTGATAGGAATAGAGTGCAAGTAATATGAATGATAATAAATTTTAGATCGTTAACCACCTGTGGATCAGAGCAAGTTTGTTTCAATAAAGGGACCATGTGATCTACTATCTGAAAAGCATTACACTGGAGCGTAGCAAGAACTAGATTACCGCGCAGAGAGCTTTTTCATTATTATCATGTAGCACTAGCCAATCTTTAAAACTATTCACTTAGTACACGTTGACACTTGTTTATAATCATACACGGGAACAGTACAAGGGCCCCTTATAGCACCTACTACTACACTCTAGATACATTTCTGAACGCAGCTGATTTCTACCTGTGACGTTAGCTTACGCATGCGCACGAAGCTTTCTGGGACGGCGGCATCTTGCAAAAATTCATCACTGGGCCACATGCGCATGCAAAAGATCAAGAAATGCGCGAATTTGAAACATTGTCGAATACGAGAATCCAGAGAGCGAAGCCGTAAAAAAACAATATTACAATAAAAAAAGAAATATGTAAATCTTGCATATGTTAAGTATACAGCTATGCTTTTGAGTATGATTCATAATATGTTCTACCTTACGTAGGAGTTTTGCTAATCTTTTTAATATCCATTACTTTCACTTGTGTATGACTTGCCACACAGGGAAAGGGAATAAGCTCTCTAAATAAAAAATATATAAATAGAATTATTTTTAGTATATTATAGACTTATCTATTTAGTAAAGCGAAGATTTAATAGATATTTATTTACTATTGAAATTCAAGTGATGCAATCCAGTTATGCGCACATTTCCTACAGTATACGTAAGCCCTTGTCGACAACCTTGCTTTAAGACATAAGAAATTGATCAACCATGGTTGATTTTTAGAAGAATAATCGACTGTGGTTGGTCAATTTTTTACGGCTTATGACTTAAAGCAAGGTTGTAATAAGAGCAAACATAAACTATAGATAAATGCGCGTATATGCGTGAAACGGAAGGCAGGCTCCGTATAAATGCTTTTATATATCCATCATTACCTCAATTTCTCGTTGAAGAAAGTGGCGGTCCGTAGCGAAGATTTTGAAATTAATTTTAAGAAATAACGAGTCTATTTGAATCCCCGTTATTTCTGTAAATTCTAAAGTTTGTATTCTGTAGTTTTTTGAAAAGTCTCTTAGATATCATATGGCTCATAGTATTAGTGTGTGTGTGTGTGTGCGCGGTAATTGAAAAATCCCACCGTAAAATATCAAATTGATTGCGTATATACATTCAATTTAGAGTGTTGAATTCATGAACAAACATAGTAATATCACAAACACCTTACTATTTATTTTCACTTCACTTTGTTTACAGAGTGTCTATAACTTATGATCTCATCAGATGCAATTTGGAGTTTTAAATATCGCCTTGTATAGTGTGTAAAAATAATTTACATCGATTAGAGTAGTATCTCTCAGTGTTGAACGAAACGTATCGATTTATAAAAACGCACACATACTTCATTCTCTATAAAACACGCGCAGTAACAAAAATAACAATAATAATAATGATACTGATGATAATGATGATGATATGGTATTTTATGATGATGATAATAATGTAATTATATAACAGTGATAATACATATAATAAAATATTCGACAAACCCCAAAGTTATCGTGGAATCTATTTTATGATCACAAAATATATAGTCACACGAGAGATAAGTACTGCATTAGATGATACAAATGATATCATTGTACGATTGTTACACGCGATATCGTGTACACGTGTTACACATATATTTTGGAATACACATTCAAAGCAGCAGTGGTATTCTCTGTCCTCTGTTAGACGATATTTTAAGTTTGTTTCGATATCTTAAATCACATCTTAAGTCACTCATTATTCGCGATGTAGCAGCAGATCGATGCGATCTCAAAATAACTTTGGATAATAGGAAACTACGGTGTCCCATCAACATGCCACTATGACTATTCTTAAATGCGAATGTTTCTTTTTATCGATAAGTAAGACAAATATCGTTAACACGATACGAAAAATCGTTGCAATTAACGATATTAGAAATACATTATGACATATGTACAACGAAAACCATGAATTTGCGGAGAATTATAAGTTTAATCTCTACATAATATCATTTATTGTACGGCAATCAATAAACGGCAATTACTTTATTTTAATTGGACTTCTATTATTTACACGTTTTCTTCTAAGTTCTTTTGTACCCTCTGCCACTTTGCCACCATGGTCGACATCTCCTTATGCTTCTTGCTGATGCTGATTCTCGACTAAAATCACACGACGTCCAAATTTTGAACGATTTGCGTTTATCATTCAAGTTTATCAATAGCACTTTTTCCTGTTCTTACCAACGTCGTTTAAATTTTATAATCTATATTTAATTTTTATTTAAATAAAGTTTAAACTTATATTAAAGCTTAATATCGATAATAGTAGAAAAAGACACACATTTTGTGTGTGTGTGTGTGTGTGTGTATGTATGTGTGCCTCAAGAAATATCCAAGAAATATTTCATAAAGTATTTTATAACAATTTCAAAAGAAAAAGGAGATTAATAAACCAGAGAAGATTTTTACTCTAAGAAATGCTAAATTTAATTTAATTAAGTTAGAAATTAATTTTCTTAGTATTAATTTTTTTAATAAATAATTAAAACGCGTCTAATTTGTTGATATTAATATTTCATGCTCTTTTTATTTTCTAAAAGAAAGAGTGATATGAAAAGAGTTGATTGTGAAGAAATAGTTTTGTAGTAACACATATTGACAACACATATTACCTTCTTCTTTTTTTTCTCTTTCGTCATTGTGTCGCAAGGCACGGATTCAGGTTCTACTTCTGGCAGTTTCGCCTCCTCCGCAGCCGGTGCGGACACTTGTTCCATTACTATGGTATCTTGATGTTGCGCTGCCCGTTCCGTTTCCGTCCTCTCGATACGTGCAATGTCATTGTAAAAGGAATCGAGAGCGGATCCTAGAGATTCCTTCGCGGCCTTAACTGGTGGCTTGGCGATAATTTTGTTGTTCGAATAGATCGGTGTATATCCTAGCATGAATTGAATTGCACTCTGCCCACTGTGCTTGTTCGCAACTGCAATTGCAGCTGTCTGCTGATATACAGGGAGAGATACATTAATTCTGTATGTTTCTGTATATAAATATATATTAGTTACAAATCTATATCAAAAATCAAAGGATTGTCATAAAATAATGACTTTCCTCTACCATTCCTCATTTTCATGAAGAGAAAATTGTCTCTAAACTGCTCAAAGAATCTACCAGTAAAATTAAGATTACAAGTTCTGTAAAACATTTTGTATGTAAATTTTTTAATATTATTAAAATGAAAAATATTATACACACATTATACATGCACAAGTACGAAAATATAATTATAGCTACAATAGGAGGCATCAACTGATCAATATTTAATCACAAGAGCATTCTTACATTATGCAAATGCTGATGGAAAGCTGGATAGTGAACAAACGGCTCCTGCAGCAAGCCCGGTTGATGGCTTAAAATAGGTATCGTCGGGTCCGCTATCGAAGGAGCGTAAATCGCGTTACTTTGCTGGGACGTTGCGTTGTAGATGATTCCTTTCAGGGTTGCCGCTTCGTAAGACGTGTCTGGCAAGTCGACGCCAGGCGGTAGAGGCTCCATGTTCGCATGATTCGCAGGTATCGAAGTTTGTGGTGAGACAGCCGCTTGCGGATGCGCATAGGACAAGGATTCCAAGGTGGGATTCACTGACTGAGCCGTATCCACAGCCGTTATTCTCTCTGCGAACAGAATATCCTAATCTTATTATGATTCATTAATAATTATATTCATGATATAACATGTATTATTAACATGTATTATCCACGAATGTACAATAAGTGTGGACGGTAATTTACATTAAATAAAGTTCAACCGCAATTGTAAATTTCATTCCATGTAATAATTCCTTACCTTTCCCAAAACGTTTTCTCTTTACGTCCAAGGGTTTGTCGTCGGATTTTTCCTTTTTTCTCTTGTCCTTCTTCAGGTCTTCTTCAAATATCCTCGAAGGCGGCGGCGTACTCGGATTAGATATCTGTGATGAAGGTGGGACTTCCAACTCCGCGGGACGTCCCTCTGTTACATTCTCGTCATTCACCTTATTATCATCCATCTCCTCAGTCTGCTTCTCCTTCGGCTTCTTTGTTCCGGGAGATCCTAACGTGATGATAAAAAATTAGAAAGATTAATTAAAGTTTCGTTCGTAAATTGATAACGTCTTGGCAGATAAGAAATACATGCAGGCATACCTGTGACTGATAACTCTTCCGATTCTGGTGGCGGAGGAGTCGTGCATAATTCCATCTCCTCAGTGCCACCGGCAATACCGGTGTCGGGATAAGTCCACTGTGACGTTCCAGTGGATGTATTATGATAAAAATATCGTTTATGTGACCTAGAAAAATCCCCCGCCAAAAGGCAGTACATGAGATCACTGACAACATTTTTGCAAGTAATTTTTCTATGTTACATCCATATACACGCTTAAGTAATGTTTCCGTGACGAAACATTCGTTCACGCGATATCGTCCGTCACCAGATTTTTTTGACAATATAAAAAATTATAGAACATAATCTAATATAACACTCCTACCTGCAATGTCGTGTCTCGTATTGCCCGACGTAGGCCTTTCAGTTACAGGAGATGGGAGATAATTGTGTAATTATGAGAGTGCGTTCTCTCGTGGGATAAACGTTAATGTGAGATTACAGCAAAGAAGTGAAGGGAAAGTGAGGAATCGTGACTGAATGCGAGGGCAATAATGATGAAAATTAAGTCCTGATAATATCTGGTTTATTTGTGATATCTGTGTATATAGTCCCAGAGAATACCAGATATTAATAAAGTATAATAGACAGGGTAGTACTTACATCGTTAAGTTCATCGTATGTCATCGAATAAAGTAACGAATAGGTAATGTCAAATCAATTTTTCGTGCGCTTTAATGTGCGGAAAATAATTTGAAATTTCTCTCTTTATTTTTTGTTTTATTGAAAAAGTGAGATTCGGCACACAGATAATGTATACCTAATGATAATATGTACTTTTGGAACTTATAATATTCTTTTATTACCCGGTAAATAGTATCGAATTCATATTTTAACATATAAAAAAATTATCTCAATAAATTCGTTTGTGATGTTTCCAATAATTATATCACTATAGAAATTTCAACAGCGATAAAACACTTTTCAATTCAATACTTTCGTTGTTGCTCTAGAAGCAGTTCTTCGAAATTTTTTTTACGTCTTATACACGCTATTATGATTAAAACGCGAATAATTAATGAAATCTTGATGCGCGATCAAGAAATATTGGAGTTATTGTCACTTCTCTCTTGTGGTATCTTCTTATCTTCGTTTCAGAAATTTTACATCAGCTTCGCACTTTTCTTATAACTGTCCATAAACACAAACAAATTCTCAATCTGAGTAACTCGTGCTTGTTACTCGATTATTGCAGTAGCGTTTATATTAGATAACAGATTGCAGTATCACTCGGCACGTGTAATTCATCACAAAATCACAAGGTCAATGACTTTTTAGATTCTACATAAGAAAGAAACAACCACTCGATTTAACACTAAGAAAATGAATCACTCTTTACAAGAGATTGTGATTCTTACAGGCGACTGCACCATCACTTAGGCTAAACTGCTCTGTATGAAATAATAAAAATATATCAGCCGCATCATTGTAGATTTTAGAAAAAAAGGAGAAACGTATCTACATATATTAAAATTATATTTATACGTAATGCGACAATTGACTGTTTATCATAAATATTACTGAAATAGTAATTACTGATTTACTCAGTTTAAGTGCAATTTTTAAAAAGAATATGTAATCGTACAGAGACAACAAATTTACAAATATTACATACTTGAATGTACACAAACACACATAAATTAAGTTATAAAAAATTAAAAACTTTTTGGAGGTGCTCTACAGATTGACAAGTATTAAAATGTTTAAGATATCTTTGAAAGTTGTGTACCTACACCTTAGAAAGAGAGAGAAAGAAAGAAAAAGAGAGAGATAGAAAAAGATCCGTTAATTAACTAATTCGTATTTTATATAGATTTTCACTCTACATATGAAGCAAATTTTTTTGATGATGGGTGAGATTATGTAGTAGTACATGACAATTGCATATATGACTTCTCGTATAAATAAGTAAATACATATATTTATTTATTTATACGAGAGCTATAAGTGTATATATATACAAACATTTGTATACAAGTATGTGTGTATATATATATATATATATATATATATATATATATATATATATATACACTTTCTCTATAAATTAATGATACATATAAAGCCATTGAACATTTATGTCGTATTTGAAACCTATATTTACATAGAAAAGTAATAATGTAAACTGCGAATGGAATACTGTACCTATCCCATTGGCATAGCCAACCAGCTGGTGCTGCATCTTGCTCTAGTCTTTCCAATTCATGATTTGTGCTAGTCAGCCACTTTTGAAAGTAATTTTCCTCTAAGCTACCTGCGCTCCATGCAGTAGATAATGTCTGTAACATAACAGTAAAATACAATTAATTTATATCATAATTTATACATATTAGACATTTAATAGTCATATTCCAAACCAACTTTCACATCCAACAATAAATAATATAAAGACATACATTTATAATAATGAACAATATTTATAATAATAAATAAAATAGCTTAATAATTACTTCCTATGATTATCTTCGTACGATGAACGAATACTAACTTGTAACTGAATTTGCATTGTTTGAACAGCAGAGACGCTCTCCCTTCCTTCGGAAAGAAACTTTAATTTCTCTGTTATAATCTGCGATAAATCATTCATTTCATCGTTGGTTCGTTCTTCGACCGGATTGGACGCTGTTTTGTGTTCCACAGGTACTTCCGAGTCGCATGATTCCTCCTTAGAACTGAGTTTTTCTTCAGGCTTGACACTAATGCATTGCTCCGTTTGTTCACGTGTTTCTTCGCACTCCTTTGGGCCTTCTATACACGACTGACTATGCATTTCCGCATCACCGTCGTCATTACGTGAAGTAGTTCCATTATTTGTAAGATCATTATTATTATCTTGAATCGCGTTATCGTGATAAATGTTATTTTGTTTGATCTTGTTAGATGTAACTGAAATTTTAGGAGCTATTAATTATCTCTAAATGCAAAGCACAAAGCATTAGAAGTTGTTAACAAAGATGATTTAAAATAATACGATATTGTAATTATTAAAAAAATTATTTTAATAAATCTCAATGATCTCTGGCGAATTAAAAACAGATGAAAACAATCGATATAATACCATCAAATGCTATTCGTTTCTTCCGTTGGAAAGCCTTCCCGCATATTTGCATGTCTTCGAGAAATATATTAGTCTTAGATTTGTCCTCGTCTATCTTCAATTCCTTCTCCTCTGTTTTTTCATGATCGCTCTTTGTTTCCCGAGCATCTATATTGCCGTTGTTACTTTGATCGGAAACTTGCACATTGCTAGAACTTTTTGTGAAAGCAGTATCCTTCAACGCGTTGGTCGTGCTTACATAATTGTCATCCTGAGCGATTGGAAACAAAGGTTTTATCTCCTGTTTAGGTTTCATTTCCTCCTCTACATCTGAATCATCTCCATAACCAGGCACTAAGGATACGTTAATATCTAATTTTGGAACCGCGTTAAACTTATTAATATCCTTTCTACTTTTATTCTCCATAGACAATTCCTTCTCTGTTTGAAGTGTACTATTATTGCTATCAGACTCGGTTATCCTGCTCTCGTCAGACAGTTCGGGTAGATCCGTAGAATTTGATATGTTAACTGCCTTTGTCGAATCAGGTTTGTAGGGACGAGACAAATTTCTGGTAGTCGATTGCATTCCCGTGGGACAAAATGTAGGTCCTATCTCGTTATTCTTTGGGTACAGTGCAGAATTTGAATTTCCTGATTCAGACAGCAGTATCGATGCCTTCTTCTCATCCGAGGAATTATTATCATCCTCTGAATCACTTCCATCGCTACCAAACGATGTTATCATTTCTATCCGCCTGCAAAAAAAAAAAGTATATTTTTTAATTATGAAGAAAAAATTACTCTTTATTAATACTTTATTTTAATTGTATTATACCCATCGTCAGAATCGTCATCCTTCGCAGGGGATTCGTTTCTTGTCTCTACTTTGTTTTCCAAAGTACATTTTTTGGTTGTCTCTTTGTGAATAAATCTGTTCCGATTCCTTGCTACTACTTCCTGTGGTATCATCCCCTCTGGTATATTTGCTTGCGACTGCCGATCTGTAATGATCATTCATCAATAATACCCCATATTATTAAGCAAATACACACATAAGCAAAATTTAAAAATTAAAAAATTTATAACTTACATGCAATAGATGAAAAGTCCACCCAATGGGGACTTTGAACCGAAGGTTTTATTGTAGATTCCATCTCGGATTGTTTCTTTATCAACCGTAACTCTTCTGGCATGTCCCATGTTACCTCATCAGTTTCGATATGCCAATAATAAGGATAACCACTAGATTTGTCATAACATTCTTGCCATACTAAAATCATTATGTAAATATTTTTGAATATTTTTTTAGTGATATTCATAAATGTAATATTCATAAATGTAATATTCATAAATGTATCCTGTAAAATTTATTTATTACAAATTTTCCTTACATGTTTGTTGGCTTATATGATGTGTAGATTGTGGATTTGTCTTAACTGCTAAGGTTGGATCTTTAGCAACATTACAGGTGGGTCGTTCTGGAGCAATAAGTTGAATTTCCTACAAAATATATATAAAATTAAATTTATATGTATAGAATACATGTCGCTATATATAAAATAAAATATTTGCAATATAATAACAGATTAGTAATAGATCTAATTAAAATGTTATAACAAATTTAGAACTATCTATACTTGTATTAAATTTTGTCAACAGAACTAACTGACATAAATCAATAAGAATTAATAACAGAAAAAAAGTAAAAAAAAATATATATATATATATATATATATATATATATATATATATATATATATATATATATATATATATATATATATAAAAGACCTGTTCAGTTCCTATCATTAATTTACTATTATATTTTAGTGACAAATCCTGTTGTATTTTTACTAAGCTGCTAAAAATATTTATTGCAGATGCTACAGAAAATTTTTTTCTGCAGATTTGGTTATCTAGAACTTACCTTAAAGAAATCATTGACTTGATCGTCCAATTTTTGTACATCTTTCTTGGAATCTTCTGTATCACTGTCAGAATTGTACTGACATAACAAGTTGGCCAATGGATTCTCAGCTTCATTTTGTGCAGGTTGTACATTATTTGCTGGCTTGTGCCTACCTATAACCATGTTATTTACAAATATATACATGCAATATGTACAAGTTATATAATATATATTAACTATGTTTTATATTAATGTTAATTTATTTCTAATGTAAAGTTAACACCACCAATGATAATTGTAGTAATCGTAGCTAGTAAATTTATATCAAAATTAAAAAGATTGATGGATACTTACCTTGCATGTGTTCAATGTGATAAGTACTTTGTGGCTTATCGATGGTCAATACCGGCCTTCTCTGACGTCTCTTCATAATAAAAAATACAAGAACAATCGCTAAATGTAACAAAAAGAACTGAAACCAATTCGCAGCGCGGAATACGCTTTTTGAGTTTCACTTCAACTTTTGCTCACGTACATTTCGACCTGCAAATATACATTATGATACAACATCTTCACATACATGTGTCATTTACGTAGCCTAATTAGCAACAATGTTTCTCCGTGTTGCGGAAAACCAGTTACTATGAAAGACTCGTAGATTCACTCATCACAACCTAACTTAACCTAGAATATCTCGTCCATCTTGAGCAAGTATAGGCTGCGTTCCGAAATTCACTGTCAGTACTGAAAATCTATAGTTCATGTCACATATACTATAGAATTTCAGTACTGACAGTGAATTTCGGAACGCAGCCATAGGGGTGCGTTCAGATTCCTCATTCAGGTGCACTCTATTACTAGAAACACTACAGTATATGTTACATAAACTATAGCACTTCTAGTAATAGAATATACCCGGGTGGAGAATCTGAACGCAGCCTAGGGTGTTTACGTGTAACAATCGGATTAATCGCAATGATGTAAATTGTCTAGAGAGAAAGTTCCCTAGGCTAATCGGATTACCAAATCGTATCCGTGAGGGACGGATCGGATTAGCGGATGCAGAGAAACATTGCGTATATACTTCCACATATCATAAAG